TTTGTGGTGCGGGGAAGGCAGCGGGCCTCCGGCCAGTGTCCCGGCCGGCGCAGGACCGTCGCGGTGTCCCCAGGCCTCAGGTGTGGGGTCTGAAGCCGGCTGAGGAAGGCGACGCCGAGGCAGGGGGCGGGCGCGGCGGGGCGGCAGCCCCCGGCCCCGCCCAGGCCCCGCCCCCAGCTCGCCCCGCCCACTCCAGCCCCCGGCCCCGCCCCGCCCCGCCCAGCCCCGGCCCGGGCCCCGCCCGCCCGCCCCGCCCCGCCCGCTCCAGCCCCGGGCCCCGCCCGCCCGCCCCGCCCCGCCCCGCCCGCCAGCCCGCCCGCCCCGCCCCGCCCGCTCGCCGGAAGGGCGTCGGGGTCACGGGAGGAGCTTGAGGATCCGCGCGCAGGCCTCACTGGGGCAGGGCCCCGGGGGTGAGAGGCCGGTCGCGGGGGCGCTCCTCTGCGCCCGTGGCGGGGACGGCAGCCTGGCCCGGGCACGCGTCTTGGGCGGTCGGTGGCCCGAGGCCGCGCCAGGGTCACAGGCTCCCGGCAGGCCTGGCTCCCCCTGGGCCAGCCCTCGGACGCAGGCTCGGGGGCAGCGGCGGCGTCCACCCGTCTGGGTCCTCCCCAGGCCCCTCAAGCCGGGAACGGAATCGCCCTTGACATCCTTCCGTCACCTGCTGAGGAGGATGTGACCGAAAGAGCTCAGTAGTGATGCGGGCAGGGCGCTTGCCACACGCGTGGCGGGGACACCTCAGGGTCCCCAGGGTGGGCTGGGGAAAGCCTTCCGCAGGCGGTGGGCGCTCAGGGCCTGCGCAGCAGGGACAGATTCCGGAACGACACCTGGTGATGACCAGCTCTCCCGAGGTGTCTTCCGGGGTTAGTGGGCCTCAAGGGCACATACGTTTGGGTCACTCTGGGCTAATCTTGTTTCTCCGTCTCTTGCGACTTGGAGCGATCACGTGGTCTGGCGCATGCTCACGGCCTGTCCACCAGAGGGCGCAGTCCCGTGCCCGCCAAACACCTTGGTAGACCTTGACGGAGAGCCCCTTCCCCCGCATCCTTCCGAGTATCCGTTCGTATACCGGTTAACCAGAGATACCCCTATTCTGTTTTACCAAGAACTAGGGGAAATCTTTTTTACTGGCATCGCTGTTCGATTATGTTCACGAAAACATCAGAGTGCCTACCGCAAACGGCTGGTCCTGGGTTGGGTACCAGGCAGAATGGGTACAAGGCAGGAAGAGAGGAAGAAATGACCGTCACAGAAATCCGCAATGCGTCATCCATCGTCCCACACTTGCCTCACGGCTTGTTCTGTTGGTTTCGTTTTGCCCCTCAGATCACGGGATTTAGGTTCTTACAGCCCCACCGGGTACAGAATTCGAGCCGATACTCTGGAGGCCCTTTAGTTCAGTTACTTCACTTGAGAGACAGGGCAGCGAAGAGCCACAGAAGTTAAGGAGTTTGCCTGAGGCCACACACCCAAGTGATAAACGTGGCACCAACTGGAACCGGAATCCAACCTGTCAGGACGATCTCAGGCACGGGGGACCCAAGTGGTACACAGTGCAGAGCCTGCTCGGGACGCTGTCTGCCTCTCTCTGCCCCTCGTTCTCTCTCTCTCCCAAAATAAATAAAAGTAAACTAAAAAAAAAAAAAAAATGTTTATTGGGGGAAGGCCCAACACTACAAAGGCAGGGAGACTAGTGTAAGGGCTCCCCCAAGGTGTCCCCGAGCACCCTGGCCACCTGAGCTGCGCCCTCGCTCCCCAGTCCACTCAGGCTGGGGAGTGTCGCTGACGTACGTCACGCTAAGTCCTAGCAGTCACTTCGCCCCTGCTACGTGTTTTCACCTGCACAAGGACACCTTCAATACCACACCGGTACCGGAACACAGTGCCCCGATGAGATGGGCTCTTTGGTTCCACTCAGCACCTAGCCCACAGTCGAATTTCCCTAAAAGTACTGGGGATGCCTTTGAGGGTCGTGTGGATAAGGATCTAAGCCAGGGCTGGCTGGGGGGCAGGTGCCGGCCGCTGACGCCCGGGCCTGATAAACGGCTGCACCTCCAACACAGAAGCGCACTGTGCAGGCTGCGGAGTGTCGCGCTTGCTTGGTTCCAGGTCTGTTCCCTAGGCCCTAAAGGCCGGGAGGAAGAGGACTGTGAGCTCGTCGTCTCTACATCCTGATTCTGGAGCAGACGGTCCCGCCCGGAAGCCGGGCTCTACCTGTCACAGCCTGTTCGGTAACCAGCTGGCTACCCTCTAGTGCAGGCCGACCGCCAGGACCTACGCTTCGTCTGGGAGACAGGGGAACAGTGAAGTCAGAGCCGAGCAGATGGACCGGGGGCTGGCACTTGGGGACTCGGGACCCGCTGGCTCGCTCTAGACATGCGACCCCGTGGAGGGTGGCAGGGACCACATCCTCCATGGTGTCCCGCCAGGGCTCACGTACCCCTGGGATGGTGACAAGCAAGAAACACGCTTCCTCCCAGAGGCTCCCATGAGGCTGCGTGAAAGCCCGTCGTTTGAAGTCCCACCTTCAGATGCCCAGACCTGTGCCATCTTCCATCTGCCCGAGGGTACTGGGCGGTCACCGTGAGCAGCGCCGCACGGAGCGGGGACAGGGTGAATGAATGTGTGGTTTAGGACAAAAGGCCTCCTTGTTTCCTGTGGAAACCGGCTGCTCCCTCCCACGGCGAGGTCGCGGCCCCGCTGTCGGCAGCCGCCTCGCATCTGGCACTGCCCTCCTCGGGCTCCGGTGCCCAGCACGGGGCCGGGTGTCACACAAGGGGAGCTGTGGGACCACGTGCTGGTGGCACGCTCTGGCTCCACCTGCCGGCCGCCTTGGGACACCAGCTTGTTCCCAAAGCCGGGAGGGACTTCCAAACTCTAAGTGGGTTCTGGGCGGGCAACAAAAGCCACCTCTCTCCACTACGTAACCACTTGGCCTGGCCCGACGATGGCTCTGCTCCACTTCTGAAGGCACGGCTGGCCCCTGGCAGCGTCTGGGGTGGGGGCGGGAGGGGGGATTTGCTTCTGACCTCCTCCCACCTGCCTCCGTGTGTCCCTGAGCACACCGGGCACATCTGGCCCGCCCACACCGTTCTTCCGGAGGAGCCATTCAGTGTCCTCACAGAAGCAAGGCCCTTCGTAGAGGACACCCCATGCCCCCAAACCCCCTCTGCAGGCGCAGGAGCTGGGCAGTGGGTTCCTGGTGGCTCAGAAGCATCTTTGGCAAACACCTGTGCACCCAGATGAGAACTAAAGGGACCTACAGGTGGTAAAGGGGGTGTGCCCCTGGGGCCGGCGCCGCAGCCCCCGTCAGCTTTGGGGGCCGGTTCCCTGGATCCCCGCCCCTCCCTCCCTGGGCAAGTGGACTCCAAGTCTCAGCCGCGGCCTCAGCTAGGTGCCCTCTGGCTGCCTGGAGCTCTGCCTGGTTGCGTCCTTCTGACTGCACGAGCGAGCAAGCGAGTGAGCGAAGACGTGCAGCACAGGGCCGGCGTCTGGGTGCCCCGGTGGGTGTGGTGAGCGCTGGCGGGAGAGGGCCCCGGTGGGTGCTCTCTGCGTCGGTGCCTTTGCAAATGAGGAGGGAGTCAAGTTCTCGGGCTCCCTCCTAGACCAACGGGATCAGGACCACTGAGGTCTCCCCCAGGTGCCCCCCTGCCCCTGGCCCCAGCGCCGACACCCCCGGGGCCACAGGCAGCCTCAGTGTTAAGCCAACGGCCGTGAGGCGGCAGCGAGGCTGAGGCAGCCGTTCTATCTCCATCTATACAGCAGGAGGAACCTAGCTCAGAAACCCTGCGGGAAGTGGCGGTCACTTGTCAGGCACGTGGTCAGACCTGACACTATGTGCTGGAGACGCACGTGAAACCCAGGACGGCCTCTGCCCTTATGAGGGAAGACCGCTAGAGCCCGGGCCTGGGCCGTCATCCACATTCCACAGCCAGCCCCCCGCTAACCTGCAGAGTGCCACATTTCAAGTTAGACTTCCTTCTACCCCTACTGCTTTGGGATTCTTTTATATAAAGTGTCATTCTAGGGGTGCCCAGGTGGCTCACTCAGTGGAGCATCTGACTTTTTTTTTTCCTAAAAAAAATAAAATAGATTTTTTAATGTCTTATTTCTGAGAGAGAGCGCGCAAGCAGGGGAGGGTCACAGAGAAGAAGGAAACAGAATCTGAAGCAGCTCCAGGGCTCTGAGCTGGCTGCCAGCAGAGCCCGACATGGGGCCCAAACCCATGAACCATGAGATCATGACCTGAGCTGAAGTCGGACGTTTAACCGACTGAGCCACCCAGGTATCCCTGACTCTTGATTTTGGCTCAGGTCACGATCCCAGGGTCATGAGATTGTGCCCCGCATCGGGCTCTGCACTGAGCATGGAGCCTGCGTGGGACTCTCCCTCTGCCCATCTCCCCAGCCTGTGGCCTAAGAAAAAAGGCAATTCTAGCAGTTTGGTGAGTGCCTTAAATGGAGACAAATACGGTTCAGCGTTTATTTGATATCAGCCAAACTAGAAGGAATTATCAGTCAGTCAGGTGGAATCTGACATGGGGCTTGGTTTGATCCTGGGATCCTGGATCTTGACCTGAGCTGAAATCATGTCAGATGCTTAACCGACTGAGCCCCCCAGGAGCCTCTCAGATTTTAAATGTTACGTACTTTGCCTTACCAGACACTTCCTGATAAAATCTCTTAGAGCTTATAAATTTCACCCACGACATGATCTCATACCTTAATTCTATAGTATTTTACAGGTCTTTTTGAGAGAGTGAGTGAGTGAGCACGCCCAAGTGGACAAGGTGGGGGCGGGGAGAGAGGCGGGCTCCACTCACGAACCACGAAATCACGACCTGAGCTGAAGTCGGATGCCCAACGACCAAGCCCCCAGGCGCTGGCATTTTACAGTGATTAACCCCCCCGATCGCCGCAGCCCTGTCAGAAGGGACGAGCCATCTCCGGCCCCCAAAGGGGAAAACACGGGCTCAGCGAGGTCCTGAGAGTGAAGTGGCAGAATCGTCTGTTTCACGACTATTTACTGGACATCAGAGGGGTGAGGGCCTCGACCTAACCCCCGACTCCTGCGGTGGGGAGGCGGACACAGGGACGCCGGCACAGGCGCACCTCACAGCTCCATTTATTCACGCCATGAAGGAAACAACACGCCTGCCAGCAGACGGCGGCGCTCCAGCCCGCACCGGACAGCCGCGGGATTTACAGCCGGGCGCGGGCTCACGTGCTCCAGGTAAAGCTGGTTAGTGGTGCCCATGAGCAGGGGCAGGACTGGAAGCTTTTAAAAGAGAAGCACAACATGACTGTGAGCGAGGAGAAAGGAACAAGCAAGGCGGTTTAGGCTGTACCTACAGACGAGGCTGTAACAGCAGCTTCAACGCTACGGACAAGTCTGCGGGGCCATTTCTACATGGAATGACTGACACGTTTAGGGGATCGTGTAGTCAGGCTGTGCCCACGGCGGGAACCAGCAGCGCAGACATGGAGGGGCAGGAAGTGGCCCCCCAGGGGTCACGAGCCAGCCCTGGGTTTGTGAGGACTCGCGTGCCTCGTTTCACTGTCATTTGGGAAATCGAGTGCGATGTCCAGCACTTGGGCATAAGCCGAGGTGGTGCTTTCTCCCAGAACACGGGCCAGGGCGGCGAGCCCGCACCTCTGCCCCGTGCCTGCCCTCCCCTGCTGGCGGTAGTGGTCCCCCTGCGTTCCCTGTTCGTCTGTGACTCCCGGAAGTTTTACTTGGCCCTAGGGGTGAGCAACGGCTTTTAACGCTCAGACCATAAGAAGAACTTCAGAGTTCTCTCCCAGCAGGCACAGCAAACGTCACGTCTTGACGTGTCCCCCCGAACCCGTGAGCTTATGTACGGACAAGCACGCACCACAGGACAGCGACACGCCTTGTCCTGAAGAGGGACCCTGGCGTTTTCATCCCCATCCATTGTAAGCAGCAAAAATCTTACCTTTCAAAGCTTTACTTCTTTTATCTGAAATAAAAAGAAAGAAAAACTGGTCGTATCAGTGTTTCCTAAACACGTTCTCAGCCAATCTATTGTTGAAATCAGTATCTGGTTGGAGAGTCGTAGCTTCAGTGAAGCTGTTCCAGAAGGCGTGCAGAACACAGGGGTCTCACAGCCGAGAAGTGGTGGGATTTCCACAGAAGATGCTCTGCGGACGTTACCCAGCCCTCCGGCATCTGCAGGGCTCTGGGCCCCCCCGCCCCCGGCTGTAGTTTAAACCAGGTGCTTATTAATACGTGAGTGCAGCTCGTCTGTCCCACTGAGGACCAAGAGGTCACTCCGTCTCAAGGCCATGCCATGGTGTCCGTGACTACTGCAGCCCGTGTCCCCTGGGTGTCTGAAGCCCCACTGTGACACCTAAGGAAACTCACAATTGCCTGTCATCAAGGCTTCATTCAGATTTTCCCAGGTGTCCCCAAATGTCATTTACAGCTGACATGTACTCCTCACGTTTTTTAAGTTTGTTTTGAATAGAGAGAGGGAGTGTGCTGCATGTGGGGGAGGGGGTCGGGGGAAGAGGAGAGAGGTAGAACGAGAATGTCCTGAGTAGGCTCTGCTGTGCTGACAGCTGAGAGGCCAATTTGGGGCTCAAGTTCATGGGCTGTGAGACCATGACCTGAGCCACAGTCAGACGTTTACCTGACTGAGCCCCCAGGCGCCCCTGCCCCTCACGTTTTAACAGAGGGCTCTGATGCTCGCTTGTGGGTATGAACTAGAGCTCCTTCACAATGTGAACTGTGATTCCTTTTGAAAACAATTTTCATCCTGACTGCTAACGAGTGAATACACAGAAACTTACCGGCAGCCCTGATTTTATAAATGATGAGGCTCATCAGCCCCATTCCTACCCAAATCTCCTGGTAAACTTGGGTATAGTAGGGCCTCATGGGGACCCAAATGTTTTTAACAAGGCTTTGAAGCATCTGAAAAGGAACACAGAGATAAGTATTACCATGACCATCACTGTAATAAAGCTAACTGGCTAAGGGGTTCCTACATATTCCTAAATTTGACCCTGTTTCCTACAACTACTGCACGGGGGCCCCAGCTCCACCCCCCCCCAGGCTGCCAGCCGTGGCCACCCCAGTGCTCTGCCACCCCTCGTTCTGGAGTCCCAGGACTGTGCCGTCCTGCACCGCCCAATGCTCCCTCTCTGACAGCTAGTCTCCACGAACGCTGTGCCCCAAATTATACACCACCTTTTTACAATCTTTAAATAGAAAAACTAGTATGTCTGCATCATCACCTTAAGAACTACTGGCTTTCAGAGCTGAAAAAGAACACGGGTCCTCATGAGACCCGCACCCAGCTTGGGCACATGCTGATTGGCTCCCAGGACCCCCCGTTTTAAAAAATTTCAGCTTTATTGCGGTATAAATGACCTATAAAACTGTAAGATAAATACTAGCCCCATGCTCTACACACAGAGCCGGACAGGTGCCCCGCTACTGTAAGACATCTGCTGTGTACGCTGTGGTAGTCCCTTAATATGCATCGTGAAAAGATTTCTCCCATTCAGTCAACAACCACATCTGTCACTTCGTGTGTGAGAACTTCAAGTTTTATTCTTATTTTTTTAAATGATTTAGTTCTGAGAGAGACAGAGACAGAGACAGAGATAGAGACAGAGTGAGCCAGGGAGGGTCGGAGAGAGAGGGAGATACTGAATCCGAAACAGGTTCCAGGCTCTGAGCTGTCAGCACCAAGCCCGATGTAGGGCTTGAACCCACAAACCATGAGATCATGACCTGAGCCGAAGCTGGACGCTTGACCGACTGAGCCACCTAGGCGCCCCAAGTTTTATTCTCTTAGCAAATTTCAATTCTACAATATGGGGCTAATAATTATAGTTACGATGTTTTATGTGTTATCTCAGCTCCAGAATCTGCTGCTAAATGCAAAGCAGACGGCGAACAATGACGTGGTTACTTCCTAAGAGCTGCAGTCATGACCGGACTTATTTAATGAATGAAGACATTTACCTAATCACTGGATCTGATTGAGAAAATCCATCAAATACTGAACTTAACAAAGTTTGCTTTTATGTGCAGGTCTCAAAGTAAGGCTTTTGATAACACAATTTATTACAGACTCTAAAGCTTGATGCCTGCGTTCTCACCTAAGCTCTGTAACATCTGAGGTGGAGTATTATAAACTACGGTCGTTAGAATCACTGTCAGGAGTAACTAGTTCCAAGTACTTTGCTTTTTCGGTGAAAACACTCCAGCAACTTCAATTAGTAACCCTGCTGGCCCCCGCCCTGGCCAGAGCCTTACCGATCACTCCTTCACGTCACTACTGGGGCGACACAGAATTTCACTTCTCAAATTCAGTGTTCTCCGGCGTGATCGCTACTTACTGAGCACGCACTAGGCAGCACGCCCTGTCTGGGGGCTGAAAAACTGGCTTCTTAGGGGTCAGAACGCCAGGGAGGAAGGTGTCCTTGGCAGAGCAGCGTGTGTGCCAAGACCCCAGGTCGGGACAGACTTGCAGAGTGGGGAGGAGAGGGGAGCCACAGCAGCTGCCCACACCCCCACCCTGCATGATTCCCTCCTCTGTAAAGCGGGGATAAAAACTCTGCCCGCCCACCATGGGCTCTGGTGAGGACAAGCGCTAACGGAGCCTGGTGTCCTGTACTGAAAGCTGTGACATCAAACGGCCCAGCTGGACCGCGGGAGGGAGGGGAGCTGGGTGGTTTGGGGCCACGGTGAGAGCTCAGCTTCTACTCTCCACGCGTCAGGGAAACCCAACACTCACAGGTGTGTGCGAGCGTACCTCCCGCACCCTCCCGAACCCCGACACGGTGGCTACTTAGAGGCAGTGGCCAGGGATCACACGGCAGGATCTACGAGCCCCAGGCTCCCAGTCCTCGTCACCAGGAGAGTCCGCTCCAAAGACCGCGGCACTCGGGCTGAGACACGGTCGCCAAGGCTGCCAGCCCTGCCCCCTGCCCCAAGCGTGACTCTCAAGGATGTGGCTGCGCCCTCCTCCTGGAACCGGCCGGCAAATACGTCTGCCTGCAGGCGGAGATGCCGTCACAGCGTGAGGATCCAAGAAACCAACAGCCCTGCTCTAGGAGGTGCCTGAGAAGACCCAGAGGGGACCCGGGCCCAGGCGGGATGAGTTCAGGGGGACCAGGAGCTCAGCAGTGACTGGGAAGGAAGGTATTCCCAGCCTCCAACCGGGCTGGGTTCCAATCCCAGCTCCGTCTGCTTTGCTCCCAATTCTGGGCAAGTCCCTGAAGTCGTCCTTTCAGAAAGTTCCCCTTCTGTTGTAGTAGGAACCCCTCCCTAAGGAGAAAGAAAAAAATTGAAGAAGAGAGAAGAGAAGACTTCAAGGTCACCTAGATATAAGTCCAGCTGCCTACATCCCCCATGTTCCTGTAAACTAAAACAACTTAATCAGACTACATGTTTATGTGTATTACCATATATGGGAGACAAAGAAATAGAAAATGCATTAAAAAACCTATGCCATATGAGGTGGGCCGCTCAGTTCTTTTGGGTACGAACCCAACTGAGCGGTGCCGGCATAATAAAGTTGCTTCCTGGAAAGAAAAGTCTCGGTGTCACGACTCTGAGCGAGAATCCTGCAACACTGTGAGATAGTTATGTCCACCTGCCCCACAGGCGTCTGGGCTGCAGACGTGGAAGGAAAGCTCAGTACACGGTCACAACAGCAGCAGAAGGAAGTGCTACTAACACCCGGCTGATGTACGAAGTTACTGGGATGCTACGACAGAGCGCCACAGGACCTGTCCTCGCTTAGGCCAGAGAAAGATCTAGACAGAAAACAGCCAAGTCATCTGAGAGCAAAGAAGGGGAGAAGGGGCAGAAGACACTTGAGTTGCCCCGACTTTCTGCGCAGGGCTCAGGGGCCCCAGCTCTGTCTCCTCACCTAAAGTCATCTCGGACTCAACAGTGCGTGACAAATACTTACCCACCCCTGTCCGACTTTCCTTCTGGCCAAGGCTGTGTTTCACTGGACAAGTGCCACGTCCCAAACACTTACTGCAGCGAGCCGCCACTTACCCCGCCGGAGTCCACTGTCCGTGCGCGTTTCACAGCGCTCACTCTCTACTCCCTGACCTTCCACCAGAGACACGGCACGTCTACCCGTTGAGGCCCAGATGGGGGTTCACGGGCCGAGTTCCCTACAACTACAGCCATCGCCTGTGACCCTGTCGTGAGCCTCGTGGTCCCCCCCGCCGACCTGGGACCCTGCAGAACTGTGCGTCGCGAGGAAACAAGCGCTTGTACTCCGAGGTACAAGGAGAGAGGACGCCAAGCGCTGGGCAGGGGCTCCAGCAGCAGCAGGTGCGCGACGCGGGGCAGATGGCCGGCCCTGTCACGGCCTGAGCGCCCTCGTCAAAACAGTCCGGCGATGCGGGCTGCGGCCCGAGGCGTCCAGGCCGAAGCAGACGGCGGGACTTCCCGCATCCGGCCAGGCCGCGCGCCCCGCACTCACCTCGGCTTCCGACGCCTGGTTCAGGCCGCCCGCACCCGCACGGTTAACGACGCGGAAAGGTCACCGAGCGCGCAAGCGCCGCGCGGGGCCCGCCGGGAAGGCGGAAGGAGCGGCGGCGCTCGGGGGCCAGAGCGCCTCCCGGGCCCGGCCTGTGCCCCACAGCGCCCCCAGCGGTCGCCCCGGCGCGGCAAGCTGGCGGAGCGCGCGGGGGGAGAGGCTGGCCGAGGGGGCCTGGGTGTGCTCGTCCGGACACGGAGGCTAACGGGTGCGGGACTTCCGGTGCTGAAACCTGGAAGAATCCACCTGAAAAAGGTGGCCACCTTTATTTGCTGTATTAAGGCTGAGAAGTGGTCTCCTCTCTGGTTTTCTTTCCCAATGTACGTTTGTTTGTTGAGAGCAAGAGAAAGCGCGAGCGAGTGGGGGAGGTCAGAGAGGGAGAGGCGGAATCCGAGCCGGCGGGCTCCAGGCTCTGAGCTGTCGGCGCAGAGCCCAGGGCAGGGCTTGAACTCAACTTGAAATCATGGCCGGATCCGAAGTCAGACGCCCAACCTACTGGGCCACCCAGGCGTCCCATTTTTTTTTCTTTTTGAGAGCGAGCGAGCGAGCGAGCGAGCACATGCGCTGGGTAGCGAGCGGCAGACGCAAGGAGGCGGAGAAATCTTAAGCGGGCTCTGCACTTGGGGCTTGATCTCACAACCCTGGGATCACGACCGGAGTACAAACCGAGAGTCCGAGGCTCAACCAACCGAAGCAACAAGGTGTCCCCTCCCACCTGCTATTTTCTTGCTATTTCTCTATTAACTGTTTTGCTCTGCGTATTTTTATGCAGCTATCCTGTGCGTGGCAATTTTAGTCCACAAACAACCGGACTTCAAAGACACAGGCTTTGAAAACAACTCTGTTGTGGCGCCTGTGTGGCTCAGTCGGCTAAGCGTCGACCTCGGCTCAGGTCGTGATCTCAGGGTTCCCGGGTTTGAGCCCCGCATCGGGCTCTGTGCTGACAGCTCAGAGCCTGGAGCCTGCTTGGGATTCTGGGTCTCCCTCTCTCTCTGACCCTCCCCTGCTCGTGCTGTCTCTATCTCTCTCAGAAATAAATGATATTTAAAAAAATAAGTAAAACAACCCTGTTTACTATCTGCGAGGAAATAAACAAGACTGAAAGTTTCATTAGAAAACTGGAAATTCTAATAAAGAAACAAAAAACCACTTAGACAATCTGAAAAAAAGCCAGCTAGAAATTGGGTAAATTTAGCAGCAGATTAGACAGCTGAAGAATTACTAAACTGAAAGCCCTGTTCAAAGATACCATTCAGAAGCACAGGGAGACCAAAGAGATGAAGAGACAGGGTACAGTAGAAAAGTCCCTCATATATGTCACCTCAGAAGGAAAGGAGAGTGAGGTGGGGAAGAAATACAGAATAATGGCTGGCTGAGAATTTTCCAAAAATGATGGGGGGGAAAAATCACACCAAAGATTCAGAAAGCCTTACAGAAACCCAGCAGGCTGATAAATGAAAATAGACCAACACTCTGAAATAAACAGAAAACAAGTAAAATAAAACCATATAAAAATAAATACCATAGAAAACCATAGAAAAGTAAAGATGAGAAGATCTTAATTGTCTATCTAGAATTCTATGCACATAGAAACTAGGTTTCAGTAAAGAAGGTGAAATAAAGACATTTTGGATAACCGAAGACTGAAGGAATGATCCCCAGTAGAGCCACAGTCCTTTACAAAAAACAAACCAATGTTCATTACTGAGGCAGAAGGGAGGTGAGCGCAGACGGAGGGATGAGGACCATAGAAAGAAGAACAGAGAGCACGGTCCTGCTTTGAAGGGGAAAAAGCTGAGGATCAAATGAAAGCCGCACTCACAACTTGAAAATCTTGCTATTTTAGGGTCGTGGTTCTCAAAGTGTGGTTTGGGGGTTTCCAAGGACCTCGGGGTGTCGAAACTATTTTTGTAACAATGGTAAGATGTTATTTGTCTTTTTCACTAGAATGATCTCACAAGTATTCTGTGGAGTTTTCCAGAGGCTGACTTGTGATGTCACAATGGGATGAATACAGAACAGATATGACAATCCAGCTATGTCTCATTAAGGCAGGGATTAAGAGATCTACGAAGTAAAAGTGTCACTCTTCTCACACAGAGCGACTTTTCATAAAAATATTCTCTTTAACATCAAATAGGTTGTTTCTTAAAAATGAATCGATAAATAAGCGAAATATCTCAGTTGTAATGCCTAATAAAGTAGATGTAACCCACAGAAATGAAACTTCTCTAGCGTCTTCATTCATTTTTAAGAGTAGAAAGGGGTCCTCAGAGAAGGACCAGGTTTGAGAACCAGTGTCCTAGAAAAAGACTGTTTTAGACTATTAAAAGGTAGGAAACTACTGACTGATAACAAAACAAGCATTTAGGGAAAACTCACGAGTATTGTCATAATCTATTTCAAGACAACAAAGCTTTTGAACTTCAAACTCCACCTGAGATCAACAGAATTTTCAGGTCTTTTGTTGCAAATCCAAAACACCCTATGAAGAGGCGCCTGGGTGGCTCAGCTGGTGAAGCATCTGACTTCGGCTCAAGTCATGATCTCACAGTTCATGGGTTAGAGCCCCACGTCGGGCTCGGTGCTGACTGCCAGCTCAGAGCCTGGAGCCTGCTTCAGATTCTGTGTCTCCCTCTCTCTCTGTCCCTCCCCTGCTCACACACACACTCTCTCTCAGAAATAACTAAAAATCATTAAAAAAAAATTAAAGAAAAAACCCCCAAAACACCCTATGAAAAATACACCTTCAAAGGAAACAGTGTCTAAAGATAGAGCCACGCCAGCAGGTGTAGGCACGGTGCAGAGCGCTGCACGCTGTAGCTGAGGCCAGAGGAGACACGAAGGTGCTGTGGACGCAGCTTCTCCCACTGTCAGGAGCGCTGCTCAACAGCATCAACATGGTTTGTCAGTCTCACCTGCGTTTTCCCTTCGGCTCCGCAGCTGGAGCTGCTCTGGGGATACAAATGCGCCCTCTGCCAATGCCCAGAGGACTTCCCGCGTGCTCTGGTCTAAATGTCTATAAGCGGACTGAGAACTGTCAGGCTGTCTCTTCCAACACTGGACAGGAAGGCAAGATGAGCTGGGCTGAGTATGAAGCACCAAGAACTACTGAGCAAATGAAGGGGTCAAAGCTATTCAGTCTATGATGACAGAGTGTTATCCAGGAGCCAGGAAAATGGCAATTAAATGAGAACAAATTTCGAAACTGAAATGGAAAAGGCAGACAGACAGACAGACACACACACACACACACACCAAGACAGTGTCCTTAAACTGCAGTTAAAAACTCAAAACTCCAGGGGCTCCTGGGTGTCTCAGTGGGTTAAGCGCCCAACTCTCGGTTACTGCTCAGGTCATGATCTTGCCATTTCATGAGTTTGAGCCCACATGAGGCTGTGCACTGATGGGGTGGAGTCTGCTTGGGATTCTTCCTCTCTCTCTCTGCCCCTCCGTTACTTATGCTGTCTGTCTCTCTCAAAATAAACACATAAACTTAAAAACCCCCTCAAAACTCAAGAGGACTGAGGGAGATAGTAACCCAAAAGGTTCAAAGAACATAGAAAAAGACTTCCAATCACCTTACACCCGCTAGAATTGGCTAAAATAAAAAAGACAAGAAATAGCAAATACTGGTGAGAGAAACACTTGGAGAAAAGGGAATGCTTGAACACTGTTGGTGGGAAGGAAATTGGTGCACTGTGGAAAACAGTATGGAGGTTTCTCAAAAAATTAAAGATAGATAACCAAATGATACAATAATTCCAATACTAGGTATTGATGCCCCCAACCCAAAACCACGAATTCAAAAAGATATCTGCACCTCTATGTTTATTGCAGCATTTTTACAACAGCCAAGATATGGAAGCAAACCAAGTGTCTATTGCGAGACAAATGGAAAAGGAAGACAGACAGACAGACACACACACACACACAGGAATATCGGCCCTAAAAAGGATGAGATTGTGCCATTTCCAACAACATGGATGGACCTACAGTGTATTATGCTAAGTAAAATAAGTCAGACTGAGAAAAACAAATGATTTCTTACACGTAGATTCTAAACAAATGAATACATCAATAAAAAGCAGAATTGATTTACAGATACAGAGAACAAACAGAGTTGCTAGAGGGAAAGGGGGATTGGGCAAAATGGGTAAAGGGGAGTGGGAGATACAGGCTTTCCGCTTATGGAATGAGTAGGTCATGGGAACAAAAGGCACAGCACAGGGGATCTGGTCGATGATACATAATAGTGCTGCATGGTGACAGAGGTAGCTACTCTAGTGGTGAGCGCAGCATAAGGTACAGAGTTGTTGAATTACTGTGTTCTACACCTGACACCAATGGAACATTGCCTGTCAACTATATTCAAATAAAAAAAGAAAAAGCCCAGTCTTCTAAAAATAAAAAATAAAAAGAGCAACTTCCACTTGAAAGCCTACTGTGACAGACAAGGGACAACAGAATGTGGGAACCGTAAATACTAGCAACACAAATGTGTTTCAGTTGATGGAAGCAGTTTTTTTTTTTTTTTTTAATTTCCAGGAGAGAGAGAGAGACAGCGTGAACAGGGGAGGGTCAGAGAGAGAGGGAGATATAGACTGAAACAGGCTCCAGGCTCTGAGCTGGCAGTCAGCACAGAGCCCGACGCCGGGCTCGAACCCACGAACCGCGAAATCATGACCTAAGCGAAAGTCGGACGCTTAACCGACTAAGCCACCCGGGCGCCCCTGAATGAAGCAGTTTCAATGCATTTCGGGAGATTTAGAACATGTTCTAGCCTTCTCATCAACTATGAACTCACAGTCCTTTTTAGTCAATACGGAGTGACATCTGAAGAGTTTCAATGACTTCGTGATTACATTTTTATTTATTGAAAACCAGGTGTTTTCCGTTGCCAAAAGGTGTGTGGGCGAGGGGCACCTTCTGCAGGCTGCCGTGTTTGGAAAAGTTAGAACGGGAAGCCCAGAGCTCACAAATATAAGCTAGTGGTGAGGTCAGGACTTGGACCTGGGACCCCGGCTCAGTACCTGCTGGCCTCATTTTTTGGTGAAACGTCCAAAGCTCAACCCTCACCCAGTCTGACTACTGTCTGGACTGCTCTCAAGCTGACCTCTATTCGCCACTCTTGGAGCCACTTCCAGTCCTTCGCTCGACTTCACAACGTCGGTCCTCACCAGGCTCCTGATGCCTGCCGCGTGCTCTTTCGCCCTGGTCTTTGCAGGGAGCCCGCACGACGCAGGACTCGCACGACGGAATGACGCCTGGCAGGCCACCACGCCGCTCCTCTTGTTCTCCGGGCCGCCTCCCTCCCTTTGTCCTTTACCTGGACAGCAGACACTCAACCCCCTTCTTCCGTTTTTCTTCCATCCCCCACCTTGAGGCTTCTCAGCGCGGTACCCGGCCTCTGGGCACAGGGCCCGGCGCGCAGCAGGCGCTCCATCAAGGTCCGGCCCTCGTCGGCCCGGAGCGCCAAGCCGCGGGCGTACCCCCAGAGGGTATGTGTGGAGGGCGAGTCAAGGCCAACTTCTTGCACCTCCTGGATCTGCTGATACCCCGACCCAGGCCCCTAGAGCACAGAGGGGCTCTGAGCGGCTCCCCGGCTGACTCACGGCCCGCCGCAGTGGCTCAGATGTTCCCCGACGTGCGGAACAGCGACGCGGCCACGGCGCAGGCGCCGGGCCACCAGCGCTCCCGGCAGGCCTAGCGCGGCGCGGCGCGGCGCTGTGGGGCGGGGCCGACGGCACGAGGTTCCGGCCGTGCGGGCGCTGGCACGTTCTGATTGGAGGGCCCGGGAGGGGCGGGGCCGCGTTTCCGCCGCCACGACGCGCCGTCGCGTTCTTGGCGTCGTCTGTTCCCGCGGTCCGGCGGACTGTTGAGGTGGCGTCGTCGCCGGGCCGGGAGCATGCTGCGCAAGCTCACCCTCGACCAGATCAACGACTGGTTCACTATCGGCAAGACCGTGACGGATGTGGAGCTGCTGGGCTCGCCGCCCGCCTTCCCGGCCGAGGCGGCCAGGGACGGGGCGCAGCGCACGGCTGCGGCCTCCGGCTTCAGCCCCGCAGCCGGGGCCCAGGCCCAGGCCCAGCCAGCGGCGTCCCGGAGGTAGGAGGCTGAGGGTGGGTGCGAGGCCCAGGCGCGGCCAGGAGTGGGCGTGCGGTTGGGGGGTGGGTGCGAGGCCCAGGAGCGGCCAGGGGTTGGGGTTCGGTGGGTGTGGGTGTGAGGCCGGAGCGCTTAAGCCTCCCCAGACTCTGCATGAGTATGTCCCTGGCCCCCAGGCTGGGCCACCCCGTGACGTAGGCCGGGTTAACCCTTCTGGAAGTTGAGCCACTCCAGAGTTAGTTTCCTTTTTAAAGTTTTCTCTTTCTTTCTTTCCTCCTTTCTTTCTTTATAGACAATTTTTAGAGCAGTTTAGATATATAGAAAATTTGAGAAAAGCCCCACGTTCCCTTGCTGTTAATGTCTTTCTTTAGTGTCGTTGGTGCCGTTTGAGTGTCGCGTCGATGTGGACACGTTATCATTACCCAGAGTCCGTAGTGACGATGAGGGTTCCCTCTGAGTACTGTGGTCTGTGGTTGTGAGCAGGTGTGTGAACCTGTATCCACCGCCTACAGAATCGTGTGCCCCACCTTCCTCCCCAACCCTGGCAACCGCTGATCCATTCAGGATCCATAGTTTTGCGTTTTCCAGAATATATCATAGTTGGAATCACACCTCTTTAGCCTTTACAGATCTGCTACTTGGGTTTTGTAACATGTGTTTAAGTTTTTTCCATATTTTTTTCAGGGTGTGATAGCTTTTTTTTTTAAACGTGTTGAATAATATTCCGTTGTCTGGATTTACCGCAGTCTGTGCATTTACCTACTGAAGGATGCCGGTAGCTTCCAAGTTTTGGCAGTTACGGTAAAGTCGTGGTAAACATTTCTGGAAGGTTTTTGTGGGTCAAAGTTTTCAGCCCACTTGGATGAATACCAAGGAGCTGGAATGCTGGATCTTTGTTCAGTTTTAACGCTCCTTCTCCCACTATTTTTTTTTTTTTTTTTTTTATCTTAAACAACTGCTCTTGGTTCATCTGTTCACATGATTTTGGTGGAAATAAAAAGGCGAGAGGAGGTCATCTGTCTTTAGAAGATCTGGAGCTGGTGTACAGAAACACTTGCTTCCTCTTTAAAGTGGCTGGTATGGAGTGTGTGCATCACTCCCATCCTGGAGTGTGTGTGTGTCAGTGCTTGGACCTCCTCCTGCCATGTTCGACACTGTTTACAGTTGATAGGGTAGTTTTTGTTTTCCAGTTTTCGTAAAAGTTACTCTTGTTGGCTGGCCCCATCAGGTTTTCACTAAGTTGCTTCAAGCCTTGGGAGGGTCAAGGACAACTTGGGATCTTTGGTAAACTTGTTTCTTGGAGGCGGGGAGGGGACAAAGAGACCCTTGTGCAGCTTTAGAGTGGCTTTTTTGTTGCTGTTTTTGCACTTTTTTTCCCTTGAGTTACTCTGGCGAGTAATCCTGTAGGCCACACTCTCTCTTAGTGCTCCTCTGCTTTTAAGGGCAGAGCCGTGTCGCTTCTAAAGAACCTTGGTAGTGGAAGTAAATTATTACTGACCTTTTCAGAAACTAAAAGTGTAGATGTAAACGTCCTAACTACTAAGGACTGGTATTTACAATTTTCACTCCTTCATGGATTGAGACTTTGAAAAATCAATAAAAATGAAATTTCAGAGTAATGGCATGAAAAAAAGGCAAAATATAAGCACCATTTAAGTATTAATTTATCATGTAAAATTACTTTGGAAAATTGCCATAAACGTTTCAACTTCTGTATGTAACTAGAAATAGGCAAGTAGCATTGAGATTTGTCTCTGTTGTGCTTCAAGCCTGAGCAGCACTTCCTGTGAAAGGCCCTTCACCACGTGCATATTTAACACTACCATATAGTGGGTGCTCAAATACAGCTATATTTCTAAATCGTCAACTTTGTAGTTGAGGAAACAGACTTAGGTGGTAAAGTGTCTTGCTCAATAACTTCCTGAAGTAAATAGTCACAGGAGGTAGATTGACCCTCTACCCCCCTCCAGAGATAACCACTGGACCCTGTGACCATGTTCTGTCACAGGAATGACGGATTTTGTGGATATAACTAAGGTTATAGATTCTAAAACAGGGAGACTACCTGGATCGTCTAATGACACGAGCCCTTAAAAGCAGGGATTTGAAACGTGAGAGGGACATGACCAGTTGCTGCTAGACAGGACCACAAAGGAAGTAGGAGAAGACTGTGGACAGCTAGGAGCAAAGATGGGATCCCGGCTGACGGCCACAGGGGAACGGGGACCTCTGTCCTACAACTTCAGGGAACTGAATTTGGCCAACAAGCCTGAATGAGCCTTCTGTAGTGAATGCAGTCCTGCTTTCACTTTGTCCCAGAGAAGGCTTTCCCATGGAAACTCTCCGTTTCAAATCACTGTATCTGGTGATTCCTTTTTTCCTAATTCAGTTTTTCTGTCTTGGTATCCCTCAGGTAAGTTGAGTGCCCGCTGCGCTGAGCACTGTGTCACGTAACAGGCAGCACAGCAGTCTGTCCTTCTGACAGACAGGGAAAGTCCCATTTTATAGTTGAAGATTGGGTAAGTTGAGAAACTGACCCCCGTCCACCTATTTATTATGTTGTAGGATGGGTGTCTGACTGCAGAGTATATTACCTTTCCCTTCTTGCCTGTTGCTTTTCAGTACGTAGGCTCTGCATGCCTGTTAGTGTGTGTACATGTTCATCCTCTGAGGATTCCGGTTTCTGTTCACCACGAAGGCCATGCTTTTTAAAGACCTTTTTGTCTGTAACGGATTTAGTTTACTAGGCCCCTTGCCCGCAAGTTAGAGTATTCTGTGTATAATTCAGTGCCACTGGAGGGGAGTGGCTGCGTGCCTGGGGGCCACAGAGCTGGTCTACAGTTGTCTCTGAAATCAGGGAGGACTTTGCTGCTTCGTCTGAGGCTACTGGGGGGCCATTGGAGAGCACTGTGGGGTGTGGAGCAGAGCTGTGGGGTGATGTGACTTCTGGCTCTGACAAGACCACTGCTGTGTGGACTGCACTGGACAGGCCCCGGGTGGTGACGAGGCTAGGGGAGAACCCATCGATGTCATCCGTGACATAACTTTGTGTGGCAGTTCGGCTGGGCAATGTTGCTGCTGTTTGGCCCAACATGATTAAAAAAAATTTTTTTTAATGTTTGTTTATCTTAAAGAGAGCAACAGACTGAGCATGAGCAGTGGAGGGGCAGAGGGAGAGGGAGACACAGAATCTGAAGCAGCTCCAGGCTCTGAGCTGTCAGCACAGAGCCTGATGTGGGGCTTGGACCCACAAACTTTGAGATCATGACCTGAGCTGAAGTCAGATGCTTGACTGACTGAGCCACACAAGTGCCCCTGGCCCAGTATGATTCTGGATGTTTCTGTGCAGGTGCTTTTTGGATGAAATGAACATTTAAATTGATGGGTTTTGAGTAAGGCAGGTTACCTTCCAAGTTGTGGGTGGGCCTCATCAAATCAGTTGAAGACCTGGCTAGAGCAAAGATTTACCTCCCAAAGCACGAAGGAATTCTGCCAAGTCCCTTCAGACTCAGACTTTCCTCAGGTTTCCAGTCTGCTGGGCCCGCCTGCACAGTTTGGACTTGTGTCTCTACAATCTCATGAGCTAATTCCTTAAAATAAATCTCTCTCTACATACACATGCCTGTCCTGTTGGTTTAGTTTCTCTGGCGAATGCTCACGGATGCGTGAGCCAGGAGGAGAGGATGGCGGGTTAGACCAGGGCTGTGGGATTGGAGGAGGGAAGGGTCTGCAGTTTGGCTGTATTCCTGAGACCCAGGCAAAGACTTTGTAGCTGGATCAGATACAGGACATGCGTGGGGGAGCGATAGGGGGCGACACCCAGGCTCCTGGCTGAGCGGCTGGAACATGTTGCCATCTCCTGAGAAAGGCAGGACTGCAGGAGGGGCTGGTGTATGGGGAGACTTTTGATTTGAACCCGTGAACTTGACATTGCTGTTAGGTAACAGTAAATGTGGGCAGTCTGGAACTGAGGAAAGAAGCCAGGCTGGAGTTAGATGTTTGGAGGTTTAGTTTAAGGCTTAACTAAACCTTAATGAGCTCCCCCAGACTATGGGTGGTGGATCCTAGCGGGTGAGTGCATAGAGAAGAGCTCCAAGGACCCGAGCTTGGACCCCTTGAGTGTTTAGATAAGGTTGATGAGATGGAACCAAGAAGAGTGAGGAGGAACATCTGGAAGGCTCTGGAAAACCAAGCGGGTGGCCCTTTGTGAAGAACCATTTGTCTCGTACCCGGCACCTGCACCTCTTAGCGCTTGTACGGAGTCGCTCTATGCTGTTTTCCCCACAAAAGGGCTTCTTGAGGGAACATTTTATCACTGACTGTCCACCTCCTAGTGTCCTGCCTGACCCAGAGTAGGCGCCCAGGTGCCTGCAGGAACAAGCTGCCTCAGCAGGTCCCAGTTCCTGAGTACTTACAACATGCTAGAAATGAGAATGGCTTCCTTATCTGCTCCTGCCTTGACTGAATCATGAAATCTGCCATTTTCCTATGACCACAGCTGATTTCGCTAGGGTGTGTGTGTGTGTGTGTGTGTGTGTGTGTGTGTGTATAATCCGATGAAATCAGAACATCCTGGCAGATGTTTCCAGAATTAGAGTGCACTTTACTGTTCATGTTCTCACCAGCCTGGCCTAAACAAACTACCCTCTCTTTCCTGGATCATTGCAAGAGGTTTCTATTTTTTTTTTAAATGTTTGTTTATTTTTGAGAGAAAGAGAGAGAGAGAGAGAGACAGAGCTTGAGCAGGGGAGGACAGAGAGAGGGAGACACTAATTCTGAAGCAGCTCCAGGCTCTGAGCTGTCAGCACAGAGCCCGACGCGGGGCTGGAACCCACGAACCGTGAGATCATGACCTGAGCCGAAGTCAGATGCTTAACTGACTGAGCCCCCTAGGCGCCCCAAAAGCCTTCTATTTTTAGTCTCCTAGCTTCCCATCCTCCCCCCCCCCACCCCAAGGTAGTCTAGCACCTAGAACCTAGAAGAATGCCTGGCATGAAGTGGACAATCAATTAATATTTGGTGAATGAGCACATTCTTGAGTGAACATTCACCTGAGGTTCTTTGAGTATGTGTGCGGCTCTCTGTGGCTGGATTGTCATTAAAGTGTGGACTCTGGTGGCTGAGCCAGCCTTCGTCCATGTGACGTCTGCCCAATCTGCTGCTGCCCTCTGGCCACGTTGGCATTGATTTCTACTGCACTGCCTGGAGTGCCTGCCCTCCCCGCCCTGTTCCTTTCCGTGACGGCCTGCACCCCGGGCGCTGTCCCAACATCTGCCCCTTACACAGGCCTCCCATGGCGTCCGCTGCTGCAGAAATCCTCCCACCTCCTGTCTCTGTCTCTTAGTCTCTTTCAACCCTGTTTTCTCCTCTAAAGCACTTGCCATGTGCCCCAGGTCTTACCTCTTTGGGATGTGTTTTTGGCCCCTCCACCATCAGGACTGGTTCTGAGATTTCTTGTTCTGAGACTCCCCAGGAATTGGATGGTTCCGTGGCATTGTTTACTGAGCTGAAGTGTCTAAAGAGCTATGCTTTTTGTGTGTACGTGTGTTGCTTTGATTCATTTGTACCTTTCTTGATTTGTACTTATCCTTTCAGAAAACAAACCTCTGTGACTTTGGTTGCCTGTGGGCATCCAAGAGGAGGTGTCAGGTAAGCAAGTGACTCTGCATTTGGAGCTCAGAGGGTAAGTTGGGGCTGGAGGCAGTGCAGGGGCCTGACGAACAGACGCCAGTCCCTGCCCTGTTCCCTGAGGTTGGACAAGCCATTCAACTTGTTTGAGGCTGTTTGTTCATGTGTCAAGTGGGAGTAATAATTACTTTCAAGGTAAGGATTAAATGAGAATATGTATACAGTGCTTTGCACATAGCACTTGACATGTGAAAGAATGATTTTAAATGGATTATTAAATGGATTGGGCTGGTTAATAATGCTGACTTCTGAGGGGCGCCTGGGGGGCTCAATTGGTTAAGAATCTGCCATTGGCTCAGGTCATGATCTCATGGCTCGGGAGTTTGAGCCCTGCATTGGGCTCTGTGCTGATAGCGCAGAGCCTGCTTCAGATCCTCTGTCCCCCTCTCTCTGTCCCCTCCCACATGTGTGTGCGTTCTCTCTCCCCCCCCCAAATAAACATAAAAATACGCTAACTTTTGAGAGCTTACGATGTGTCAGATATGCAGAGTTCTCTTCTGTGGATTAACGTATATTGCACCTCACCATATTCTAGCTAAATCTTTTAGTCACTGAGCCGGTACTCTCTCTTTATAAAACATGCCTGAAGTTTTCCTGGTAATTATTTTCCCCATTTGCACTCCCTAATGTTTTTGACCCTTGTTTTCTTGCCAACTCTAGGTACTGTAAGCAGCACAATGTATATAAAATGGGATCTGTTAATATTCAGGAAGTTTATTTGTGTTAAATTTCTATTTGATTTGTACATCTTCCAGAAACAACTGTAGTATTTTTCTTTTGAAGTTTATTTATTTTGAGAGAGCGAGCACGAATAGGGGAAGGGCAGAGAGAGAGGGAGACACAGAATCCGAAGCAGGCTCCAGGCTCTGAGCTGACAGCACAGAGCCCGACGCGGGGCTTGAACCCACAGACCGTGAGATCATAACCTGAGCCGAAGTTGGACGCTTAACCGACTGAGCCACCCAGGCGCCCTGAAAGTATTTTATTTTAGAGGGAGAGAGAGAGAGAGGATTCAAAGTGGGCTCTGCACTGACAGCAGCGAGCCTGATACGGGGTTCGAACTTGCAAGCTTTGACCTGACCTGAGCCAAAGTCAGATGCTCAACTGACTGAACCACCCAGATGCCCCTCTGTTTCTTTTTTACACTTTCCCTTAATGTTAGTTGCTATTGAAAAATACTGTAATTAGTAACAAATCTGAGTATTGGAGTAAAGTACCACTTAGTCTTTTAAACTGCCCATTATCTTCTCTGTCACTGCCCGTCCTCCCTTCCCTGCTGAGAATGACCTGAGGCGGCTGTGTTTTACTGTAAAAGTAAGATTCACATCAGTTGCTTATTTTATTCTATAACAGCTTCCTTTCAGAATAAAAGTCAAGGTTAATGTCTAATTTCCACACAGAATCTGTCCAGTTTCATACTAAGTAAAATGCCTATGAGATATGTTTGAGGTAAAGAAAATACTTCAAACATTTTTTTCAAAATATTTGGAACCATTTTAGACAGAAGTCTACTGTTCAATAAAACATTGCATTTTTAGAGTGATTAAAAAAGGAACATTACTTAAAACCTAGGGTGTGGAGTTAAACACTACTTAACATCTGACTTGGCAACAAAACATGAAATCACTTTTTCTCACTCTTACTATTAAAGAGTTCTTGTTCCAAAGGTGCTCATAGAAACTCCTCTGGTTACAAGGTACTTAACTTGATGGGTGGTAATACGGTAGGTTCCATATCCTGTGCGAGAACGCCGGGAACCTGTTTTTTGTGGTCTTGTCCACGTAACTGGAAATCGTGGGTATTTCGTCCTTGTCTGAACTCTGGGAGCTTGTGGCTGGCGTCACAGAAGGAGCAGGGCAGTCTGGTCTCCTCGACTCTTCCCGGCCTTCCTGCTGCTCGCCTTTGTCAGCACTGTTCAGGAAGTCTTTCAGAACCTGCTTGAAGATGTGGACTATTTCCCACGGCAGTACATCATTTTCTGCTAAAACTTCTCGGAACCTAGAGGGAAGGCAGTAATGAATATTCAATTCAGAAACTTTCTTCTGTGCGTATTTGTTAATCTCCGAAATACGGCTGAAATAGTGTAATCATATAGTAGTTACTTTTTGAGTAATCTGCTCATCCCTTTAAAATTACGCTTCTAATAAAGAAATTTTCTGTGACTTAGAAGTATTTCCTAGCCAGTAAGATATTTTTAAAGTCCAGCCTACCCTTGGGGATTTTGGTTTTGAGTTTTTGATGCACATGATAAAAGTATTTACCTGATAGAATACAGTTTCCAATCTAGATATATGAAGAACTTGGACTTGACAGCAGCATATATTGCAAAAGAGAACATAGTATTTTTACCTGCTGAGAATAGTTCCGGTCTGACAAGGTTGAACTTGTGAGCAAAGGACTTCAAGTTGTCTTTGTTCTGTAGCCGGGATGGTCATGTGGGGGTTCTGGTAGTTTCTCAGCCAGTTGTAATCCACTCCTGTTTTTTTTACTTTTTGTTCATTTTCAATCTCTTGTATTAGTCTCTCTCGCTCCTTCAGATGCCACTTTAATTCCCGAAGCAGAGTCTTTGTCACTATGTCTGAGCCAGGGCAGTGTGTGGGTTTGTAGGCATCGTATTTTGGCCATTTCATCCAGCCAAAAAGTGGCATTTTTAGCCTATGGAAATAGTCTCACTTGTTTATTTGCATAAAATGTTGTGGTTCTGATGAGCATATCTGTTTCTTTTCAATACATTTGCCAGAAAACTGCGTGAATTTTTCACTGGTTAGATATGCAGGTCAGAATAAGATTAGAACGTGGATTAAATCTTTTGATTTCTAACTAGGTCAGTACCAAAAACCAAGCTTTGAAAACACATTATGTAGCTAAGCGGAAGTGAAATATACAAAGTCAGAGATAATCTCCAGACTGCAAATTTTCTGAAAATAACACTAGAATTTGCTATTAAAAGTTCTTAGGAAGCTTTAAAACATGAATGTATAGAAAAGCGCTGTCCACACACACACACTTTTGACTTAGGTTTTGCGCAGAAAAGGTTTAAAGCGTACCTGGCAAGGTAATGGATCCGAGGTGCTGATGTTGCCGAAGAGTTTTCCTGAGTCAGTGACAAAGCTGTGCCTTACTGGGGCATATATTGTTCTTCCGATGCGTTCCCTGTGGGGAGGAATTAACCTCCTTATTTACCCACTGAAACCGTATTTGAAATAAATCACTTTCTATGTTAGGAATGAGGTTGTGATGTCTTCATTTAGAGAGAACGCTCATTAATTCACCTTGTAAGTAAGCTAGAAGAAATGACAAAAATAACTTACTATTTAATCTTCACAAATTATATAATGGTCTGCCTTTTGAATGTAGCTCCGTCTATGTGAAAAAGATGCTGGCAGCCTCGGGCTCTGGTCCTAAACGCACTCAGACTTGTCTTCGGGGAAGTCCGTGAGGCAGCACGGATGCGCTCTCAGCTGCGGGGAAGACTGTGATGGGTTGTGGAGCTCCCAGCTGCAGGGCGGACCGGCGGGGTGTGGTGCTCTGCCATGCGTAACTGTGGGTCACAGCTCAGGGCAGTGAAATTGTGGGGCGCTAAAAATAACCATGCTGCTTTTATTCTTCTGCTTAACTCTCAGGCCATCTAGAAGCCAGGTCACTGTCCCCTCTAATGAGAGCAGGAAAAACAGATCAATCTTGATGGTTTGCAAAATATCCATTCTGAGAAAATTCTGAGCAAAATGGGGAAAGAACACTGGTATGAGTCCTAGGTTTAACTGTGTAATCAGGGCTATTTTCTGTATTCAGCTTGTTTCTCTTTCTAACTAGTAGTGAAATTTGTATGTTTAGGCCAGTTGTGGTGCCAGAGGACATAGATGGTGAAGTAGGTGGCTTTAGAATATAGTTTATAATCTCTTAAAAAATTTTTTTTATATGTTTTATGTATTTCTGAGAGAGAGAGAGAGACAGCATGAACAGGGGAGGGTCAGAGAGAGAGGGAGACACAGAATCTGAAACAGGCTCCAGCCTCTGAGCCGTCAGCACAGAGCCCGACGTGGGGCTTGAACCCACGAACCGTGAGATCGTGACCTGAGCCGAAGTCGGACGCTCAACCGACTGAGCCACCCAGGCGCCCCTAGTTTATAATCTCTTGAAAAACAGTAATAATAAATTAAGGTTAGGGAAAAATGGAGACCTAAGGGCACATGAAATTGACAGCAAAACCTTATAATTCATTACAGAGAAGAGGATTATGGTGTTTTCTAGCTGCCGGTGAGACATACTTACTGTTCGGGTGAGTGCCAACGCAACGAGTGAGGGTCTTCGTGTGTTGTCTTCCTGCCGGTGTCGCGGGTCTCTTGCTAAAGGGCCGGCAGGTCTTTTTCTCTCTGCTGCTGTGTTCAGTGACTGCAGTGGCTTCTCCTTTTATAACACTGGTTCTTCTGTTGCCTTTTCCTTCAAATGAACCGTGAAGAATAGACGTGGTTTACATCAGACCCGCGTGTCACGCGTGATACAGAGTGACGAGTGTGGTCAGCCTGCAGCCCCTGTTACTTACACGTGAGGAACAGGCCGCTGTCTGCATCTGTTAGCTTCCCCGGGCGGGTTTTCACATCACATCGTGTGCGGCGCCGGGAGGACGGAGGCGGTGAAGTTTGTCGTGACAGATACGTCCCAGCAGATTTTCTGCTAAAGTTACGATGAATCCTGACACTTCTCCCTTTGAATAACCTCCTTGCTCTTGCTTTAATGTGAAATGTTTTTGCCTCTGAGGTGGTGACCACAATGTTGGAAGTGTGTTGGGTGTGGAACATGAACCACGTTTCTTTACAAGGCCTCCTGTGTCTCCGCTTCCTGCTGGCTCTCCCGCGCTGCCCCGGAGCGTGTCTTCCCTGCTCGTGCCCCCCCCCCCCCCGCCGGCCCCCTCACCATTGCTCACACGGACTCTGTGGTCTGAGATGTTCATTCTCTCTTCCTTTTATCCCGTTGTAATTCTTTCCAGGGCCCAGTGGAATTCCACCTCGTGTGTTGCTTCCGTCTGAGGGAAAGCAGCCACATACTGCCCTTGGCCCTGCTATTGCTTTGAACTTCCAGAAAGATTGGTCTGCGCTCTTGTTGTCTCTTCTCCTTATTTTCGAGTCCTTTCTGATTAGATTCTGCTCTGCCCTCCGCTGTGATTGCTGGTTTTCAGTCCCTCACAGACATTTACTCCCCGAGCGTGGCCTGCATGCTGGCTGGGAAGCCTGGGGGTGCAGGGTGGACAGGACAGACCTCGTGTCTGCCCGTGCGGAGCCCCCTCCGGTGGGGGGACAGGTGGGGGCCCACGAGTCATGGCGCAGAGGGAGTTGGCGGGGGAGGCGGGAGTGATGCACCGCAGGTCTCTCCCCATTCGTCGTGGAGGTCAGGGAAGGCCTTTCTAGGGTGCAGGCGTCCTTCGGAGATTGGAAGATCATGAGCCTTGCACACAGAGAGCTGCTCAGAGACCCCACTCCCCGGCAGACTTCTCCAGTGCCTGTCTTGCCACTGTGGCCCCTGCTCACGCATAGCCCCCACAGAGCCTTTCTTACCACTTAGCTTCCACTCCGTGCACCTTCCTTTCACCTTCCACGCGTAAGCCTGCGTTCCGGTGCTCAGGGGTGCTGCTCGTCTTACATCCAGTTCTATTTTTCTGTCCTGTCTCCTGAGATCGTTTGATTGAAATAGAGCCCAAATATTGGTACAGTGGTGCCCCTGCTACCATGTAGACGGACAGTAGAAATATTTGTGGATCAGGGTAAGAAAGGGCCTCCATGTTAATCCTTCCTGTTTATCATGCTGTAATTAGCTTAACGTGGGTTTTTTAAAAAATGTCTTTTTTAAGTTTGTTTTTGAGAGACAGAGAGGGAGAGAGACTGACAGACAGACAGAGCGTGGGCGGGGGAGGGCCAGACAGAGAGAAGGAGACACAGAATCTGAAGCAGGCTCCAGGCTCTGAGCTGTCAGCACAGAGCCTGACGTGGGCCTTGAACTCAAACTACAAGATCATGACCTGAGCTGAAGTCGGACGCTTAACTGACTGAGCCACTCAGGCGCCCCAACTTGGATTTTTTAAAACATTTTAGTATGTTGAATAAATGAGTTCTTTCTAACAAACTGTAACCACGAGGTATTTTGTGTGGAATACAGAAAGCATAAACTGTGATACTGACCAATTTCTTTTTGGTCATTGTCACAGTTTTTCTAGCTGCATCTTGTTCGCCAAAGATTGTACTGTTTTCTCAGACTTGCTGTGAGGTAGCACCGTAGCATCCACAGGGAGCGCACGTTAGCCTCAAAGGTGTGCACAGAAGTACAGAAGGAGACAAGTGTGGAAGGACACGATTTTGGAAACCTGAGGGCGAGCTGAGGAGCCGGGCCGGGTGTAATGTTTACCGTCAGGCCTCGTTGGTGCTCGGAAGCATTGACTGCAGTGGAAGGAGGCTTCCCTGCTGGGAGGAGGCTGCCAGCCGCCTGCTTTCAGTCCCTTCGCCGCTGGTTTTCAAGTCCTGATTGCTGCTGCTTCTCTCTTCCACCTCTTAGAGATGCAGTGGACGTTTGAGGAGAAACTAAAATTGGGTGAAATTCCCCAATATTATTTCTTCTTTAAAACATTTTAATTAGGAGCTCCTGGGTAGCTCAGTCGGTTCTCCATCCGACTTCGGCTCAGATCATGATCTCACGGTTCATGGGTTCGAGCCCCACATCGGGCTCTGTGCTGACAGCTCAGAGCCTGGAGCCTGCTCCAGATTCTGTGTCTCCCTCTGTCTCCACTCGTCCCCTGCTCATACTCTGTCTCTCTCTCTCTCCTTCAAAAATAAATAAACTTTAAAAAAAGAAAATATTTTAATTAAAACACTAGTACAGGTACTTTTTAAAGTTAACAATTACATTTTTATTGGGTTGGGCATTATTTATGGACTTACAGGAATTCTTAATGTACTCACATGTTTTGTGCTGTAAATGTTTTCTTCCAAGTGACTGTTGTTCTTGTCCTTTAACCTTTATAGAGAGGTTGTTCATAAGCTTAAAATTTTTGTTTTTTAAGTTTATTTTTGAGAGAGAGAGAGAGAGCCAGCAGGGGAGGAACAGAGAGAGAAGGAGACAGAGGATCTGAAGTGGGCCCTGTGCTGACAGCAGTGAGCCCAGCACAGGGCTCGAACTCAGGAACTGTGACATCATGACCTGAGCTGAAGTCGATGCTTAACTGACTGGGCCACCCAGGTGCCCCTTGTTCATAAGCTTTAGGTTACAGTTTAGTTCAGTTTATCGAGATTTTCCTTTTTGACTTTTCCTTTTTTGTGATCTTGTTTTGAAGGCCTTCTCAACTACAGAGTTATCAAATGTAGAAGAATATTAGCTTTACAGGTTTAAGAAAAGTAAGTGTCTGGGTTTTGAATTGGTTTGGAAGTGACTTGAGATTGGTGTGAGGTGTAGGGGACAGATGGCTGGTCTCCAGGCTCCGTGGCCCTTGCTCTGTCCGCACGCTCTCCTGGCTCTTTGCGCCTGGGTAGGTGTGTGCGTCCTGGGCATCTTGAACATTGAGTCATGGGGCCCAGGCTTGTTTACATCCTCTGGGGGTTGCAGCTGAGCAGCTGTGTTCAGGTGGCAGATTCCCACCAGCCTTACGTGAGGTTCCGGGGTTTCGGGGTCTCTTGGGTTTTCAGACCTGTTGGCGGTGCTGTCGGCTTGTCCTGCAGGCTGCCACCTGCTGGCCGTCCCGTAGCACAGCTCTGGGTCGTCCGTCCGTGATGGGCGCTTTGGGTTGGCACATGCTTGCGCAGCCTTGGGGTGAGTCCAGTGGCTTATGGACGGCCTTGGGGTCTCACTCCCCCAGGTGCTCTCCTGCCCCCGAGGAAGCTCCCCTTTCTGGGACTCTGGCCTGAAGTCTGGGGCTTTATTGCCCGGCTTCACCACGCGCTTCCTGCCGGTGCAGCTGCCTGCGTTCACATTCAGGGCCAAGCGGTGGGAGGACCTGGGAGGAAAGAAGGTGGTGCGGGTCCACCCTACCCTCTGGGAGATGATGTCTCCCCTCCTTAGAGTTTGAGGCTCTTGCTGACCCCTGGAAATATAAAATCTGGGGGCTGCCCTTAGAATGTGTGGGGTGCCCTCTCCTCCCTGAGGCACGAGAGCTACTTCTGGGGCGCCCTGTCTCTGCCGTGCTGTGTCTGCACTTGGGGAGAGCAGAGTTAAATGGTGGCAGACGCACCGCTGGTTAGCCTGCCGGTGCTCCATCTTTGGTCGTCTTCCCTCATCTGCCCAGCACCGTACCTCCAGCGATGCCAGGAGCGGCCCATGCGTTCCGCCCTGGCTCTGGCTTCGTTTGGACGGCACAGAGCGTGGTGTGCTTGTTTGGCCTTCCCAGGAGCTGGAGCTGGGGAAGCGGTCTCCACCCCTGTGTTCTCATACCCGGATCTAGCATGCCAGTGGGTATATTCTGTAAAGATTTTATTTATAAGTAATTACTAAACCCAGCATGGGGCTCGAGCTCACAGCCCCAAGATCAAGAGTCCCACGCTCCACCACCAGGGCCAGCCGGGCACCCCTATGCCGGCACGTCCTAGGGCTCCGCCTTCATGGCTGCCGCTCTAGTCCCAGCCATGTCATCTCTGGCCTGGTTACTGCGCTCACGTGGTAGGTGGTCGCCCTGCTTCTGAGTGCCTGTCCCATCACCGCACCCCGCTTCATCTGGTCTGAGCCATCCTGTCAGAATAGGAGTTTGATATTGCTATTTCTCTGTGCCTGCTCAACACCCATCTCCCGCAGAGCAAAAGCCAAAACCTCTGTAATTCGCCCCTGCCGGCAGCCTACCCCCTGCCCTACCCAGTAACCATCTCCCGTTCCCTGGACCTCTCGGCGCCCCCATCCTTCTCCAGGGCTCCCCTGGCCCCCCGACTCTTCTGGCACACTTGCGTCGGGGCTGGGCTTGCCTGTGTCCTCAGCCAGGAGATCTTCCCCCTCCCAGGGCTGCATGGCCCTTCTCCCTCTCTGCTGCTCTTTGGTTTAATGGCGCCCTTGTCATCCTGTTAGTATTGCAGCCGCTCTCGCTCCATCTCCTCTCCTGGCCGTGCAGCTGTTTTTCTCTGTGGGCTCCTCGCTGTATAACATACTCCATGTTTTGTTTTATTTTTCTTCTTTCAACTAGACCGTAAGTTCCATGTGGACTGTCTGCCAGCTGCTATGTCCCAGGTGCTTAGAGCAGTGCCTGGCGTGGAGTCAGGCCTTAGTTATTAAGCTGCTGAATAGAGGGGCGCCTGGGGGGCTCAGTCAGTTAAGCGCCCGACTTTGGCTCAGGTCATGATCTCATGATTTGTGAGTTCAAGCCACCCGTTGGGCTCTGTGCTGACACCTCGGAGCCTGGAGCCTGGTCTGGAGCCTGTGTTTCTTTCTCTCCCTGCCCTCCCCTGCTTGTACTCTGTGTCTATCTCTCAAAAATAAATAAACATTAAAAAATCTTTTAGTTTGCTGAGTGGATTACTGAGTAAATATCAGGTAAATAGTATCCAAAAGAATGTTGATGTAACTGCTAATAGGCTAGCAGAGCAGGCTTTGAGGCTAATAGTGTTTTACTAAAATAAACCTCAAGTTTCAAGAATTGGTATTGTGCAGTCTTCTTTCTGACACAGGGCGATTAAATTAGATGTTGATAATACAAACATGATTGAGAGCAGATTTTGCAATTTTTTTAAATTAAAAAAATGTTTTTTACTTAACATTTTGGACATGTTTGCCTGTTAGCATGAGTGTAGCCCTGGCAGTCCTTAAAAAGATACACACTAAGTAGGAGTGTGCGCTAGTTTAGCTTGGTCCTCCTTCAGACATTTGTTCTCAGATTTTAACTATTAAAACATTGTCCAAAGGTACTTTTTCTCCTTGGAGTCCTTTATATGCTTAGCTTTAAAACTGTCCCCCTGTATTACATATGGCCGTGAGTGTGTGTCTCTGTCATACCACCTTCTCTAGAGTGCTGGCTGCTGAGGCCAGGACTTTGTTTACTGCTGTATCTCCAGTGTGCTGGGGGGTCAGTAAGGATTTGCTGACTGAGTGAGCGCTGCCTTGTCTATGCACCTGCTTCCGTGTCTGCATGTTGCAATACTGTTCTATGCAAGACACTAGGAAAAATTTTGGCTCAGATACTGGCTGGTTGCCTTTCAGAATAACAGATATCTTACCGATTTGCCACTCCCTGCAGTGGTTGAAGGATAGGCAGTTTTTCTGATATGAAGGAGGAAACATTGGTTTCTCACGGTTTTATTTTTTTTAATAAAAATTTTTTTTCTTTTTTTGAGAGAGAGAGACAGTATGAGCAGGGGAGGGGCTGAGAGAGAGAATCCCAAGCAGGCTCTGCTGTTGGCATGGAGCCTGTTGTGGGGCTTGAACTCATGAATCATGAGATCGTGACCTGAGCCGAAATCAAGAGTTGGACGCTCAGCTGACTGAGCTGCCTGGTTGCCCAGTTCCTTACTGCTTTAATCTGTACTTATGTGGCGAGTGGATGTGGAGTTGAGCATATTTTCATTTGTTTAACGACCAATTTACATGTTTTCTCTGATTTAAGTGAAAGTAACTGTTCAAGAATTATAGCACGTGGGACTTCTTGGCTTTTTGGAAACAGCATATTAACATTTAATATTCTTTTCAGGCCACTTACCCAGAAGAGCTCAGAAACGGAGTATATTAACAAATATAGACAACTCGAAGCACAAGAATTGGATATGTGTGGTGGTGATCAGTCCACCAGTGGGCCAGGTGAGTGGGCATCTTTAAAGATTGTAAATCCTGCTGCGTGAGTTGTCGTACAGGTTACAGCATGACATTGCCCAAGGTTTGTAAGAAAGGTTCAGTCAACAGAGACTCTGTGTTGCTTGTTAATTCGAGATGCTTTTTTGAGTATATGTTGGACTGTAAATCAATCACTTACTTTTTTCATTTTTTAAAAAAGTTCATTTTGAGAGAGAGAGCATGTGCACTGCATATGAGCTGGGAAGGGGCAGAGAGAGAGGGAGAAAATCCCAAGTAGGCTGTCATCACGGAGCCTGACATTGGGCTCGAACCCACGAACCGCGAGATCATGACCTGAGTTGAAACCAAGAATCAGACGCTTAAGCACCCAGGCGCCCTATCACACTGTGTCATTTAGTGCTTTTTTCTCATTGTCTGGGTCCCTGCACTATATTCAGGTTAATTTCTTTTTCTTTAAAAAAATTTTTTTTAATGTTTATTTATTTTTGAGAGAGAGTGACACAGCATGAGCAGGGGAGAGGCAGAGAGAGAGGGCGCAGGGCTTGAACCTACAAACTGTGAGATCATGATCTGAGCCGAAGTTGGACGCTTAGTGGACTGAGCCACCCAGGCGCCCTTATTCAGGTTAATTTCTAATGGTTTGTGTTTCACCTTAAAGCAAAAGCGCATGGTGTTCTGTGCCTTCATCTCTGTTCTCCTGCCTCACTGCAGGCTTTGGCCCGGTGTTTCCTCACTAGGCGCTGGTTGTGTATTTCGACTACTGTCTTCAGTGCCCTCAGAGGAATATTTGTCCGAACAGTCTGGTACTTTATCACCAGAAGTGATAGTTCAAAATGTGTGTGCCCCTTAATCCAGTTTGTAGCTCTGCTGAAAGTCTGGTGCTGTACGTGGCCGAGCGCTGGTGGCTTCGTTGCTGGTCGGTGGGAAGGCTTGGAGGTGTCTCGAATGTCAGTGGACTGGGGATGGGCCGTGTCGTCTGCAGAGCGGAGCGCAGCGCGGCTCCAGGAGAGCAAGGAGGAGCTGCGTGTGTTACTGTGCACACACACCCCGTCTTGTACTTCTGCGTGTAGAGGCACGTGCGTTTTCAGAAGGCTGTGCGATGTGATCCTTGCTCCTCCCCTCTGCTGACCCTGGGCCGTGCCACCTGCCGGTCCCGGAGCGTGCTGCCGGGGTTGGCGCCGTGGGAAAGCAGCGAGGTTACAGGTGAATGCCTGCAGTTGGGGGCGTCAGCTCTAGTAACTTTTGATTTGAATTAAGATTTGGAACTGCTCTTTGCTTTCTCTGTTCCTGGCATCATAATATATTTAGAGCTTTTCACCAGGCAGTTACACACACTACAGCTCTGGCTGCATTCTGAGGATTCACTCAGCAGCCGGTATTTATCAAGGTGCATGGCAGGCCATGGCAGGCCGTGGGAACGTGGGAATGTGGAGGGGGAGTGAGGCCCGGTCCCTCATGTCCGAGAGACGCTAGTTCACTCACATAGTCACACGTCCATGCTTTGGAGACAGACACTCGGAAAGGCAGCCGTATGGGGGCCTGAGGCCAGGGTTTCTGACTCGGGCTGGGACATCAGGAGAGTAGCAGTTGATCTTGGAGCTGCCAGACGATGGACATCACCTGGGCAGCGTGGGGACCGGGTGGCGGGAATGCGTGCAGAGGGTCTGTGGCGGGGGAAGCCTGGGGCGCCAGACCTGGCACAAGTGTCATTGCTGGAGAACCGAGAGTGGCGCGGGCCACCCTGGGCGCGGGCAGCTGTGGGCGGGGTCGTAGCCCCCGAAGAGGTCCGATCCAAGTCCCCAGAGCCTGTGACTGTGGTAGCTCACAGGGGAAGAGGATCATTGCTGTTGTGATTGAGTCAAAGGCCTTGCGATGGGGAGACCATCCTGGCGGGCCCTGTGTGATCGATCACAGGGCTCTTAGATGGGCCGGGTGCGTCATAGTCACTAGGAGATGTGACCGTGGAAGCCGTAGCTTGGAGCGATGTGGCTTAGTGAAGAGAAAAATAGCAATTTTATGGTTTCTAGTTGTTTTCCAGTTCATGTAAAAATAATGTTAATAACTTAAGGTCAAAAGATAACATGAAATGAAAATAGCGAATTAGGAGGTTGAGGTATTTCTCATGGCACTTTTGGATTCTACTTTGTCCAGTGTAGTTTGCTGATTTGCCCTAAATTATCCATTTTCTTTTCCTAGAGCTTAAGCATAATGCTTTTCCTGCTCACCTCCCTTTTCGCTGATGTGTGGATGAGAGACCTGTGGCCGCGAGCATCTCCCTGTCCGTCTCCTGCCCCCCGTGGCGGTGAGCGTGGGGGCGAGTGCTGCGTGTGCTTCAGCCAGTGGCCTAGAAACGTCCAGCTGTGTTTGTGCTCTGTGGAGGACGGGCTAGGGTTTACACAGCAGAGTCAAGACTTTCAGAATTCACTTCTCATAAATTTCTCTTTAAGTAGCAACCTTCAAAATGCATGTAATCAAGGACTGTGAGTCATATCAGTGTTGTCAAAATAATGGTTCGGTCAGCAGCACGCTGAACCGCGTTTTAAAGTCGCTTGGCAAACTGCCGTTTCGTGTTTCTGAGGCCCTGCGCTTCTCACTCCCCACTTCTCTCTTCCCACTGCTGGTTCTTGCCTCCTGCAGTGGACATGCAGTGCCTCGTAAGGCGCTCATCCCTCTCCTGTGTTAGGTTAAAAAGGCCCGTTACTGATTGATAAACCTACTGACACCAAGCATGGGAAGGTGTTTATTTTTCCCCTATTTAGGTAAATCTTATGTCAGTTCTTCATTTGTGGGCTGGCCTGCGTACCCTGCCACCATTCAGAGTTCCAAGTGATTTAATGTTGGAACCATTTTTAAATTAGGAACTGTCCAGACATTGAATTTTGCTCCAACTCAACGTTTGGCAGGTAGTATGGTTAATTACTTCCAAGGACTCCTTAGTGAGAGAGCTTCTGGGGCGCCTGGGGGGCTCAGTCGGTTAAGCATCCGACTTTGGCTCAGGTCATGATCTCGTGGTTCCTGGGTTTGAGCCCCACATCGGGCTCTCTGCCATCAGCGTGGAGCCTGCTTTGGATCCTCTCCACCCCCCTTCTCTCTGCCCCACCCCCGCTCATGCACACGCGGGCGCTCTCTCTCTTTCTCTCTGTCTCAGAAGTAAACACAGAACAAATGTAAAAGCTGAGAGGAGTGACAAGAGGGAAGGGAGACAGGACCGAGGAAGGACAGTGCTGGGAGTTGGAGGCTGTTTGTGCCCCAAAGGGAAGATTGCTGTCGAGGGCGGGGCTTGGAGAGTCTTCCTTGCCCCCCTCCCCCCCCGGGCACCCTGGGAGGGGCGCTGTGGCGACACAGAAGCTGCCTTTGCCCTGAGCGGCTGTAGCAGGCCCGACTGCACCGGTTTGTAAGTGCAGAACAAGTACTACACACTTTGACTCAAACATAGGAGGAGAGCTCTGTTTTGATTATCACTAGATTAGTTATGAAACTGAGAGCGTGTGTATCACGTGGGAAGGGACGATGGCGGGACACAGGGTGAGGAGATGTTGGGGCAGAGAAGTGAAGGGCTGGGAGGAAAAGGAGGGGAGATGGGGCGTCAGGGGAGAGACACCGAGGAAGGGGCAGGGGCCTTGAACATTTGTTTTGGAAGTAAAAATTTATTTCCCCATAAAAGTTTGTATCCTGTGAATTTTGGTGACTTGTCACTGTGTCAAGTGATGACCTGAGGTCCAGAATGTGTAGCATCGCTAAGAGGGGAGGTGTTTACGGGGGGTGTTAGTGATCAGAGCGCTGCGCTCGGCACCTTTACCAGAGCCAGGCCGCCCTCCCCAGGACACCTGTAGTTCCCGAGGGGGGCTTGTTGTCCTCCCCCCTGGGTGTCAGAGTAAGGACCTGCCACTTAACAAATTGGTGCGTTCTATTGAAATTTCAGAAAAAGTCTGTTCTTTAAGTTAACCATTTTAGTACTGTTAACCATAAAAAGAAAATTGCCAGTTACGTTACCAGCAAAAAGATGGATTTATCTGGGAATAACAGATCATTTAATCCAGGACAAGCAAGCTACCATAAAACCAAAAAAGCAAGTTCTGGGAACAAAGGACAGGAGGCTCTTTTGGGAGGGGAGGGGAAGAGTGCGTCTGTTGTAAAGGAGAAGTCCATTGGAGTAAACTGGGAATTCAAGGTATGGAGGTTTCTCATTGGCTGAGCTGAGACAGACTCTCATTGGCTGGGCCGTTGCTGGGGGAGGAGGAAATCTTCCCTCCTCTGCCCGGATGGTCCCTAGTACCCGTGAGCAAGGTGCATCTCCTCCTGCTGGGTCGGCGTGGGCAAGGAGTGGTGGGCCTGAGCGTGCGCCCGCCGCCTCGTGGTGCCGCTCTAAACGAGGTTCCCTTCTATTAATTTTCACATTGCCATTTTCACAACGTGCTTTGCAGGTCTTTTGTCTTAGAAGGTGGTGCTAAGCCTACCACGTTGATGCTTTGATGGAGGCTTAAGAGTGTCCTCAGCTTGTATAAATGATTCATTGTGGTACTGAGGGAATTTTCTAGTTACCCTGTTTGCAGTGTTAGCCTGAAGAATGTACTTTGTCGTTTGCGTGTGGACATGTACATGCCGTATTTATACATTAGACCTAACTTTGGGTTGTTTACTGTTTTTATCCCCCCAAATACGTAATAGCATTGCTTTTTTTTTTTTTTTTTTTTTGAATACAGGTCCAAGGCCATCTTTGGCTAAACTAAGCAATGTGGAATGCATCCCAGAGACAACTTACAAATATCCTGATTTGCCTGTAAATCGATGTAAGGAAGAGGTAAAATTATTTTTGTCATAGTGTACTTTTGCTGTTTAAATAAATGTCTGAGGCCCAACATTTCGGTTTATGGTCGGGAAGTGACGAGGCACCAGGCAAGTGTACGTGGTGTGCGCCAGACTCCGGGGCGGTGGCGGCACCTGGGCCTGGGCCACGTAATGACTGTGCCTATGGTCTTCCTTTCGGCTGTGCTTTACTTCATTCAGCCTGCCTTCTGAGATAGCTGTCAGTAAACACCTGTCCCCAGGAGAGCCGCTTCTTGGAGAAAACTTGCTGCTGAGTCTTCTTACAAAGTAATAATGCTGCCTGGCCACCATTCTCTCTAGCATTCCACTGGCCTGTTAACTGATTTGATTAATCATTGATACATCATTTTATTAACAGTGCTGGGCCAGATATAGCAGCAGATGATCACGCTTTTAATTCGTTACATGTTATTAAGCCACATTAGAAATAAGTGTACTGAAACCTTTACATAATGTATTAGTAGAAAGATGAGTTACAGATAAAACTAAACCACAAATGTTCCACATTTAAGTTTTGTTTTGTTTTAGTGAGTCATGCAACTTTTGTAGAGTGTATATACTTTATTAATTTTGGGAGACCGGTATTCAAATTAATTTGTGTTCCCTGACCATGGCAATTGCTAGAGAGATAAGAGTTTAGATAAGCTTAGGGTGGAGTCAGGGAGTGGTGGGTAGGAATTGGATTGGAGTTTTAAAAATGCTCTGTACAGTATGGAAGTGGAACAGTGGAAGTTAATTATTTGAAAATGCATCTGCAGAATTTTAAATGAAATTTTAAAACCACTTGAGGGTAATGGTAGCAGTGCTTTTGTGTTTCTTATGAGACTTACATAAGGTTCATTACAAAATTTAAAAATACTAGACATTTAGACTTAGCAAGAGCTATAGAAATCAGCGTTTTCATTTCTGCACAAAGACGCTGAGCCCGAGGGGCACCGTGGCTGCCTTGGCCTGGCCCTCTGGGGCCGTGAGCTCTTCCTGTTCACAGCGGTCACGGCCATTTTCAGGGTAGCAGCTATTTGTCGCTTTCATGCCCTTTTGTGATGGTTAGATGCTTAGGTAATAATTTAACTTTTAAAAGATGAAAGGAAAATAAATTGTGCACATCCTCCCCAGATAAAGTTTTCGGTTTATAGATAACACTGTACGTCATCGTTAACTTTGTGGCAATCTCAGAAGAATTTTTCTTAAATTGTAGGTTCTTTCTCTGATAGAAAGTAATTCCGTGGTGATCATCCATGGTGCCACGGGTAGTGGCAAAAGCACTCAGCTGCCACAGTATATCCTGGACCATTATGTTCAGCGCTCTGCCTACTGCAACATTGTGGTCACCCAGCCCCGGAAGATTGGGGCCAGCAGCATCGCCAGGTGGATAAGCAAAGAGCGCGCCTGGACGCTGGGTGGTCTGGTGGGCTATCAGGTGAGGCCGGAGCAAGCCCCTCTCTCCTCGGGAGTGTTTCTTCTAAGTTGAGGATTAGTATGTGGTTATTTTCTGCTGGTAATTGAAATGAAACCAGTTGCTTACAGGGCAGAACTGTGGTGTAATGTAAAAACCAGTGAAACACGGGGCACCGGGTGGCTCGGTTGGTTGAACGTCTGACTCTTGATTTTGGCTCCGATCATGATCCCAGGGTTTTGGGATCAAGCCCAAGTCGGGCTCTGCGCGTTCCCCCCCCCAAACATGCGTTCTAAGAATAAATAAAAATGTTTGAAAAACAGTGAAACTGAATTTTTTGATAAGAACTTCAGTTTCTTTCAGTTGAATAGGAAAGAGGTGAGAATTCTGAGACTCCTGGTTTTTGTAATTTTATCTCTGTAAGTAGGTGTCTTCATACCTGTGGTCCCAACACAGAAATGGTACAGGCACGATGACAAGATAAGTTTTTTTTAAAGTTTAGAGAGAGAGAGAGAGGCAGGCAAAAAGGTGCAGAGAGAGAGGGAGACAGACCCCCAAGCAGGCTCTGCACCGTCAGCACAGAGCCCAGCATGGGGCTCAAATTCACGAACTGTGGATCATCACCAGAGCCGAAACCAAGAGTCCGACGCTTAGCCAGCTGAGCTACCCAGTCGCCTGAGAAGGACAGTTTTAATTTAGACCCTATAGTTTTCATTCCCTTTCTTACTTACCTCCAGTATAAAATGACATGGCCTTTTTGGTGGTTAAATGCGAACCGTTTAAACTTGAAAGTTTTCTTTTTTTTCTTTCCCTCTTCTACTTTAGGTAGGGTTAGAGAAAATAGCAACAGAAGACACCAAGTTAATTTATATGACAACGGGTGTCCTGCTTCAGAAAATAGTCAGTGCTAAGAGTTTGATGGAATTCACCCATGTCTTCATTGATGAGGTGCGTACTTCTTGCACACGGCTCTGCTCTTATGCTCCTGTTCTTATTTTGTTAGAGAACAGACAGTGTGCAAATTACTGTAAATGTTCCCTGCTTGGAAAGTGTGATAAAGTGCTGTTGGTCTGTATGTGCTTTATTCTGTTTGTGAATGTTGATTTTGTTTTCATTCTTTGCTCTTAGTTCTAAAACACAGGCATGGGGGTTGAGAACTGACCAGACTCCTTGATTTTTTTTTTAAATTTTTTTTTTTTTGAGACAGAGAGAGACAGAGCACAAGTTGGGGAGGGGCAGAGAGAGCAAGGGAGACACAGAACCTGAAACAAGCTCCAGGCTCTGAGCTGTCAGCACAGAACCCGGTGCAGGGCTCAAACCCATGAACCGTGAGATCATGACCTGAGCCGAAGTCGGACGCTTAACAAACTGAGTCCCCCAGGTGCCCCCAGATTCCTTGATTAGAGCAGGGTTGGCAGACTCCAGCTCTCAGGCCACATTTGGCACCTGTGTTTGTAAATACAGTTTTATTGGAACACAGTTTTGCTTGTTTGTTTGTGGGTGCTGAAGAGATGTATGGCGGCAGCAGACACCACGCTTTGTGAAGCTGGACGTCCGCACCACTTGCCTTGTGCAGGAAAAGTCTGCCAACCCCTGGTTTAGAGTGTTAGTCCCGTCAGACACACAGAAGAGCTTTAATCGTGTGTAGCTATTTTTCGTTTAGTGAAATGAGGACAATGGTTTATTTTCAAGAAAATAAAGTACATGTAAGATACTGATATATTCTCCTTTCTTAAGCTCTAGTAAAGAGTCTTTGTGCCAGTCTTAGCCTTCTTTTTTCTCAGGATAGAATATTTAATTGATTTTGTTTATATTTTAAATGAGTTTTTTGAGGCGGGAGGATGTTGTGTTCAGTTTTCCTAGGAGTTTTGGAAATGCCTCCATCCCACAGTCTTGAGTTTTAAACCCCATCAGGGATTGTGCCTTTCTGGAGGCGTGAAAAACATTGACAAAGAGCTAGGTTTGTAGAAGGTTGGAGATGGGGCTGGAGATTGAGACTGAAATGAAACCATCAGGGCAGTTGTGGAGGGTGGGCCTTCCACTCTGTCGACGGGAGTGTGATGGTTAACGGGACGCCGCCGTTCTGCAGGGGCGGCCGAGCAGGTGTGTTGCCAGCTTGTGTGCAGCTAAACGTGGTGCTGCATTTGGGGTGGGGGGTGGTTTGGGAAAGTGGAAGGTAGGCACATGGTCTCTCGTTCTTTACAAAATCGTAGGACGTACAGTCTGGCTCAGGGTTTTTCTTTATGATTGTTATTTTTGAGCATAGATGAAATGCAAGTTCATGAGCAGTGTATCCGAAGGTGCCCTTACCCAGTGCGTAATACTTACTGGAGCCTGAATACTATGGGCTCGAGACAGCAGATGGCCTTGTGGGGTTGCCCTAGGCAGTTCACTCCGGAGCCCTGCTGCTGGTGTCCCCGCTTATTTTCTGGGTGTCCGCTGTCTTTCTGACCATCTGCCTGGGCTTATGCGCACGTCCCTGAGTGGTGAGGACACGCCTGTCCTCCTGGGTTACAGGCTCGTTCTTTCCTGGAGCCATGCCGTGAGAGTGGAGCGACATTGGCTGCCCTCAGCAACAACTGCCCTGCCCGGGAGCCGTGGCTCGTGGAGGCTGTCGTGTCACCCTGCCTGTCCCCCGCACCCGGGATGGGTGCTGATGATTACCTGCCTCTGCAGAGAATGGGTTGGACGTGCTTGAAATTCTAGGTGTATAAACAATACTGTTCCTCTTATGTGGATGATTTGAATTTCAGAGGCCATCTAAGAGCAAAGGTTAAGGATGGCCAGGCTGTGGAAAATGGGATGATAACGTTTTCAACTTATTGGCTCACGTGGCTTCAGGTAGCCATTCCTTCAACAAGCGCTTTCCCAGCACGGGCCTCGTCCGGCGCAGAGGTTGTGAAGGCGTGACTCCTCCTTCCTGCCTTCAGCCACTGTCCCGGGGAGCCTGACCCGCGTGGAGGAGAAGGCGTGTGTTTCCGTGCTGCGGAGAAGGGCTGGTGGCAGGGGGAGGACTGGGGCGCCCTCAGGGCAGGGGGGAGGCCCGGTGGGCTCGAGAACCCGCGGAGAAGCTGGGTCTATAGAGTCAGGGTGTGGTGGTCGTGGGAAGCTGAACACTGAGGAGAGGTCACTTGGGGGCTCTTGGCTGACGAGAGTCTTTCTTTTTCTTTCTCAAGTAAGACACGGGATGTTTGCGTTGAGGAAGTTTTCTGGAGTCCAGTGATAGAACGAAATCAGGATTAGATTTACAGTGGTGTCCCTGGGATTCCCAGCCACTTACATGGACGTGAAATACTTTTCAGCTGCTGTTCTCTTCTTTTCCTTGTCCTGCTTCCCTGAGCCTCACCTCCAGCGGGCAGTGAGCAAGGAGTGGGACCTGGGACAGATGTGGCTGTAGAGTAAATGACGTAGGCCTTTACACCAAGAGGAAGAGCGCTTCCTCTTTCACGCTCAGCAGCCAATCTGTCCACGTTGGCAGCAGAATGTCCCAGAATCGAATCTTACTGTCCTCTTGTGCATCAAGGCATCCTGGCTGAGTGACACGGTAACCGAGTTCTTGTAGGAAAGCGGCCCCATGTGACCCAGCCGTTCGCCGCTATCTAGCCAGTCTGGGGCTGACAGGGCGGGGAGGCTGAGGGAGCTCTGGGTCCTTGGGGGCTCGGCCTGCCTGCGGACGGGGCGTCGGGGACAGTGGGGAGGTGGCTGCTTTCACTGTGCTGGAGCTCTGAGCCGACTCCCCAGGGCGACCCCGGGGTCTGTGGCTCTCCCCAGTGCCCTCAGCTCCTAGCCTCGCTCTGCTTGCCCTGCTTGTGGCTGATCTAACGGTGCCACAGCCAAGCCTAGCCCACCCTTGGGAGCCACGACTGTGCATGTCATGGACTGGCTACGTTGGCCTCAGCCTGTGCCCTGTACTCACTTGCTACAGTAAGTGTAGCTGGAGACTCAGGGAGCGTATGGGTGTCAAGGGACAGTAGAGCAAGTTGGTCTGGTGGCTTCCATGTGCTAGGAGTGGATGGGGGTGATTCCGCTGGTCCTAGTGACTGGGGGTACCATGGGCATTGAATGGGCAGGACCCAAGATGCCAAGTTCTCTGCCCAGATGCCAGGAAAGCCCTAGAGAGAAGCACCGAGGAGGACAGTGACCCACACGGCCTCCCCTGTGCCCTTTCGTTTGTGGCCAGCATGCCTGGCTTCCTCTTGACTGGGAGTGACATCTGTCCCGAGGAAGCGCATTTAGCAGAGCGCTGACCTGTCCCCGTCTCCTGGGCGCACTTTCAGAACCGCTGCCCTCCGCACGTGGAGTGGTCACATGTGTTGCTTGATGCCATGTGAGTTGCCCACGTTTTTATTTTGCAGGTACACGAGCGAACTGAGGAGATGGATTTCCTGCTGCTGGTAGTCCGCAAACTTCTGAGAACAAATTCGCGTTTTGTGAAGGTAAATTTGATTTCCTGAATAACAAATATTCAGGGCTAAGGTTTATTGTTTGGTTTTGTTTATTTTTATGGGAACAGTCGAAAGCAGTGACTCTTAACGTGCTCGTGTGTCCTACTCCAGATCTTGCCAGGAAGCTGGCACCGGGGCGTTCCCTTAGGACACGAGTGTGGAATCCTTTTTGGTTTATTATGTTGCAGTAAATTCTAAAACTTTCTCCGGGCAGAAAGTGACATAATGATAGTTGACGCTAATGAAATGCGGAGTGTTGGATCACTGCATCTGGTTGAATAATTACTGTAGTTTGAAGGTATGTGAATACATCTGGAACCTTTGTTCTAAAAACAGCACCAGAAGAGGAATTGAATTTTTTTTTTTTAAATTTTTTTTTGTAAAGTATATTTATTTTTGTGAGAGAAAGCATGAGTCAGGGAGGAGCATAGAGGGAGAGGGAGACCGAGAGTCCCAAGCAGGCTCCAAGCTGTCAGTGCCCAGCCCAGTGCAGAGCTCAAGCCCACGAACCGTGAGATCGTGACCTAAGCCACAGTCGGATGCTTAACTGAGCCCCCCAGGCGCCCCGAGGACACGGAAGGTTTGAGGACAGTTCTGTGCGCTACTGTTGTAGAGACTTAGGTCTTGAGTTGACTGGAAGTCCGTGGGGACGGTGAGCACTGTTTACATCGTGTGAACAAAGAGGAGGAACTTGTGAACACGATGGAGCTCGCAAAGGGTTGTAGTAATTAGCGATTTGACGTAGGCCACCGCGGTGTGTGGGGAGCCGCTTCTGAAGGGGGCCGTGGCTGGGGTGTGGCCTCCCGTGGAAAGGGCGGTGAGGGGCTTTGCTGCTGTTGGAAAGCAGTTATCTGCAAGTCCTCCCATCTGTTCATCTGCTCAGGGAGGCCTCTTCCGGCTCTGCTCCCAGGATGGGCCCGTTGGCCTCAGAAGGCTCACCTGGTGGGTGTCAGACAGACACTAAAAATTGCAGTTGATGGTGTTACCGCTTGACAACGATTATAAATTGAATGCAGGAATTTGGCCATTCTGTTCCTTTTTGGAATCTTAAAGATGACATTAAAGACTGTTTGACAAATTGGGGCGTCTTTTGTTGTCATTTTAAGATTTTTCATTTTGGGGTGCCTGGGTGGCTCAGTTTGTTGAATGTTTGACTTCGGCTCAGGTCATGATCTCCTCACAGTCCGTGGGTTCAAACCCCATGTCGGGCTCCGTGCTGACAGCTTGGAGCCTGGAACCTTCCTCGGATTCTGTGTCTCCCTCTCTGCCTCTCCCCTGCTCATGCTCTGCCTCATTGTCTCTCAAAAATAAGCGTTAAAAAAAAAAAAGGCTTTTACTTTTTACTCTTAGATCCTGACTTGATTACATGTTTTATTTATTTTATTATTTATTTTGAGAGAGAGACTGAGGGCAGGAGGCAGAGAGAGAATCCTAAGCAGGTCTGCACTATCTGCACAGAGCCCAGTGCGGGGCTCAAACCTGTGAACCGTAAGATCATAACCTCAGCCAAAACCAAGAGTCAAATGCTTAAATGACTGAGCTATCAGGCGCCCCAGTTAATGTGGTTTTTTGGTTTTTGGTTTTTGGTTTTCAGTAGTAAAGAGAACGAGAACGAGTGGATTTTAAAAAGTCTACCATAGGGGCACCTGGGTGGCTCAGTTGGTTAAGCATCCAGCTCTTGATCTCAGCTCAGGTCTTGATCTCAGGATCATGAGTTCAAGCCCCACGTTGGACTCTGTGCTGGGCACGAAGCCTACTTAAGAAAAGTCTACCACATTGCTGACAATGGTGGGCAGGAATTTGGTTCCTACTATAAAAATAGAGGAAACCATTGGTTAGTTTCAATATTTTCTTCATTTGTTAAATCTATGAAGCAAAATATTTTCTGGGTCAAGAAACAAGAAGTCAAGTTACAGGTGGCATTATACTAAGTTTTTTGAAATGCTCAAAATACTTTTTTTAGTACTTAAAAAAATTTTTTTTAAATGTTTTATTTATTTCTGAGAGAGAGAGAGAGAGACAGCGTGAGCAGGAGAGGGCCAGAGAGAGAGGGAGACACAGAATCTGAAGCAGGCTCCAGGCTCTGAGCTGTCAGCACAGAGCCCGACGCGGGGCTCGAACCCACGAGCCATGAAATCATGACCTGAGCCGAAGTCGGATGCTTCACCTACTGAGCCACCCAGGCGCCCCTTTTTTTAGTACTTTTTAAGAAGAGAGTTGCTGTCAGACTTAGATTCGGGAGTGTGGGAAGGTGGGCTTGAAGGTCTCCCCTTCCTCTGCCGCACGGACCTTCAGCGGTTCCTGGCTCTGTGCCGTCCCCACACGTGCTGGCCCACTGTCACTGCTGGCCGACCGCACTCAGGCCAGCCCCACCTGGTGTCTCGGGCAGACTGCCAAGTTGTCTGTGTGGAGGAGAGGCCGGTGGCTGAGGAATCTTGGTTGCCTTGAGCAGTCTGGTGTCCGCATGAACAGAGGCCCTGCACGCCATCAGCCTCGCTGTCCCTTCAAAGACAATTCAGAGAGCATCCCTTGGGGGCCACTCTTATACCCATGTGGCTTCTCAGAGGCTTCCTTCCAATGTTAAGCAGATCATCTTAAAATGAGTTCTGGTTAGTATGCCTTTTACCATTTGGATCTAACGTGTTAGGGGAAAGTACACATATTCTGTTGACCCAGTAACTCACTGGGTCATCAGCAGCCCGCCGAGTCGTGCTTCCCCTGGTGGGCATCTTGGAGACTCATGTGAGGGTGGCACACGTCCTTGGGGCCGCTGCTGCCTCGTCTCATGTGCTCGGGGTGCTGCTCCTGGCTCTCGCGCGGGGTCTCTCAGGGAGCCCGTCCCGTGTGTGCTTTCTGGCACAACTGACCGCCTGTGGTGGGTCCCCAAGCCTCCGTGGCCTGCTCCCATCTAGGCTGGCTCCTCTCGGCTGTGGTCCTGGGACGACTCCACAGTCTTGGCTTCGAGCTGGGGTTTTCCGGCTCACATGTCTGCTCCTTGGCTTTTCTGTGACACCTCATGTAGGAACTGACAGTTTTACTTTTGTTTCCTGAGGCAAAGTCTCCTTTTAGGTAAGTGGGTCAGCTTTACTGTAGTCTCTCACTTGATAACATGATTTAGGAAAAGTTGATGGTCTCTGAGCGTTCTTTAAACTGCAGTAATTCGTATTCCATTACAGATGAAATCAGTGCATTGTACTAAAGTTTTGAAAATTACTAACACACAAGATGGGCTTGATATGTTAACACTATTTCGTTTGGTGGTTGTCACTATTCTGTTTGTTTTAATGGTCTCTCTTCTGCAGGTAATCCTAATGTCGGCCACCATCAACTGTAAAGAGTTTGCAGATTACTTTGCTGTTCCTGTCCAGAACAAGATGAACCCTGCGTACATTTTTGAAGTGGAAGGAAAGCCCCATTCCATCGAAGAGTATTATCTTGACGATTTGGAGCACATCCACCACGGCAGGGTACGTTGGGCTGCGAACGTGCTTGTGTAAGATTAAACCCGCACCTGTCAGCTGCGACTGTGAGGCCGTACTGGCGCTTGAAACCCAAGCCGAGAGGTGGCGTGGGTGGGGCTGGAGAAGGACGGGTCAGGGACGCGCCGCGTTCGCTGCTGTGACCGTGGGCATAGAGACCCATGGTGTGTCCCTGTGAAAATCCTGGATGGGTTTCACACTTTGTTGATGAAAAGGAAAACATCAGATTTTGGTCAGCTGTAAAATTGTAGATTCACTTGAGAGTGGGAGGTGGTTTTATTTAAAATTTTATTTTGATTAAAGTGCTTCTTAGAAACTGTGGTGCTCTCAACGAAGGGCGAGTGTACTGTGATGGGGAAGGACTGGGATAAAGCAGCCTTCTGAGGAGTTGCAGTTGTCTTGAAATCATTTTCCTGTGGGTGGTACATTTCTAGGTACAATGAGCAGGTATAGACATCTCCTTCCTCCTCCTGCGAGAGGAAGCCTCTGTTCCTGATTTCTTAGGGATCCTGCCGTGACTTGGAGCGTCCGTGTGCACAGGCACGAGTGTGCCGCTGCCCCTGTGCCACCTTCTGCTTGCCATGTCCTCTCTCGTCTGTGGGCAGCTTAGGCATTCTCTTTCTAGAACTACATTCTGTTCTTTCGTGTGAATGTGCCATTCTGTATCTCACTAATATCTGGTGTTTCTGGCCTTTTTCTTTTCTAACTTTATTTATTTATTTTGAGTGGAGGTGGGCCAGAGAGAGAATCCCAAGCAGCCTCTGCACTGGGTGGAGCCCAGCATGGGGCTTGATCCCATGAACCATGAGATCGTGACCTGTGCTGAAGCCAAGAGTCAGAGCTTCACCGGCTGAGCCCCCGGGCGCCCCTGGGCTTGGCTTATAAAACCAGGGCTGCGGGAGGAGAACTCCGTGCTTGTGGCGAAGGTGTCCTAAAGGCTGGGCTCTGTCCGCCTCAGCACCACTGACACTGTGGTGGGGCTGCCCCGTGCATGCACCGCAGGATGCTTAACAGCGTTTCTGACCTTGGTCCCCTAGCCGCAAGTGGGCCCCCCACTGTGACCACCGACAGTGTTTCCAGACAGACAGACAGACAGACAGTCTGTGGGGAGTCAGCTGCCCCCTTGAAGACCCCTGTGTAGGTTATGCCTTCTGGAAGATGGTGTCTGCAGGTGGAACTGCTGGGTCAGAGTGTGCGTGTACTCGTAGTTTTGATGGGCGGTGCCAGCCTGCTCTGTGTGGGAGTTTGACTCTTCTTACAAACGTGTGATGTGGAAGTAAACTGCAGCCTCGACCATGGTGAGTCAGCCCGCTAGGTTCCACCTGATGTAAGAAGACTGTGGAGGGAGGCCAGTGATGGCCGTTAAAATGTAATATGTCTTTTTTTCCAGCTTTGTAAATGACAGTATTAAAAGAAACAAAACAAGGGGCGCCTGGGTGGCTTAGTCGGTTAAGCGTCCGACTTTCGCTTAGGTCATGATCTCGCGGTTCGTGGGTTCGAGCTCCGCGTCGGGCTCTGTGCTGACTGCCAGCTCAGAGCCTGGAGCCTGTTTCAGAGTCTGTATCTCCCTCTCTCTCTGACCCTGCCCTGCTCATGCTGTCTCTCTCTCTCTCTCTCCCCTAGAAATAAATAAAAATACTTAAAAAAAAATAAAACAAAATAAGTAAGTTAAAAGAATTTCATAGTGAACACCTCCCTCTGTATCCCCTAGATGCTACAGTTCACGTTTACAAAAAACTGTCAGAAGTAAGAAACTAACTGGTATGTTATTAGAACTAAACGTGTATTTATTTGGATTTTACTGGTTTTTCCCTAATCTCCTTTCTCTGTCTCAGGGTCCCACATTGCTTTGAGTCATCGTGTCTCTGCAAGTCTCTCTGGGCCTGTGCCAGTTTCTCAAACGTTTCTTAGTTTTGATGACCTTGACAGTTTGTGGGAGTACCAGTCAGGTATTTTGTAGGATTCCCCACTGTTAGAATTTTCTTGATGTTTTTCTCCAGAGTAGACTTGGGGCTGCGGGTGTGGGGGAGGAAGACCACGGGGTGAAGTCCTGTACTGTCATGGCCTGACCACCAGTGTGGCGCATCACCGGTGATGTTGGCCTTGATCTCTTGGCCAAGAGGTTTTTGCCAGACTTTACATGTTTCCTTCTTTGCTCATTGCCTGTTCCCCTCCTCCCAAGCCAGTGAGACGTAAACACGGTACAGAGAGACGTGTCCGTCCTTTGCTGTCTGGAAATAAGTCACTAAATGCAGCCCCTGTATGGGGGCAGGTGAGAGGGTACTTATTTATCGCATTAAAAATTTTTGGATTTTCTGGCCCATTTTGGAATGTGAAAGTAATGATGGCTTACAGGTCTCTCTTCATCTGGCCAGTGTGCGTTGGGATCATGTAGATGATGCTCATGGACGTGCTGGGATTCAAGTCAGGTCTGGGCATTTGCCCTTTGACCCCGTGTGGTCAGGGAGGCCAGGGCCCCTCCCCAACCAGTGGCTGATGCTCTCCAGGCTGGGGAATATCCGTTTTTAGCATTTGCGTACCCACTGTCCCGTTTGGTACTTAATAGGTACTCAGGAAATACTTCAGTGAATGAATATGTTAATTTTAAGCCTTATAAAAATGGCTTTTTGTATTGATTCTGCTATATAGTATTTGGAGTCAGAGAACTTTTAAAAATTCCAATTTTATTGTCATTACTACTCCCATCATATTGCCTGGGCACACGAGGTCATGTTCAAGGGAGAAGCACCCTTCCTTCTGTGGACACCAGCCTTTCTCCCTTCCCGCCTTCTTAGGGACCTTTGCTGATTTACTGTTGCCCCCTCCTTGCCTTTTCTTTTTAATTTTGTAATGTTTATTTTTGAGAGAGTGTGAGCGGGGGAGGGGGAGAGAGAGGAAGACACAGAATCCGAAGCAGCTCCAGGCTCCGAGCGCAGAGCCCAACGTGGAGCCTGAACTCGAATTGTGAGATCATGACCTGAGCCAAAGTTGGCCACTCACCTGACTGAGCCACCTGGGCGCCCTGACCCTGTCCTCACTTTACCTTTATTAGTACCTCCTCCACTGCCCCTTTCTTGTCCCCATTTCAACAGAACTGAGTCTGTTTCATCTTAAAAAGCACCCTCATTAGGCCCTGTGTTTCTCACCGCGGTCTGGCTCCCACTGCCCCTGCTCCGAGATGGCATTTGTCAGGATCACCAGTGACTTCCTTAAATCGAGAGTCCTCTGCCGGAAACTTACCGTGACCTCCCTGTAGTATTTGACACTGTTGGCCCGTTGGATTTTCTTGGAAGTTCCCCTTCCCTTGGGGTCGGTGTCGCCCTTGTGGTCTTTCTGTTGCCAACTCTGGCCGTTCTTTTTAACGTCCTTTGAAGAGTCCTTTTCATTATTTATTTTCAACATTTTTTGTTTTCACCTTTGTCTCAGAAACAAGGCTGTGGAGGGAACTCCCAGTATGTGCAGCTTTAGTCCGGAAGTAGAGCTGAGGTGGAGCGCGGCCCCACCACCCCTTCCCCCTTCCCGCTGTAGCTTTTGGGCCATGCTCTTCCACCCCGAGCAGGGCTTTTATAATCCTGTCGCAGTTGGGCACTAACCCACTTCAAGGGGGCCGTGAGGAGGGTGAGACAGGTTGGAATGCCCACTCTGCTCGCAGGCGGGGGCCTGGCTGTTTGGGCATCGCTCGCTTCCTGCCACCCCAGTGCCCATGCGATATGTCCCTTGCCCCACTCCTGGCCTGGCTGGCCTGGGCCCCGGTGGCTTGTGGGGCTGGCAGCTGGCTCCGGTGGCCTTCTGGTGACAGTGGCACGGGCCTGAGACACCTCAGTGCGGGGGCGCATCCCTCTGTTTCCGCCGCATGAATAAATTCCCTCCGCGTTTCTGCCCTTGGCACCCTGCTTCGTGTTTTGTCGCAGCTGCCATCTGCGTGACGCAGCCTGGTGGCCCCGAGCGCCCTGTGCCACCAGGAGGGCGAATCCCCATCTGCTGTTCGCCCCTCGACTCCCACACGGGGCCGGAACGAGAGCAGCCGGGGTCGCGGGCCCATAGGCCGCCGGGCTGTCTCTGGGGAGCCTGCTGGGGAAGGCGCAGCCGTGGCGCTATCTTGTGTGGGGTCTGAACAGCGTTCCTGGGCCTGAAGCTACTTCTGAGTTGGTGACATGCCTTTTCCATGGCTGCTTTGTTTGTGGAAAACCCGTTCTGATGGGTGTGAATGCTGCTGATGGGGCTTGTGAAAATTCTACTTTCTTTCTATTTTTGTTTTGTACATTTCTGTTATGGTTATTGTTTGGATAAAGTAGGAAATTGTCTCAGGTAAAGATAGAACGTCAAGAACAGATTTATCAGGCATGTTCCTTCACAGTTAGTGAAGAAATAAAAGTCAGTTTGTTGTACTTACATTAGTAGGGTAGTAATAATAATGAGAAATGATTACCTGCTTACTTAATTTACTCTAAGAATGGAAAAAAAAAGTTTGCATCTGTGGCAAACTGCTTATCACCTGTAGACTTCTGATGTGTCTTTCACAAAGTTAAATGCAATGCTTTGAACATAGTATTTGATAAGTAAGGTTTTTAAATACACAAAAAAATGCCTTCTTCCATATGGGGGTGCAAAAAAAACCCCATATGGCTACAAAATAGATTTTATGGAATTTATGCCATAGCTGTCGTGGTGGATATCGTAGAGGGTGGTCTTGGTCCTGTGAAGCTGTCCGCTCAGACCAGTGATGCCACCTTCCCGGGGGGCACGGGGTTGCTGCTGTGGTTGACCCCCCTCATTCTGCAGAGGTGCCTGAAGGGCAGTTTTAAATTAGCTGCGCTCCCGTAGTTTTGTACGTATATACAATAGGGTAGTACTCGGCCATCAAAAAGGATGAAGTCTTGCCATTTGCAACTACGTGGGCGGAACTAGAGGTGTATCATGCTAAGGGAAATTAGAGAAAGACAGATATCATAGGACCTCACGCATGGGGAATTTAAGATACAAAACAGATGAACATAAGGGAAGGGAAGCAAAAATAATGTAAAAACAGGGAAGGGAGACAAAACATAAGACTCTTAAATATGGAGAACAGAGTTGCTGGAGGGGGTGTGGGAGGGGGGATGGGCTAGATGGGGAAGGGGCATTAAGGAATCTACTCCTGATATCATTGTTGCACTCTGTGCCAACTAACTTGGATGTAAATTAAAAAAAATAAATTATTAAAAAAAATTTAAAAGATTTTTTAAAAAATATATTTTCATTTATTTCTAGGGGAGAGAGAGAGAGAGAGAGAGAGACAGCGTGAGCAGGGGAGGGTCAGAGAGAAAGGGAGATACAGACTCTGAAATTGGCTCCAGGCTCTGAGCTGGCAGTCAGCACAGAGCCCAACGCGGGGCTCGAACCCACGAACCGCGAGATCATGACCTAAGTGAAAGTCGGATGCTTAACCGACTAAGCCACCCAGGCGCCCCTAAAAGATTTTTAAAAGCTAAAAAAGTTACCAAAATGTAAAAGGAAGCCACAAATGAGAATAAAATATCTGCAAGTCATATATTTGAAAGAAAAAAATTGTAGTCTAGTGACCTGTGCACATAGATGACTTGGGTATATTCTTCCTGTAAGTTGGCAGATGTAACAGGGTGTTACCTACCCCGGTCCTTGTGACGTTGATGGTGTTGAAATCTCGGCTTGTGGGGGTGGGCGCCTGGCGGGGGAGGGGCACTGGCGCCGACTTCCAGAAGTGTTTGGAGCAGCTTACTGTCTGTCTTCAAGCTGGATTCCTGACCGGCATTCCATTTCTCTGACTGCATCCTCCCTCTGGTGACAGGGACAGGGGATGAATAAGGCTGGTGACAGGGACGGGACGAACTAGGCTGTACCGTGTGTGTTGGGACCTTGAGTAGAGCTTGATGCTTAGCAGGTGTTCACACATTGGCTGCAGGTGATACTCTTTTATTGGAGTGTTTGTTAAACTGATGCACCAAAGAGAGTTGCCTGTCCGACACCAGAACCCCTTGTGATCCTGTTCTGATCTTCCGGCCTTTCCTTTTCCTGTGTTCAGCTTTCTCTTCATGTCCTGGAGGAGCCGGTGATTACTAAGGACATATACGAAGTCGCCGTCTCCCTGATCCAGATGTTCGATAACCTGGATGTGAAGGACAGCGGGTAAGAGCCACTCCCCTGTGTGGCACACTTCGTGCACGATTTTAAATAGTTTGCTGCTCATTTAGAAACCGTTCAGTGTTTTTATAGTGTTTAGATATAACTGTGGATACTTTCTCCAGTAGTCACTGTGTATATTTTAAAATAAAGTTGGTACACTGCAATTTTTCAATTGGAAATTTCCATTTTAAAGTAGTTAAAATCAAGTACAGTCTTAATAAACTGGCAGTCACAGCCTAAAGAGAGAATGGTTTCCGGACGTGTGAGGTCCTGTCAGTCCTCGCCTGAGGCAAATGGAAGGGACCACGCTAGAAATTGTTGAGAGCATTTCCTTGCCTTGGTTTCTGTTTGTTAGGAAGATATGAGGGGCGCCTGCAGGGGGGGCGGGGGGGGCGCTCAGTTGGTTAAACATCTGATGTCGGCTCAGGTCATGATCTCGCAGCTTGTCGGTTCAAGCCCCGAGTCGGGCTCTGTGCTGATAGCTCGGAGCCTGGAGCTGCTTCAGAATCTGTGTCTCCCTCTTTTTCTGACCCTCCCCTGCTCATGCTCAGTCGGTTGGTCTCTCTCTCTTTCTCTCTCTCTCAAAAATAAACATTAAAGAAAATTTTTTAAAAACGGAAGATATGCCCCCAACACTGAGGCTCATTGGTCATCCATTTGCTCATTGTTTAGCTGGGCCTTTGAAACCTGGAACATATTTTCCCTTAGGAACAACTTCAGGTTGTAAGTGGGGGTTGGAGTCTGTGATATAAAACATATTATAGTATGTTATAGCCCTTTCTGTATTCATTTCGCTTCAGCACACGAATACAATTCATATGTTGGAACAACAGACCCTAAGGTTGGAGCGTCCACCTCCTCGCGGCATCGAGAATGTGCCTGTGGGCCGCCCGTCCATCGGGGCCCGACCCGCACGCCCGTGCCTCTCTCCTTTCACTGTTAGTTGCGAAGTGTAAAGATCTGTGAAGTCACTCGTGGTCTGACAGCCTTCAACACGACCCGAGGATGAGGGGGTTGCTACCCGGTCCCGTCCCCTCCAGCCCGCGTGCAGTTGTGTGTGATTTCAGCTCTGTTTCCGAGCTCCTTCATATTTTTGTCTGTCTTCTCTATTTTAAAAGATTTATTTCTGGCTTTGATTTTTTTTTTTTTTTAATTTGAGAAAGTGTGCGCACAAGCAGGGAAGAGGGACGGGGGAGAAAAGGAGACAATCTTAAGCAGGCTCCATGCTCTGCACAGAGCCTGACACGGGGCTCCACTCATTACCATGACCTGAGCCAAAATCGAGTCGGACACTTAACCGACTGAGCCACCCAGGTGCCCTTAGGGATTTTTTTTTTCCTTTTAAATAGACTTTGTTTTTTAGAGCAATTTTAGGTTCACAGCAACCTTGAGGAGAAAGTACAGAGTTCCTATGTGCTCGACATAGGCACAGTGCCCCCTACTGGCGGCATCTTGCCCTGGAGCAGTACATTTGTCATCATTGCCACATCGTCACCCCAAGTCCACAGTGTGGCTTCACTGTTGGGGCACGTTTGACGGGTTTCGGCAAGCGTGTGATGACGTGTATCCACCATGGTAGCGTCCCACTCTGAGATCCCCTCTGTTCTTCTGCCTGTTCCTCCCTCCCTCCCTCCCCTGTAACCCATGGCAATTGTGCATGATTTCCCACCCTCCGGTGTTGTCTCTTCCAGAATGTCCTGTAGCTGGGGTCATACACCTACACATTCTTTCGGATCGGTCTCTTTCACCTAGCAGTGCTCATTTCAGTTTCCCCCACGTCGTCTCCTGGCTCGAAGCCCATCTTCGTAGCGCTGCACAGCACTCCCTCGTCCGGAGGCCCGCAGTGTGTGTACCCCTTCCCCTGCTGAAGGTCATCTTGGCGGCGTCCAAGTTTGGGCGGTTCTGAAGGAAGCTGCTGTAAACACGAGCGTGCAGGCCTTCGTGTGGACATAAGTTTTCAGCTCCTTCGGGCAGAACCAAGGAGCAGGATCGCTGATCGTAGTTTTGTAAGAAGCCACCCAAGTGCCCTCCAGAGTCGCTGCGCCCTGTTGCGTTCCCGCAGCGATGGGGGGAGGCCCTGCTGCTCGGCGTGCCCACCAGCCTCTGGGCTTGCGAGAGTTCTGGGCTCGGCTGCTCTGTGTGTGGGCACGTAGCTCTTGACAGACGTCACCTACACCTGTGTGTTCAGCATTCTCTCTGTGCCCTGCTCTGTCGTGCATAATGCTGTGGGGCCCGAATTCCATGTTGGCACGTTTCGAGATCGCAGTCCCTGCTTTCTTTCTGTCTTGGCCTCTAAAATCTCTGCTGTTCCTTTACTGTCACTCTTTTCTGGATGGCTTGTGTTCAGGCGCGCCTTGTGCAGGTCGCAGAGTTGGGGTTCCTGTGTAGCCATTTGAAAATCTCTGGCTTACTGAGTTCAGCTGTCATCCTTACTGACGGGACTGATGTGTTTCGTCTCAGATGTGTCACACGTACTATGTGGCCTTTTCTTTTCTCTTTATAAAATTCTTTCTCGGTAGTTAGAAAGGCTTATGATTTTGTGGTTGTAGTTACCGTATCTTTATGGAAGGCCCGTAGGCCACTTTTCCCTTGCATGGTCTTCTGATACTTGTTATCGTCAGAAAATTTTCCCTGATTTCCACCTGTTTGTTAGCTTTGTGCCTAACAGGGAACTTCCTATTTGCCTCTTTCTGTTCAGCTTCCTTTCCCCCCTCATTTTCAAAATGACTTTATCGAGATAGTTTACATAACATATGATTCACTCCTTTAAGCTTTACAATTTAATAGCTTTTACAATAGTCCCATGTATGTGCCACTGTTACCTAGCCCATTTCAGAGTATCTTCATCGCCTTAGAGAGAAACCCTGACCCTTTCACTCTCTTCCTCACCCTTCCCCTTCGCCCCTGGCCCTGAGCAACCACTGATCATCTCCTTGTCCCTATAGGTGTCCCTGTTTTGACTTCCATGTACGTGGAATCCTAAAGGATGTGCTCTTTGGCGACTGGCCTCTCTCACTCACTGAGAGTTTTCATGGCCTCCTCCGTGTGGCAGCGCGCATCAGGGCTTTCTGCCTTCCTGCGACCGAAGTCATTCCCACTTGCAGGGCCCGGCAATGCCACTCATGTACTGATGGCAACTTAGCTTCTCTTTCTTCTTTCGGCTTTTGTGAATAATGCCACCATGAACGTTCATGTACAGCTACTTGTGTGGACATGTGTTTTCATTTTTCTTGGGTATGTAGCTAGGAGTGGAATTGCCGGCTCATACAGTAACTCTGTGCGTTTAACCAGGTGAGGAGCTGCCGGACCCGTGTCCAGAGCACTGTACCACCTGCAGTTCCCACCGGCAGCTCACGAGGGTCCCAGCTTTGCTCTGTCCTTGCCAGCGCTGGTTGGTGTGTGACCTTTGATTCCAGCCATCCTGGTGTGTGTGAAGTAGTGTCACGTCGTGGTTTTGACTTTTTCCTCGTGACTGATGATGTTGAACATCGTTTTATGATCTTATTGGACATTTGTATGTCCTCTTTAAAGGTGTGTGTATTTATATTTAGAGGCATACATCCTTTGATTTTAATTAGATTATTTGTTTTTTTATTATTAATCAGAAGGGTTCTGATTAATTAAGAGACAAGCCCTTAACCAGGAACATGATTTGCAAATATCTTCTCGCATCCTGAAGACTGTCTTTTTACTTTCTTGCTGGTGTTTCTTGAAGCACAAAAGCTGTTAATTTTGGTAAAGTCTGATTTGTTCAGTGTTTCTTTTGTCGCTCATGGTTTTGATGTCATTGTCAACAATACATTGCCGAGTTCAGGCTTATCAAGATTTTCCTCTGTGTTTTCTTCTAAGGGTGTTACAGTTCGGGTTTTTTCATTTAGGTCTTAGGTCTCTGCGTTGAGTTTTACAGTGAGAGTCCAGCTTCCTTGCGGAGCGTGTGCGCCAGTCCCTGGCCCCGCACTGTTGGCTGAAAGGCTCTCTGTCCCCCTTGTGTGTTGGCTGCCTTCTTGAAGATGAGTTGGCCGCAGACGTGTGTATGGGTTTATTTCTGGACTCTAAATTCTCTTCTGTTGTCTCTGTGTCTGTCTTTGGGCTAGCACCACACTACCTTGATTACCACTGTTTTGAAGTAATTTTGAAATTAGAAGTATGAAATCTTCCTAACTTCATTCTTACTCACAATTATTTTGGCTGTTCCGTGTCCATTGAACTCCCATGTGAACTTTTAGAATCAGCTTGTCAATCTCTACAGAGAACCCGGGACTCTGAAAGGGATTGTGTGGAGTCTGTGGATCTGGGGAACATTACCATCTTAGCTGTTACCGTATGAAGTCTTCCAGCATGATATATTTCTCTGTTTCTTTAGATTCTTAAAAATCATTTTCAACAATGCTTAGTAATTTTCAAAATATAAGTTTTGCATTATCTTGCTAGACATATTCCCATGGTTTTTTTTTTTTGATGTTATTGTGAATGAAATTATTTTCTTAATTTCATTTTTGGATAGTTCATTACAAGTGTATCAAAATAACAATTGATTTTTTTTTTTTAATATTTTTATTTATTTCTAGGAGAGAGAGAGAGACAGTGAGAGCAGGGAAGGGTCAGAGAGAGAGGGAGTCACAGACTGAAACAGGCTCCAGGCTCCGAGCTGGCAGTCAGCACAGAGCCCGACGTGGGGCTCGAACCCACGAACTGTGAGATCATGACCTAAGCGAAAGTCGGACGCTCAACCGACTAAGCCACCCAGGCGCCCCTAACAATTGATTTTTGTATATTGATCTTTTATCCTGCAGCTTTGCTGAAGTCATTTATTAGTTCTGGTATGATTACTTTAAAAATTTTTTAATGTTCATTCATTTTTGAGAGAGACAGAGACAGAGCATGAGCAGGGGAGGGGCAGAGAGAGAGAGGGAGACAGAATCTGAAGCAGGCTCCAGGCTCCGAGCTGTCAGCACAGAGCCTGATGCAGTGCTTGAACCCCTGAGTAGTGAGATCATGACCTGAGCCAAAGTTGGACTCTTAACTGACTGAGCCACCCAGGCAACCCCAGAGTTTTTTTCTTGGGCAAGTTTCAGTGTCTTTTTAGGAATATGTCCGTCTCCCGTCCGCTATCTACTTTGTTGGCATACAGTCATCCGTAGTGTTTCTTTGTAGTCTTTTTATTTCTATAAAGTCAGTAGTAATGTCCTTTCTTTCATTTTTAAAACGTTTACTTATTTTGAGAGAGAGCAAGCGAGCGAGCGCATGTGTGAACTGGGGAGGGGCAGAGAGAGAGATGGAGACAGAGAACCCCAAGCAGGCTCCACACGGTCAGCACAGAGCCCAACGCAGGGCTTGAACCCATGACTGTGTGATCACAGTCGAGCCAGAGTCAAGAGTAGGACACTCAACTGACGGAGTCACCCAGGCTTCCCTTTCATTTCTCATTCTAGTATTTTCAATCTTCTCTCTTTTTCTTTTGGTCAAAAAGCTAAAGATTTGTCCATTTCATTGATCTTTTTAAAGTCCTGAGTTTGAGTTTTGTTGATTTTTTGTTGTTGTTGTTTTACTTTCTCTGTCTTACTAGTTTTCACCCTAGTCTTTGTTAATCCCTGGAAGAGCCGGTCAGCAGCAGTCCGGGCCGCGCCTGGGACCAGTGCCCGCGGGGAAGGGGAAGGGGCGTGGGGTGAGCTTGTGGCTCCAGCACTGTGTCTCTTGGCCCCCTTCTGCCCCTGACGGTGTCTTGCTGCTAAACCGAAGGCACCGTCTGTCTCTCCAGCTAGAGCGTGGTCTCCACAGAGAGCAGGGCCCATGTTTGTCTTGGGGCCGGGCTGCCTGCCATGCGAGGAGAGCTCCCGGTGTGCGGAGACCGCAGCGATCCTCTCACACCAAGGACGTATTTTGACAGGAGTGGGAAGGCCAGCTGATGCTTTGAGTTTAAGTTTTGCTTGTAATTATTTTATTATTATTTTATTTATTTATTAAAAAAACTTTTAAACATTTATTTATTTTTGAGAAACAGAGAGACAGAGCATGAGCAGGGGAGGGGCAGAGAGAGAGAGAGGGAGACACAGAATCTGAAGCAGCTCCAGCCTCTGAGCTGTCAGCACAGAGCCCGATGTGGGGCTCAAACCCATGAGCCGTGAGATCCTGACCTGAGCTGAAGTCGGACGCTTAACCAACTGAGCCACCCAGGCGCCCCTACTTGTAGTTATTTTAAAAGTGTTGTATTTTGAGATTCTGGATTATAGTAACTAAATTTCAAGGGAAAATTTGGCATGTGAGTTTTATGGGAGTCAAGAGTCGTGGGGTCCCCCAGTGACTGTGGGGCCATGTCCCGGGGCCTCTGTGTTTCCTTACATACAAGAAAGAACACACTGGATCATCTGTAAGAGACTTTCACGATCAGAAGCCTGGACTGTTCAGGTTTTGGACCAGTGATGGCTACTTGTGCCTGGATTAACGTCTGTGCGCTCATGTTTGTAACAGGAACAAAGCCAGGTGGGGCACCCAGCTCGTGCTGGAGCGCAGCAGCGTGTTGGTGTTTTTGCCAGGTGAGTTTCACGCTTGTGACCTGAAATCATAGTGTCCTGGGTGGAGGCTGTGTTTGTGTCTAGCCCATTTTGTGAAAAATGAACAAATATGAACAAATATGATTTTCAGTTTGATCTCTTATTGTAACCTTTGTATTGCTAAAATGATCATGAAGAGTTTAATTTTTTTTAAGTTTTGAAAATTCTGCTTCTACTTTTGTAGGCTTCCATCCTTTTTTAAAAATATTTATTTTTGAGAGAGAGAGAGCGCGAGCAAGCGCAGGGGAGGAGCAGAGACAGAGGGAGACATAGAATCCGAAGCAGGCTCCAGGCTCTGAACTGTTAGCACACAGCCTGACGCGGGGCTCGAACCCACAAACTCTGAGATCATGCCTGAGCTCAAGTTGGATGCTCAACTGAGTGAGACACCCAGATGCTCTACTCCTTTTTTTTTTTTTTTTTTTTTTTTTAAAGGTTATTTACTTCTTTTGAGACAGAGAGACACAGAGCATGAGCAGGGGAGGGGCAGAGAGAGAGGGAGATCGAGAATCTTAAGAAAACCTTGCACTGTCAGTACAGACTTGAACCCACAAACTGAGATCATGACATAAGCTGAAATCAAGAGTTGATTTTGACACTTAACAGACTAGCCACCCAGGTGTCTTAAGAGTTTAATTTTTAATTTAATTTTATTTATTTTTTTAGAGTTTAACTTTTTAAAGGCAGTTTTATCTGCTTCCAAATTTTCAATAAAGTAATTGGCTTTGTTAAATTTGCTATTTCACGTATATGGTTGTAAATGTGAGGTAATTGCTGTCAGTGTACACTTAAAGGCTACTTAATGATAGTGTTGTTAGTGTGACAGCATGACAGTCATCGGAAAAGTCTTTGTGTCCTTTTCTCAGTATTTGGGGAAATCGGTCTTTTTTTTTTTTTTTTTTTTACAAATAGTTTATTGTCAAATTAGTTTCCACATAACACTCAGTGCTCATCCCCACAAGTGCCCTCCTCCATGCCCATCCCCCCTCCCCCCCACACATCAGTCCTCAGTTTTTGTCAGCATTCAAGAGTCTCTCATGGTTTGCCTCCCTCCGTCTCCCCCACCATTTCCTCCCTTCTTCTCCCCCTTGTTCCTCCGTCAAGTTCCTCCTAATCCTCCTGTACGTGCAAACATACGGTATCTGTCCTTCTCTGCCTGACTTATTTCGCTCAGCATAACACCCTCAAGGTCCATCCATGTTGCTACACAGGCCAGATTTCATTGTTTCTCATTGCCATGTAGTATTCCATTGTATAGATAAACCACATCTTCTTGATCCGTTCATCTGTTGATGGACACTTAGGCTCTTTCCATGTTTTAGCTATTGTGGAGAGTGCTGCTATGAACATTGGGGTACATGTGCCCCTGTGCATCAGCACCCCTGTATCCCTTGGGTAAATTCCTAGCAGTGCTATTGCTGGGTCATAGGGGAGTTCTATTGTTAGTTTCCTGAGGAACCTCAACACTGTTTTCCAGAGGGGCTGCACCAGTTTACATTCCCACCAACAGTGTAGGAGGGCGCCCGTTTCTCCACATCCTCGCCAGCATCTAGAGTTCTCTGATTTGCTCATTTTAGCCACTCTGGCTGGCGTGAGGTGGTATCTCAGTGTGGTTTTGATTTGTGGGGAAATCGGTCTTTTGACTACCTGAAAAAAGATTAATTTGTGGTAAATTGTACTTTCTCAAAATGTTTAAAAAAATTAATGTTTAGGGGCGCCTGGGTGGCTTAGTCGGTTGGGCGTCCGACTTTCGCTTAGGTCATGATCTCGCGGTTCGTGGGTTCGGGCCCCGCGTCGGGCTCTGTGCTGACTGCCAGCTCAGAGCCTGGAGCCTGTTTCAGTCTGTGACTCCCTCTCTCTCTGACCCTCCCCTGCTCACGCTGTCTCTCTCTCTCCTAGAAGTAAATAAAAACATTAAAAAAAAAAAATTAAAAAAAAAAAATTAATGTTTATTTATTTTTGAGACAGAAACAGAGCGTGAGTAGGGGAGGGACTGAGAGAGAGAGGGAGACACAGAATCTGAAGCAGCTCCAGGCTCTGAGCTGTCAGCACAGAGCCCGATGAAGGGCTCGAACTCACTAACCAAGAGATCATGACCTGAGCCAAAGTCAGTGAAACATTATGATGATAATTCCTGTCTTTTTTGTTGTTGGAAGGAAAAGATAGCATACAGGTGTTTGTGCTAGTAGATTTGGAGAACAAAAAGCCTGAATTAAAGTAACTTACTTAATTTTGGGGATGCAACATTTAAGTTTACAACTTTGATTATGTTTTGCTTATGTTGCAGTGGAGGAGTTTTGTATCCAGGAAACAAGCATTAGCTGACAGTGGGTGGACTTGCAGTTACCCCAATACATGTTTATCAAAGGCTGCTGTGTGTGTAATAGCACATTAAGGAAAAGTATGGCCAGAGCAGAGCCATAGGGGCACTGGCTCAGGAATACCTAATAGTGAGATAGATACCTTCTGTCAAGCATTGTCTGTAGAAAATATTTATAAATGGTATTTTGCAGTTTACTGTGTCTTCTTTCTTTTTTTTTTTTTTTTAAATATTTTTATTTATTTCTAGAAGAGAGAGAGAAACAGCGTGAGCAGGGGAGGTTTAGAGAGAGAGGGAGTCACAGACTGAAACAGGCTCCAGGCTCTGAGCTGGCAGTCAGCACAGAGCCCGATGCGGGGCTCGAACCCACGAACCGCGAGATCATGACCCAAGCGAAAGTCGGACGCTCAACCGACTAAGCCACCCAGGCGCCCCTACTGTGTCTTCTTTCTGTTACGTGTTTATGTGAATGCAGGTGTGATAGATGTTTATTTCTTTATTGATCTTTGGGAGCGGTTCTGTGTTAGCTTCCTTGGGCTGCTGTAACAGAGTGCTACCAAGTGTCAGGCTTAACACAGTAGGAATTTATTCTCTCACTGCTCTGGAGGCCAGGAGTTCAAGATAGAGGCGTGAGCAGGTCTTTGCTCCCTCTGGGGTTCCAGGTACAACCCTCCCTTGACTGCCGGCTTCCGGCAGCCGCAGGCCATCCATCCGCCACATTCCTTGGCTTGTGGCTGCGTCCCTCCCGTCTCTGCCTCCCTTGTTAATGTGGCGCCCTCTCCGTGTGTCTGGGCCTCTCCCTTCCTCTCATGGGGACACCAGTCCTATGGAGTGAGGTCCCGTCCACCCCAGTCTGTCCTTACCTTAGCTCGTTATGTCCGCAGTGACGCTGTTTGCAGACAAAGCCCCGTGCTCAGGCGCGGTAGTTAGGACTCCCACACCTCTTCGGAGGGCACAGGGCAGCACATTGCAGGCTTCGTAATTCAAGTTGAGACCAAAAGCACATGAAAGTTTCATGTATCCTTAGCCCTTTTTAAAACCTAATGAAAAAAATTTAGCATATCTGTGTGACCAAAACTTTCTGAATACTCTTTTGGTTGTAAAATGTTACATGTTCACTATAGAACGTTTGGAAAAATCAGTGGGAAATAAAAATGTAATTATTCAGATGCCACACTTACAGGCAGGCACTGTTGTGGGAAGGAAAACACCAGAAGAATGTGGGCTTTTTCCCCCATATTTTTGAGTTATTAGTGGTTAATGTCATTGTACATTTTTATTTGTAATTGAGACGTAATTGGGCAAACAGGACAGCCAAGTCAAAGTGAAATACGGCCTTTTTTTGAAAAAGGTATCATCTAATTTAAAGGTTGGTTGGTTTTTTTGTTTTTTTTTTTTTAAGCAAGACAGTACATCTTTTTTTCCCCCTCCCCTTTCTTTCTTCTCCAGGTCTGGGTGAAATAAACTATATGCATGAACTTCTCACAAACATAGTTCACAAAAGGTATGTTTTAAATGGCATGGGTCTGTTTTTACTGGTACATTGTTGTTTCTGTCCTCAGTGATTCTGGTCAACTCTGAACAGTTACTCATTTCTGCGTGCTCTCACATAGATCTACTCTTTGTGGCCGTTTTGTTCTGTAGGTTACAGGTTTACCCGCTCCATTCAAGTGTGACTTTAGAAGAACAGAATAATGTGTTTCTAAGTCCAGTTCCCGGGTACAGAAAGGTAGGCACCCGGGGGGCAGGTTGCAAGTGCTCCTGGTACATTTTCCACAGAGACTCTGCCACGGGAGAAGGCGGGCATCTCCGTGCACTGGTGCGACGTGCCCTGTTGTGGGGACTCGCTCGAACACATGCTGGCCTGACAGCCACGGATGTGGTTTCATTTTTGTCTTTTATTTTGTAAGTCGGTGGCTGATCTGTTTTTATTTCCTCGACTTGAGGGCATCGTTGCTGGTGGATTTTGATGCTTTTACTTCTTGGCGTTTCTCACGTTGTGGGACTGTCGTGGCGTCATCAGCTCTGTTCTGTGACCTTGGACAGAGCCACATTCTCAGTCTAGGTTCAGGAGGATTCCCGTGCCCTCCGGTGGTGCCTGGAGACAGGAGTAGCACAGGCCTCCTGGCTCTGCTGGAGCTGGTCAGGAGCCTCAGGTCCAGCCCAACCCCCCGCTGCCCTGCCAGCGTGCGGCGCCACAGTGGTGGCCGGCGCCCCAGGGCAGCTGCAGGCTTGGCCCTTCCTCTGGGGTCAGCTTGCTAGTGCCCGTCGCCCCGCGCTGACCCCAGGGCCCCAGAAGCAGCAATTCCCAGGTCTGGGACAGCTGTCCTTGCCTGGCTTCTCACCTGTTGCCTTAAAGTGCCTGCCGTGTTGTGGGCTCCCCGAGAGGGATGACGCCAGGAAGAGGGGTAGCGGTTACGGCCATGCCTGTGGCCCTGGACAGATAGATGGCCTGGGTCCCTTCACCTGTAGTAGTGTGGCCATCGGCAAATCGCATTTGTGAGACTGCACGTTTCCTGTCTGAATGCAGAGCTGCTAGGGAGGCAGATTATGGCCATGGGTACCAGGACTTGAGTCACAGTAGTGTCCCGGTGCCTGGGTGCGCGCACTGAGGGGCCGTAGGTGCTGGGGGTTGAACACGCGCTTCGCGCCAGGCTCGGTTGTAAGCACTTTACACCTGTTAGCTCCTGCGATCCTCACACCGGCCCTGTGGGGCGGGCATCGTTATTATTGTCCACATTGCATCTGTGAGGACAGGGAGGTAAGAAAGTGGCTGAGGGGCCCCCCCCGGTATGGGGCAGAGCTGCAAGGTACACAGGTTTGGCTGCTGAGCACCCCCCACCCCGCATTGCCTCCCCCACCCTCCTCCCAGACCCTTGATCAGTTGTGTTTTATATAAAATAGGAAAACTGTTAATTTAAAAATTTGAGTCCAGTATTCATATTAAGAATCTTTTAAATAATCTTTGAGCTTGAGTTTGACTTTGCCCAGTGTTTCCAGTACATGATAGGAATGTCAGATGCTTGTTGTTGTTGTTTGATAGATTATTCTGTCCACCAACATCGCGGAAAGCTCCGTCACAGTTCCGGATGTTAAGTACGGTAAGATGCTTCTGTTTTCCTCCCGACGTAAACTGTAGTGTTTGAAGGCCCCTTTCCCCTTCAGGAGTCGCTCCCTCTCCTCCTCCCCAGCTCCCGTGCTGTTGCAAGAGAGAATTCAGAAAAGTAGTTCCTACAGTTTCTCTGTGCTTGTAGTTCACCACTTCCTCCTCCTCCGGGGGCGCTGTCCCCCCCCCCCCAGTGGACAGTGGGGCCTGGGGCTGCCCCCCATGGAGGTCTGTGACCCCCCCAGGTGGAGGGGGGGTGAGGGCCGGAGCGCGGCTCGTCTCTGTCACTCAGGGAAGCCGAGTGGGCCACCGTGTCAGCTCGGCCTGGAGCCGCTCTGCGTGCACGTCCATGAGCACGTTGTGAGATGGCTTTATTAATGGATTTTCTAAAGTCATTAGCTCATAGTTTGAAGCCTCCCGCATGGCAGGCACCGCTGTGGGCGCCGGGAGAGCAGTGATGATGCGCGGAAGCCCTGCCTCCGGCGGCCGCGTTCTGCTGGGAGAGCGGGCAGACGCAGGCAGGCGTGCAGGTCGCTTCAGGTGGGGCCGCGCGCTCTGTGTAGGGTTATGGCCCCGGGGGAGCGATCTTAGGGCGATGAGGGAGCACCTCGCTGAGGAAGCAGTATTTGGGTGAGACTTGAATCGAGTGAGGAACGAGCTGTGGGAAGATGCGGATCTGAGGAGCAGCAGGGACGACATGGCTGGACAGAGAAACGTGTACACATGGGATGTGGCGGTGTCTTGCCCCCGTGCCAGGGATTGTTCGAGGAGCTGGGGGAAATCGTCACCAGGAGGAAGTCTTCATTCTCACGCCACCTTCAGGGCTGGGTAACAGACAGGCGATAAATAAGACAAGAGCACGTAGCAGGTGAAGTGAAGGAGTATCAAGGGGAGTACGTGGAGGGGGAGTGTACGTGGAGGGGGAGTAGGGGAGAAGGACAGCAGACGCTGTTGGTGAGACGGCCTGGGGGGGTGTGTGGGGAAGAGTGTAGGAGGGACCAAGGGTCACAGTCTGTAAAGCAAGTGCAGGAAACAGGGAGGCCCGGAGCTGTCTCAGGTGAGGGGAGAGGAAGTGGTTGGAGGGAGAGGTCAAGGAGGTCACGGGGTACCAGGTTATGCAGAGCTTTGTGGGGCGTTTTGCTGGAGGTCAGGAAAGGAGGGGAGGAGAGAGGCATTGGAGACCGGGAAGTCAGCACATTCTGCTGTCAAGGGGAGCAGAGAAATGGGGAGGTTGCCAAAGGGGGTGTTTCGACCAAAAGAACACCTTTCCGGGACGGACAGGAAACCCAGTGTCTGGGTGATGGGGACGGTGTGGGGGGTGATGCGGGAGAGAGAGGATGTGGTCTCGTCCTCGTGCGGGGATGCGATGGGGCACCACGTGGGTGCCGGGCCTCCGTGTGCACGTGGGCGCCTTACCCTGCCTCCCAGGGAAGTGCTGAGTGTGAGGACGGGTGGCCGGGGGAGCTCCTGAGGCGCTCTGCTGCCTCTGCTTCCCCGGGTGAGCTAGAGGCACGGCCGCCAGGGAGGACTGAAAACGGGGGGTGGAGATGGGATGGGGGGGACGCCATAGAGCTTTGAGGAGAAGACCCTGAAGGTGGACAGGTTGATGGACCAGAGGCCAGGTGCCCCGAGGGCCACTCACATCCAGTGGCCAGTGATGGGAAGGGGGCAGTCAGCCTGCTGGGTGTGTCCTTCCCTGGCCCTGGGGCCGCGCATTGGAGGTGGGGAGTGCAGTCCCCAGGGCTGCGGACGGATAGCTGACGGGTCACAAGACAGATGCTGGAAAGGCCTGGAGGCAGGTTCCGAGAGGGCGCTGCTGTCACCGTGACGCGGGTGTCACCTGGGGCTGGAGGGTGAGGGAAGGGATGATCAGAGGAGAGGGTTCGTGGGACCAGGAGGCTGAATGCCACCGACATGGCTTCTTGGGCCTGAAGCCACCAAAATTCGGGTGGGAGCAGTGGAGGAGGCTGCGGGGACTGGGGAACCAGCACAGGGGGGTGCTGGTGGTGAACTGAATGAGGCATAGGTTTTATGGAGGGCAGTGGCGGTGAGGGCCGGCTGGGTGTGGGAGGGGCTGGGAGGGGCATCGAGGAGATGGCACCCTGCCGGCCAGCCCCCCCCCGCCCCCCGCCCCAGTCAGGACAGGGAGAAGGTAGCCATCTGGCAGCCGGCCTGTAGGTGAGGACACTGAAGCCCCGAGAGATTAGGCAGCGCCCCGCCCCGCCAGGGACGGGAGCCCCTGCAGCCCTGCATCGTGGCCACTTCTGTGCTGCCCGCATTGTGCCCTCTGATGCTCTTTGGCATGCAGTCCAGACGGGCTCTTCTTATGGCTTGTGGGTCCGCAGGGCTTATGCTCTTTGTGCCCAAGGGCTCCCGGGCCTTAGAAGAAGGAATGTGACCACAGCCTCTGTCCTGGGCGGTAAGGAGTAGCTGGTGCATTTCCAGAGGCTTCTGTGATGTGCACTGATTCTAAAGGCTGCATGATTCATGCTGTTTGATCACTATGCATTGTGATTATTACACATTTATCTCTTGTTAGCATGGTGTTTACATTCCTTTTTTTAAATGACAGTTATAGATTTTTGTTTGACTAGAACTCTGGTTTGTGATGAAGATACGAATTATCAGAGTCTGCGATTGAGCTGGGCCTCTAAAACCAGTTGTAATCAGAGAAAAGGTAAGGCCTGTGTTCCAGCACGGTAATGAATTGGTGGCACATTCATATGTTTTAAAAAATTTGGCCTTTGTGTTTTTACTCTTATGCAGATACTTTCTTTACTTAAACCAGCAATGACTCACATCACCATGCAGTTCATTTAAATTTGCAGTTCTCCACTCATCCACAGAATTGGGTGACAGTCTTTGTACATAATGGACAGGCGTCTGATTGTTTCAACACTGTCATTTTTTTTGCAGTGGATTTTATTTTTTTAACTTATTTTTTTAATGTTTGTTTATTTTTGAGAGAGAGAGACAGAGTGTGAGCAGGGGAAGGGCAGAGGGAGAGAGGGAGACACAGAATCCAGGACAGGCTCCAGGCTCTGAGCTGTCAGCACAGAGCCTGACACAGGGCTTGAACTCACAAACAGTGAGATCATGATGTGAGCCAAAACCAAGAGTCAGATGCTTAACTATCTGAGCCACCCAGGCGTCCCTGCAGTGAATTTTAAAAAGCATTTGGGGAATAGTTATGGAAACCAAATACATTTTTGGTAATATTTTAAAAAATGTTTGTTTATTTTTGAGGCAGAGATAGAGCTTGAGGCAGGGAGGGGCAGAGAGAGAGGGAGACACAGAATCCGAAGCAGGGTCCAGGCTCTGAGCTGTTAGCACAGAGCCCGACGCAGGGCTCGAACCCATGAGCAGTGAGATCATGACTTGAGCCAAAGTTGGACGCTTAACTGACTGAGCCACCCAGGTGCCTCCATTTTTGATAATTTTTAAAAAATGTTTTTATTTATTTATTAAAAAAATTTTTTTTACTGTTTTTTATTTTTTTCTGAGAGAGAGAGAGACAGACAAACAGAGACAGTGTGAGCAGGGGAGGATCAGAGAGAGAGGGACACAGAACCCGAAACAGAGGCTCCAGGCTCTGAGCTAGCTGTCAGCACAAAGCCCAACGCGGGGCTCAAACCCACAAACCATGAGATCATGACCAGAGCCGAAGTTGGACGCTTAACCGACTGAGCCACCCAGGTGCCCTTGTATTTATTTTAGAGAGAGCACAAGTTGAGGAGGGGCAGGGAAAGGGAGACACAGAATGCAAAGCAGGCTCCATCTCCAAGCTGTCAGCACAGAGCCCAGCCTGGGGCTCAACCGCAAGAACTGCTAGATCATGACCTGAGCCGAAGTCGGTTGCTCAGCTAGCTTAGCCACCCAGGTGCCCTTGTATTTATTTTGAGAGGAAGAGAGAGAGTGAGAGAGAGCACACACATGCACATGTACAAGGAAGGGGCAGAGAGAGGGAGAGAGAATCTCCTCACTGTCAGCCCAGAGCCTGACTTGGGGCTCGGACCCTCAAACTGTGAGATCATGACTGAAGCCAAAACCGAGTTGGACGCTCGCCTGACTGACTGTCCAGGCGCCGCAGAACTACTTCTTGCTGGATCCCATGGTGCCCTTCACCTGTGGAAGGCTGTTGGAGTGTCTCCGGTTGCTGGCAGTTAAACGTAAAGCCACTAAGAATACTGACGTGCAGGCTTTGTGTGGATGTAAGTTTTCATTTCTCTGGGATAAAAGCCTAGGAGCACAGTCACTGGGTGATGTGGTGAGCGTGTGGTTAGTTTTCTAAGAAATTGCCTCAGACTGTTCCCTCGGTTGCTGCATGGCAGCTCCAGCAGTGCATAGGACTCAGTTTCCCCACATCAGCGGCAGCATTTGGTGTCAGCAGCTCTTTTTATTTTCGCCATTCTGAAGGCACCTGGTGGTCTCCCCTTGTGATTTTAATGTCCGTTTCCCTGCCGGCTGGTGGCGTGAGCGCCTCTTCCCATGCTGCTCTGCTGTTCGGGTGCCTCCAGGGAAGTGTCTGTTCACGGCTCCTGCCCGTTTTAGGATTGTGCTGTGGGTGCTCTGACGGGTGAGGCTGGGGGCTCTCCATGCACCCTTGAAACCAGTCCTCTGGGAGATGTTGGCTGTGCGGTTTGCACACGTCTCTCCCAGCCTGTCCTTTTCTGTGTCTCCTCTTTTTCACTGGGTCTTTTGGAGAGAAGAGTCTTAAACTTGGCTGAGGTCTGCCTCTTCTGGGTTGCGTTTGGCGTCATGTGCGCGAACGCTTCCTCTTGCCCTGCGTCCCCAGGGGATTTCTCCTGGCTTTTCTTCTCAGGCTTCCCAGCTGTGTGTTCTATGTTTATGGCTGTGACCTGTTTGAATTAACTTAAAATTTTTTTTTAAATTTTTATTTATTTTTGAGAGAGTGAGAGAGAGAGTGTGAGCAGGGAAGGGGCAGAGAGAGGGAGACACAGAATCTGAAGCTGTCAGCACAGAGCCTGATGCAGGGGCTCAAACCCACAGACCATGAGATCATGGCCTGAGTCGAAATCAAGAGTCGGACGCTTACCTGACTGAGCCACCCAGGCACCCCGGGGCTACCCGATTTTTTTAAAGCTGGGTATTTATTAAGGACACCCTTTCCCCTCCCCGTCCCTTTATCCTTGGGAGATTTTATTACGTGTCGGATTACAGGAGTGTCCACTCCCACAGGCAGTGCAGTCACGGGAGGAGAGGTGTGCGTGGTGCTGCGGGAGGGCCGGGCCCACTCCGAGCTGTGTGCGAGTGATCCCTCGCTTCACACGAAGCAGCGGCCGTGACAGCTGCCTCTGCATGGGCCTTGGGGCGGAGGCCGCTGGACAATCCCAGGCAAACGGTGGCACCGACAGCCTGCGCATGTCTCATTGCTCAGCCACATCACTGGGGGACCACACCCGCTCCCGCCAACTTTATGCATTTTGTGTTTTTATTCGTATGAGCTTTGCATTTGCAGGAAGTTTCTTGTATTTAATGTGTTTTGATTTTCATTGCATATTGGGGCCAATGTGGTTTTCTTTAGAAATAATGCATTGGATTGTATGCCGTCGATCACCGAGGAGAATTCAGCGCTTAGTCTGCCTACACGAGAGGTCTTTGGAAACCAACTTATTCTAGTCTTTACCGACCGGGTCTGGTAGAAGAAATCAAGGGTTTTTCTTCATATTTAATGGTTATTCTTACATACATGTTTATGCTAATGTGAAAGCGATTAATGCCAGATGGCGTTTGGATGTCTCTCCTTTGCAGGCCGTGCGGGAAGAGTGTCTAAAGGCCACTGCTATAGACTGATCCGCAGGGATTTCTGGGACAGCTCCATCCCTGATCACGTTGTCCCTGAGATGTTGGTAATACTCTCTAGTCATTCCCAAAGTTTGCTTTTTATAGGCAGGGCCTTTTTTAAAAAAATATTTTATTTTTGAGAGAGAGAGATAGAGACAGCATGAGCAGGGGAGGGTCAGAGAGAGGGAGACACAGAATCTGAAACAGGCTCCAGGCTCTGAGCTGCCAGCACAGAGCCTGACGCAGGGCTCGAACCCATGAACCATGAGGTCATGACCTGAGCCGAAAGTCAGACGCTTAACCAACTGAGCCACCCAGGCGCCCCTTTATAGGCAGAGTCTTATTGAACGGTCTAAGTAATACAGTGGTAGGTGTTATAATTTTGATTTCAGGAAAATCATTGTCTGACCAAACTGGTCTCTAATCCCGGCGCTGGCTCGCCACTTACTGAGCACCCGGCGCTCTGCTAGGACCTCACATGCACGTTCAGTTTCTAGTGAGAGGAGGGCCTCCTCCCCTTTACAGCCATGGTATGGGCTCAGCCGCTGGCTTCCTCTTTGTCCTCTCCTCTCGTCTTCCTTCCCTCTATCTTCCTCTTCCTTCTTTCTCCCGCTTTCCCTTCCTCCCTCTCCCCATCTCTCTCCCTCCTCCCCATTGATCTCTCCCCTCCTCTCACTCCCCCATCTGTCTGTCTCTCTGCCTCTTCCCCCATCTGTCTCTCCCCCCTCCCTGCCCCGTCTCTCTCCCTCCCTCGCCTGCACAGCTCCTCTTTTTCTTTGTCTCTCTTGCTCTTTCTCCTTCTCTCACCCTTTGTCTCTTTCCATCTTCTGTTTTTCTTTTTCTCTCCTCCTCTCTTCTGCATCTGTCTCTGAAGTACTAGTCAGTGTAGTCCTAGTCATATGTAGTTAGGTTAGGTGGATTGATTTAATTATTTTGTTCCTAAATTTTTTTGCTCTTTTCAGCGTTGTCCATTAGGAAGCACAATACTGAAAGTGAAATTACTGGACATGGGTGAACCAAGAGCTTTGCTGGCAACGGCCCTTTCTCCCCCTAGTCTGAGTGACATTGAACGAACCATCCTTCTGCTAAAGGAGGTAGGCCCGTCTCACCGTTCGCCAGTGCTGGGAAAAGCTAAGATGTTGTTGGGTGAATTTTAGAAGTTTTGTAACATGGATATCTTTAAGGTATTTTGATTGTCATAATCAGAATTTGCTTTAAAAAGCACGTGTGATGCCTCATCATTGATACCAGACTCCACACCTGTTCTCTTTTTTTAAAAAAATTTTAAATGTTTTATTTATTTTTGAGAGAGAGAGAGAGACAGCATGGGCAGGGGAGGGTCAGAGAGAGAAGGAGACACAGAATCTGAAACAGGCTCCAGGCTCTGAGCTGTCAGCCCAGAACCCTATGCGGGGCTCAAACCGACGCACCGTGGGCTCATGACCTGAGCCAAAGTCGGACGCTTAACCGACTGAGCCACCCAGGCGCCCCATGTTTTTTATTTTAGAGAGAGCATGCCAGCAGGGGAGAGGGACAGGGTGGGGGTGTGTAGAGAGAATCTCAAGCAGGCTCCACACTCAGCCCACAGCCTGAGGTGGGCTCGATCTCACCACAGTGGGACCATGACCCAAGCCTAAATCAAGAGTTGGACATTCAACCGACTAAGCCCCCAAGTGCCCTCCACACCTGTTCTTTACTCCAGTTTTGTGAGTTATCTTGCTGAGGCTTTTACCTTTGCATGGATTCCTCTCCCTGCGCCCCTCCCAGCCCCTCCCCTCCCTGCTGGCCTTTGCTGCTGTGCTAGGAGAGAGGACACACACAGCGTGTGACGATGCTGAGTGACAATGCTGAGTGGTTATTCTTTTTCTTTTTTTCTTAAATAGTTTATTGTCAAGTTGGTTTCCATACAACACCCAGTGCTCATCCCCACAAGTGCCCTCCCCCGTGCCCATCACCCCCCTTCCCCTCTCCCCCACCCCCATCAGCCCTCAGTTTGTTCTCGGCATTCAAGAGTCTCATGGTTTGCCTCCCTCCCTCTCCCCCCTCATTTCCCCCCTTCTTCTCCCCCACGGCCCTCCGTTAAGTTCCTCCTACTCTTCCCATACGTGCAAACATATGGTAGCTGTCTTCTGCCTGACTTATTTCGCTCAGCATAACACCCTCAAGGTCCATCCATGTTGCTACACGTGGCCAGATTTCATTCTTTCTCATTGCCATGGAGTATTCCATAGTATAGATAAACCACATCTTCTTGATCCATTCGTCCGTTGATGGACACTTAGGCTCTAGCCATGTTTTGTCTACTGTTGAGAGTGCTGCTATGAACATTGGGGTACATGTGCCCCTATGCCTCAGCACTCCTATATCCCTTGGGTAAATTCCTAGCAGTGCTATTGCTGGGTCATAGGAGAGTTCTATTGTTAGTTTTTTGAGGAATCTCCACACTGTTTTCCAGAGGGGCTGTGCCAGTTTACATTCCCACCAACAGTGTAGGAGGGTGCCCATTTTTCCACATCCTCGCCAGCATCTAGAGTCCTCTGATTGGCTCATTTTAGGCACTCTGACCGGTGTGAGGTGGTATCTCAGTGTGGTTTTGATTTGTATTTCCCTAATGAGGAGGGACGGTGAGCATCATTTCATGTGCCTGTTGGCCATCTGGATGTCCTCTTTGGAGAAGTGTCTGTTCATATCTTCTGCCCATTTTTCACTGGATTATTTGTTTTTCGGGTGTGGAGTTTGATGAATTCCTTATAGATTTTGGATACTAGCCATTTATCTGATAAGGTCATTTGCAACTATCTTTTCCCATTCCATCGGTTGCCTGTTAGTTTTATGGATTGTTTCCTTTGCCGTGCAGAAGCTTTTTGTCTTGATGAGTACCCAATCGTTTAATTTTGCTCTTGATTCCCTTGCCTTTGTTGATGTGTCAAGGAAGAAATTGCTACGGTGGAGGTCAAGGAGGTTGTTTCCTGCTTTCTCCTCTAGGGTTTTGATGGTTTCCTGTCTCACATTCAGGTCCTTTATCCATTTTGAGTTTATTTTTGTGTATGGTGTAAGAAAATGATCTAGTTCCATTATTCTGCATGTTGCTGTCCAGTTCTCCCAGCACCATCTGTTAAAGAGGCTGTGTTTTTTCCATTGGATACTCTTTCCGGCTTTGTCAAAGATTAGTTGGCCATACGTTTGTGGGTCCAGTTCTGAGTTTTCAATTCTATTTCATTGGTCTATGTGTCTGTTTTTGTGCCAATACCATACTGTCTTGATGATTACAGCTTTGTAGTAGAGGATAAAGTCTGGGATGGTGATGCCTCCCGTTTTGATTTTCTTCAGTATTACTTTGGCTACTTGGGGTCTTTTGTGGTTCCATACAAATTTTAGGATAGTTTGTTCTAGTTTTGAGAAGTATGCTGGTGCAGTTTTGATTGGGATTGCATTGAATGTGCAGATTACTTTAGTAGTGATGACATTTTAACAATATTCTTCTGACTCATGAGCATGGAATGTTTTTCCATTTCTTTGTGTCTTCTTCAATTTCCTTCATAAGTTTTCTATAGTTTTCATCATACAGATCTTCTATCTTTGGTTAGGTTTATTCTGAGGTATTTTATGTTTTTTCGTGCAACTGTGAATGGGATCCGTTTCTTGATTTCTCTTTCTGTTGCTTCATTGTTGGTGTATAAAAGTGCAACCAATTTCAGTACGTTGATTTTGTACCCTGCAACGTTGCTGAATTCATGGATCAGTTCTAGTAGGCTTCTGGTGAAGTCTGTCGGGTTTTCTATGTAGAGTTTCATGTCGTATGTGAAAAGTGAAAGTTTGACTTCCTCTTTGCCAATTCTGATGCCTTTGATTTCCTTTTGTTGTCTGATGGCTGATGCGAGGACTTCCAGCACTGTGTTAAACAACAGTGGTGAGAGTGGACATCTCTGTCGTGTTCCTGACCTCAGGGGAAAGCTCTCAGTTTTTCCCCGTTGAGGATGATGTTAGCTGAGGGCTTCTCATAGATGGCTTTTATGATGTTTAGGTAAGTTCCTTTTATCTCAACTTTCTCGAGGGTCTTTATTAAGAATGAGCGGTTATTCTTAAATGCACCTTCTACAGATGTGGGGGTAGCAAATCCCAAGTGGGTTTGGGTATTCCTTCCTCAAAGGCTGTGCGGGACGAGTGTGTAAGGCGATGCCCAAGGTCTCTAGGGCAGCTCCACCTGACCAGGTCTGCCTGCCAGTGCCCGTCAGCTCGGCCACTCTTTCCCTGCGGTTCTGTCTCCATGTGGTTCTCACACACGTTCTAGCTCGTGGGTTCCCTTGCTGGAAACTGCTCTGCCTCCTCAGAGTCTTGGGCTCCTGACCCCCAGCTTGCTGTGCCCTCGCTGCCTGCAGCCCTGGGGCCTTGGCCTGTGCAGTGCTTCTTGGGGCTGTAGCTCGTCTTCTGGCCCTTGACGCTGGGAGTGCTCTGGTATTTCACCTTTGTTCTGATATCTCTCTGGGTTTCTCTGAGATACACTTTGTCAAGGCAAGGAAGTTTTCTCATGCTGACAGTTGAATACGTTGTGGGGTGTGTGATGTGACAGTTAGGCCTTTGGTTTTGTATCATGCATGCTGTTTGTGGGAGTGTCTTGAGCCTTACCTCCCAGAGTCACTCTTTTTAAAAAATAAGAAAATGTGTTGTAAGTTCCAAAAAACAAATTAAAAGGATTTTCTTGGTAGTATCAAATTTTCATAAGTCCATTTAGATGTCTTTTATTTTTTAATTTTTTAAAACATGTTTTTATTTATTTTCTGAGAGAGAACTGTGAGCAGGGGAGGGTCAGAGAGAGAGGGAGACACAGAATCTGAAACAGGCTCCAGGCTCTGAGCTGTCAGCACAGAGCCCAACGCGGGGCTCAAACCCATGAACCGTGAGATCTTGACCTGAGCCGAAGTTGGACACTTAACCAACTGAGCCACCCAGGTGCCCCAAGATGTCGTTTAGAACCTTACCCAAATTTGCTCATCATTTCCTGTTTAGACTCCCTGCCTCCTGGGAAAAAGGGCCCGAATAAGTCCGTGCTTGCTAACAACACTCATTTATCTCCTAAAGGTCGGAGCGCTTGCAGTGAGTGGGCAGAGAGAGGACGAGAGCCCCCACGATGGCGAGCTGACCTTCTTAGGAAGAGTTTTGGCCCAGCTTCCTGTTAACCAGCAGCTCGGTAAACTCATAGTCCTTGGTCACGTGTTTGGGTGTCTCGACGAATGTCTCATTATAGGTAAGCGTGGGCGCGGGGCAGCGTGCGGGAGGCTGTGGCCCCGCTCTGCCAGCCTCACCTAGTCTTCGTTCTTCCCGCCAGCCGCAGCACTTTCCTTGAAGAACTTTTTTGCGATGCCTTTTAGGCAGCATCTTGATGGATACAGGTATTTAGCGTTTGTATATATATATTTTTTCTTAAGTATTTATTTTGAGAGGGAGGAGAGAGAATCCCAAGCAGGGGCATTGCGGAGCCTGACAGACTGGATCCCATGCACCGTGAGATCATGACCTGAGCTGAAATCAAGACTTGGACGCTTAGCTGACTGAACCACCCAGGCACTGCTAGCATTCATATTTTTAAAAGTCACTTATTAAGGGCATCGAATGACACTGTTTGTTCTCTGTAGGAACAAAGTGAATTTCTCCGGCAGCAGCAAGAGTGACTGCATTGCACTTGTTGAGGCGTTTAGAGTAAGTGTTCTCTGGGCGGCGGGGAGCAGCCACCACAGGGCATTAGCATGCGCTCGGACCAGAGCCCTTTCTCGGCCGAAAGCACCGTGAGGCTTGTTGGTGTTCAATGTTGAACAAACGGTGTTGGATGAAGTAGATGCGGGGGGTGGGGGAGTCAAGTGTTATGAAGTTGTTAGGAAAAAATTAAATTTGTTAAGTTTTCTGTGGTCAGAATGTGTGGAAATTAGACTCTAACAAATTTTGATTAGCTACTAAAGTGTTTTGAAACTGGGCCATTTCTTTTCAGACTTGGCAGGCTTGCAGACAGAGAGGAGAGCTTCGGCACCCGAAGGTTGGTCAGCTGCTTCTTCTGTTCATATTTGGGTGTCAGGGATCTAGGGAGACTCTGCCGAGTGTCTCTCGTTTGGCCTGGTCACCCCAGGTGACACAGGAGAGCGCCAGGCCTGAGCCGAGGTCACTGTTGCCTGTCCTCAGCGGGCGGCTGGCCGAAGCCAGCAGAGGCAGTCTGTGGCGAAGTGCTTTGGAGCCTGTCTTCAGGGCAGTGGTTACTGTGGAGGTGGCTCCCGGGGCCCGCAGCGAGGTGGCCGTCCGCCCCCACGTCCTGGTGATCCTTCACTTGGGTCTGGGGCCGCCTCTGCTTCGACTGCTTCGTGCCTGCGGGGATGTGCCTGGAGGTGCCGTTTGCAGCTAGGAACCCGCAGATGGCAGGACTTCACTCTCTCTTACCACCGGGTAGCGTTCCGTGCTGTACACAGCCCCTCTTCTGGATCCATTCGTCAGTGGTGGACACTGAGCTCTTGCCACACTCTGACTGTTGTTGGTAGTGCTGCTGTAACCATTGGGGTGCATGTGCCCCTCTGAATCTTGCCATTTGCAACAGTGTGGATGGAGCTGGAGGGTGTTATGCTGAGTGAAATAAGTCAGGCAGAGAAGGACAGATATTGTATGTTTTCATTCATTCGTACGTGGAACTTGAGAAACTTAAGACCATGGGGGAGGGAAGGGGAAAATAGTTTCAAACAGAGAGGGAGGGAGGCAAACCGTAAGAGACTCAAATACAGAGAACTAACCTGAGGGTTGATAGGGGGATGGGGGAGGAGGGGGAATGGGGGATGAGCACGGAGGAGGGCACATGTTGGGAGGAGCACTGGGTGTTGAACGCAAGCTGTGAATCACGGGAACCTACTCCTGAAGCCAAGAGCACACTGTACACGGTGTGTGAGCCAACTTGACGATGAATGATACGTACACACAAAACAAAACACAAACAACAAAGAATCCCGAAGCCTCTCCTTTAGCTGTTGTCTCCTGAGTTTTATTTAGATAACAGGCTTTAAGGAACTCAATGTGAAGGTCTCCTTTTTTTAAATTTGTTTATTATTTGATCAGGTTTTGTTCTCTTCCAAGCTGATTAGGTTCAAAGACTATTGACAGGTTTGTGTGTTCAAAGTTGCCTCGGCTCCAGGTGTCCCCGCAACAGCTGCGTGAGTTCCCTGTCAGCCGCCTCGTAAGGTGTCCGCTGTGCCGTGTCTTGTCGGTGCCCATGTTCTTTCTCACGTATGTTTCTGGGTGAGATCTGTGTGTTACGGTAGCCAAATCGGCTCTAATTTGTTAACTGATATTGAGTGTTCTGCCTCTATTTAAAGGATGAACTTGACTGGGGACGGTTAAATTACATTCAAATCAAGAGAATTAGAGAGGTAAGTTGTAAATTCTTTGAATGAATATAAAGATTTATTAAATGTTGTTAAGTACCCACAATACACAGGGTGGTAAGTGAGAGTTCCAGCTTTAGTGGAATTTATATATGTGCTGTGCATTTATGATACAGTTTTTATATAATTCATAAACATTTGTGGCTACGTATAATACTTATATGACTTGTCTGTTTGTTAAACGTTATATGTATTTAATTACATACATTCAATATGGTATTCTTATAATTTCCGAAGTGGCGGCTTCATTTTCTCATTCTTCATTTTCATAAGTACTGTGTACTTGTGCTTTCTCTGATTCCTGATTAGTGTGTGTGTCCAAGGGGCCCCCAGACCACCGTTGGGCTCAGTGATTCACCAGAAGGACTCACAGATCTCAGAAAAGCTGTGACACCCATGGTTCTAGTTTCTTATAGCTAAAGGACACGCACTGAAGTGAGCCCAGGTAGCAGGCTCGGGGGAGAAGCCCGGAGCGAGCAGGTACGGGGCTTCAGCTGCTTCCTCCGCGTGGGCCTGTGGGCACGGCAGCCGTGGTGACAGCACTCGGGAAGGGTGCCAACCATGGAGGCTCGTTCCGGCCATGGTGTCAGTTCCGCCTGAAGGAGGCCCCGCAGAGCTGACCCTGGTCACTTGGTTGTCAGCTCTGCAGAGGCCCTGCCGGTAGCGCATGGCGGCTGCTCCGCTGTAAACCCTTTTGCTACTGCAAACGCTTTGTCAGGCCCAGGACCTCAGGCAGACAAGACACTCCTCTGAGGCAGGAAGTTCCGAGGGCTTTCGCGGCCATGTCCCAGGAGCCTCGCCTGTCTTGGGAACGTGCACGGTGAGGGTGACCCAGGTCTGCTGTGCTCCCCCGTCACTGCACAGTTTGCAGCATGCTCCGCCTGGTTTCCTTTCAAGGGAAACCCTTTCAAGGGTTTGATTTGTCAATTTAACTGTGTAGGTATTTTTGGGGAAGGAGAAAATTAGAGGATATTGCCTGATTAACCTTTTGTTTTTTTCTGTTTTTTTTTTTTTTTTTTTTTAATGTTTATTTATTTTGAGAGAGGGAGTGCAAGCAGGGGAGGGGCAGAAAGTGAGGGGGAGCGAGAGAACCCCAAGCAGGCTCTGCACTGACAGTGGGCTCGACACGGGGCTCGATCCCACAAACCATGACATCATGACCTGAGCTGAAATCAAGTCAGATGCTCTACCAACTGAGCCACGCAGGCGCCCTGATTTTTTCCGTTAATTTAGTTCTTTGTTGCTTGGTTTACTATTTTAGTCTTCCTGAGACAGGTAGTTAATCCATTAGCGCTTCCAAGTTTTTCTAATTAAAAGCATCTAAAGCTGTGTATTTTCTCGTGTACAGTTTGGGCCACATCCAGTTGGCTAGTTGGTTTATGATAAGGAGGGAGTGTTGTTACTCCTGCCTGTAGCTTCTTTTAGTGTCAGTTTTCTCCTTGACGGAAGAGATTTTAAGAAGAATGTTTGAATTTCCAGTTAGAAATATTTTTAGATACCTTGTTTTGTTCATTTAAGATTTTACTGCATTTTGGTCAGAGAAAGTGATTTGCATAATTTAAAACTGCTTATTTATTATTATGTTTTAAAATTTACATCCGTGTTAGTTAGCATCTAGTGCAGTAATGATTTCAGGAGTGGAATCCAGTGATTCATCTCCTGTGTGTAACCCCCAGTGCTCATCCCAGCACGTGTCCTCCCCAACACCCCTTCCCCATTTAGCCCATCCCCCTCCCACAACCCCTCCAGCAACCCTCTGTTTCTTCTCCATATTCAAGAGTCTCTTATGTTTTATCTCCTTCTCTGTTTTAATATTATTTTTGCCTCCCTTCCCTTATGTTCATCTGTTTTGTATCTTAAATTCTACGTATGAGTGAAGTCATAGGATATTTGTCTTTCTCTAATTTTGTTTAGCATAATATCCTCTAGTTCCATCCCCGTAGTTGCAAATGGCAAGATTTCTTTTTGATTGCTGAGTACTACTTCATTATATATACGTACCACATCTTTTTTTTTTTTTTAATGTTTTATTTATTTCTAGGAGAGAGAGAGACAGCGTGAGCAGGGGAGGGTCAGAGAGAGAGGGAGTCACAGACTGAAACAGGCTCCAGGCTCTGAGCTGGCAGTCAGCACAGAGCCCGACGCAGGGCTCGAACCCACGAACTGCGAGATCATGACCTAAGCGAAAGTCGGACGCTTAACCAAATAAGCCACCCAGGCGCCCCACGTACCACATCTTTTTTATCCATTTGTCAGTTGATGGACATTTGGACCCTTTCTATATTTTGTCTCTCTTTTTTTTTCATGTGGTGTTTTTTGTTTTTTTCTGAGAGAGAGACAGACAGACAGCGTGAGCAGGGGAGGGTCAGAGAGGGAGATGCAGAATCTGAAGCAGGCTCCAGGCTCTGAGCTGTCAGCACAGAGCCCGATGTGGGACTTTGCCCCACGAACTGTGAGATCATGACCTGAGCCGCAGTCGGACGCTTAACCTACTGAGCCACCCAGATGCCTCTATATTTTGTTTCTTGTCTTTTAGTGTATTGTTGGATCCAGTTGGCTAGTATCTCGTTGAGGATTTTTGCATTCATGTTCATCAGGGATATTGGTCTGTAGTTCTCCTTTTTATTGGGGTCTTTGGTTTTGGAATCAAGGTAATGCTGGCTTCATAGAATGAGTTTGGAACTTCTTCCATTTCTATTTTTTGGAACAACTTCAAAAGAATAGATGTTAAACTATTCTTTAAATGTTTGGTAGAATTCCTCTGGAAAGCCATCTGGCACTGGACTCTTGTTTTTTGGGAGATTTTTGATTACTAATTCAAATTCTTTTTTATTTTTTTAAATTTAAAAAAAATTTTTTTTATTTCTAGGAGAGAGAGAGAGACAGTGTGAGCAGGGGAGAGTCAGAGAGAGAGGGAGACACAGACTCTGAAATAAGCTCCAGGCTCTGAGCTGGCAGTCAGCACAGAGCCCGACACGGGGCTCGAACCCACGAACCACGAGATCATGACCTAAGCGAAAGTCGGACGCTTAACCGACTAAGCCACTAATTCAGTTTCTTTACTGGTTATGGGTCAGTTCAAATTTCCTATTTCTTCCTGTTTCAGTTTTGATAGTTTACACAAGGAATTTGTCCATTTCTTCTAGATTGCTCAATTAATTGGCATATAATTGCTCATAATATTCTCTTTATTATTGTTTGTATTTCTGCAGTGTTGGTTGTGATCTCTCCTCTTTCATTCTTGATTTTATTTATTTGGGTCCTTTCCTTTTTCTTTTTGAGCAGTCTGGCTAGGAGTTTGTCAGTTTTGTTAATTCAAAGAACCAGCTCTTGGTTTCATTCATCTGTTCTATGTTGGTTGGTTGGTTGGTTGGTTGGTTTCAATAGCATTGATTTCTACTCTCATCTTTATTATTTTCCATCTTCTGCTGGTTTGAGGTTTTATTTGCTGTTCTTTTTCCATCTCTTAAGGTGTAAGGTTAGGTTGTGTATCTGAGACCTTTCTTCCTTCTTTAGGAAGGCCTGGGATGCTGTACATGTCCCTCTTGTGACCGCCTTTGCTGAGTCCCACAGGCTTTGGTCTGTGGCGTTACCGTTTTCATTGGCTTCCATGTAATTTTTAATTTCCTCTTTAACTTCTTTGTTAGCCCATTCAGCCTGTAATAGGAGTTCTTTAGTCTCCAAGCTTTGTTATCTTTACAAATTTTTTCTTGTGTTTGATTTTGAGTTTCATTGCATTGTGATCTGAAAATAGGCACGGTATGATCTCGATCTTTATGTACTTGTTGAGGACTGATTTATGTCCCATGTGTGATCTCTTTTATGTCCCATGTGTGATCTCTTCTGGAGAATGTTCTATGTGCACTTGAGAGGAATGTGTATTCTGCTGCTTTAGGATGAAATGTTCTGAATATATCTTAAGTTAAGTCCATCTGGTACAGTGTGGTGTTCAAAGCCATTGTTTCCTTGTTGATTTTCTGTTTAGATTATCTGTCCATTGCTGTAAGTGGCGTATTGAAGTCCTCTACTATTATGGTATGATTGTCAATGAGTTTCTCTGTGTTTGTGCTTGATCTATATATATTTGGGTCCTCCCACATTGTGGCATAAATGGTTATAATTGTTAGGTCTTCTTGATTTATTTATGATTTATTGTTTATTATTGATGATTTATTAAGTCCTCTCAATTATGATAATGCTCTACTTCATCTCTTGTTACGGTATTTATTCTAAATTACTGATATAAGTATGGCTACTCTGGCTTTCTTTTGGTGACCATTAGTATGATAGATGGTTCTTCATCTCCTCACTTTCAATCTGAAGGTGTCTTTAGGTCTACAGTGGGTCTCTTGTAAACAGCATATAGATGGATCTGGTTTTCTTATCCATTCTGTTACCCTGTGTCTTTTGATTGGAGTGTTTAGTCCACTGACATTTAGAGTGAGTACAGAAATATATAAATGTATTCCCTTTTTGTTGCCTGTAGAGTTGGAGTTTCTGGTGGTGGTCTCGGGTCCTTCCTAGTCTTTGTTGCCTTTGGTCTTTTTTGTTTTCCTTCATCTTTTCTCCCCTCAGAGAGTCCCCCTTAAAATTTCCTGTAGGGCTGGTTTAGTGGTTATGAACTCCTTTAAGTTTTGTTTGTCTGGGAAACTTTTTATTTCTCCTTTTGTTTTGAATACAGCCTTGCTGGATAAAGAATTCTTGACTGCGTATTTTTCCCATTCAGCACATTGAATATATCCTGTTCCTCTTTTCTGGACTGCTAAGTTTCTGTGGATAGGTCTGCTGTGAATCTGATCTGTCTTCCCTTGTGGGTTAAGGATTTTTTTCCCTTGCTGCATTCATGATTCCTTCCTTGCTGTGTATTTGGTGAATTTGACTCTGATATGCCTTGGGGATGGTTGGTTTTTGTTGACTCTAATGGGAGTTCTCTGTGCTTCCTGGATTTTGATGTCTGTGTCTTTCCCCAGGTTAGGAAAGTTTTCCAATATGATTTGCTCACATAAACCTTCTACCCCTTTTCTCTTTTCATCTTCTGGGACCTCTATGATTCAGATGTTATTCCTTTTTAATGAGTTACTGAGTTCTCAAATTCTTACATTGTGCTCTTTTGCCTTAGTTTCCCCTTTTTCTGCTTCATCATTCTCCATAATTTAGTCTTCTATACCCCTAATTGACTGGTCTGCTTCATCCATCCTTGACACTGTGGCATCCATTTGAGATTGCATCTCAGTTACTGCATTTTTAATTTCATCCTGACTAGATTTTACTTCTTTGAATCTCTGCAGAAAGAGATTCTGTGTTTTTTTTTTTTTAATCAACCCTACCTAGTATTCTTATTATCGTGACTCTAAATTCTGGTTCAGACATCTTGTTTATATCTGTGTTGATTAAGTCCCTGGCTGTCATTTTTTCCTGTTCTCTCTTTTGGGGTGAATTCCTTCTTTTTGTCGTTTTGGAGGAAGAAAAAGAATAAAAAGTAAAAATTGAAAAATTGAAAACAGCACAAAAGAATCAAATAAAGGAGGCTCGATCCTAGGAGTGTTTTGGTCTGCTTGTTGAAAGAAGCTTAATAGAATAGAGAAATTAGGGAAAGAAAAGAAAAAAAAGAAAAAAGTAAGAAAAAGTTTAAAAATTAAAAAAAAGTATGCCATAAAATAGAATAAAATGAAGAAAGTAAAGTAGAATAAAAAATTTACTAAAAATTAAGAATATAGTAAAAAAGTAAAAGAACTTTTTATCAAAACAGGAAGTAAAAATACTTTTTTTTTCTGTTTCTGTACCCAAGAATAACAAAAGAAAAAGAGAAAAAAGAATCTATAGGTGGACCAGTGAGTAGAGTGAAATCTGAATGAAATTACATTCAATTTCCCTAGAGGTTAAACTAGAAGTACTTTATAGTCTGTACACTGAGCAGGTGGGGAGACTTGTGGTCATCCTCTAGGGCTTGGTTGGCACAGTTGGACGGGGCTTGGTGTAACGGCTCTGTTCTCCAGTAGGTGGTGCTGCGTAGCTTGTTGGGGTGGATTGGTGTGGCGTGTGTGTGCGCACAGGCATGCGAGAGGTGAGAATGGAGTCCCCCAGCTTCCCAATCTCTATCATCAGAATCCCATGCTCTCACTGACCTGCCATCAGGTACCCCTCCTTTGTCTACCTCCTGTGTCTACACTGTCAGCCACCAAGCTTTCACCCTGCCAGGTGGCACCTCTCCCGAGTTTTATCTCAGATGGGGCTGTGTTTCTAAACTCCTCACTTCTGAGGGCCCTGTGGCTTTGACCCACTCAGATCTGGGCAAGGGTCTCCAAGCAGTGGCCAGGTGCTGGCTTGCCTCCGGGAATGCTGACCCAGCCTCGCCACTGCAGAGGCCCGGAGACTACGGCCAGGTGTTAGCCCGCCCCAGAGAAAGCTTGTGCCATCACGTAGCCACAGTGGTTCAGGGACTGTGGCAAATCCCAGCACACAACTGGCACCAGGCCTCACTGTGCCCTGGTGTTCTTGTTCCAGCACCAGCAAATGTAGCTGTTCTCCGGGGTCCGTGGGGACCTTTGCCTGTGTGCAGGCTGCACAGCCTCCACCAAATGTCCTCCCAGCGGGGGAACCGCCTCTCCTCATGTGGCCTGAGGACCCCTCAGCCCTCGCTGTCCTCTCCTGGGGATTCGCACTTCCCACCAGAGCACCGCTAGCTGCAGAATTTCTGACTCTGCGCTTCCCTGTTTGTGGAGTCTAATGGTACTGAAACCCTGGCCTTTCTCCTTTCTCCTTGTTTAGACATTTGTGGGTTTTTCCACTCTTCTCTTTCTCTCCAGCTGCTTTGCAGTGGGGGGGGGGGTGCTTTTCCTATACTCTCCCCCGTCCCTGTCCTGTCTCTGCAAACAAAAACATCTCCTTACCTCCGCGGCGTCTCTCTCTCCCCCAGTTTACCTCTCTGCACGGCGCACCTGCTGAGTTCTGTGGCTGAAGTTGTGCAGGTTGTTGTGTTAATCCTCAGATCAGCTTCCTAGGTGTGCAGGGTGGTTTGTGCTGCTCTAGTTGCATTTCAGGAATGGGAGAAGCAGAGAACTTCCATCTGCTAAACTGATTTTTAACTAGAGAAGTCATGTGTTACGACAGCCTTAAGGAAGGTTTCAGGAGGGGGCACCTGGGTGGCTCAGGGGATTAAGTATCTGACTCGATTTCAGCTCAGGTCATGACCCCAGAGTTTTGTGAGTTCAAGCCCCATGTCTGGCTCTGCACTGACAGCAAGAAGCTTGCTTGGGATTCTCTGTCTTCCTCTCTCTTTCTCTCTCTCTTCCCCACTCACTGTCTCTGTCTCAAAATAAATAACATTTTTAAAAAAAGTCTTCTGGAACATGGAAGTGCATCGGCTAACATGGAGGTGATGGGCTTAGTTCTTCTTCCAGTGCCAGGCCTTTTCCACATTCTCACACATCATGGCTTTTAAGTTTTTCTATCTTTCCTATTCTTTTTAGTTGTTTTTTTCCAGTTAAGGTTCACACCTTGGTTTGTATAGTTTTTTCCTTTTTTAGTTCATTAAGATAATTTTGTGATCATTGATAGGTATTTGGTGGTGTTATTCTTGTGTGTGGGTACATTGAAGTTTGATGTTCTGTATGAGATGGTTTGGATAGCAACTGGGTGATTTTTTTTTGTTGTTCAGAGCAACTGTTGAACCATTGGTCACTTAAACTAGTTTTTAATTACAAAAGCAGTACATGTTATGGTGGGGGCTCCGAGGTGCATGCAGAACATAAAGCAGAGCAGATGGTCTGGTTACCTGTTCTTGCGATGCCCACAGTGCATTGTGGGTGCGTATTTCTAGTGGTTGTGTGTGCACGTGCACTTAGAAATTGGGATCGTGAAGCATATACAGTTTTATATCTTGGCATTTTCTTTTTTGTTAATGTTTATTTATTTACTTGGGGGGGAGCAGAGAGAGAGAACAGAGCATGAGTGGGAAGGGACAGAGAGAGAATCCCAAGCAGTCTCCATGCTGTCAGTGTGGAGCCCAACGCGGGGCTCGATCCCATGACCCTGGGATCATGACGTGAGCCGAAATCAAAAGAGTTGGACACGTTATTGACTGAGCCCCCCAGGTGCCCCATCCTGGTGTTTTCTGTTAGTGTTGTTATTGTTTAGCGTCCTTTCCATTTCTTAGTAATTTGTCTTTGATAAGAGGACTCTAAATGAATTTCATGTTTAATCTCACAGATGTATGAATGCTTTCCCAATTGTGTGCTTGTTTTCCGGTGTTTTCACTTTTCCGAATGGCATGGGTACTTCGACACCTCATATTTCCATGTGTTTTTCTTAGGTGGCTGAGTTATATGAAGAATTGAAGAATCGGGTCTCACAGTTCAACATGTACGTGGACTCTCGGCGGCCTGTCGTGGACCAGGAGTACGTCTATAAGCAGCGGTTCATCCTGCAGGTGTGCTGCGGCCTCCAGGACATCCGTCCTGACCCTTCCTCCGTGTCTGGTGTTATGGTTGAGAGAGCACTTACTCTGTCTTCCTGATACAAATCATGTCTCAGAAGAGATTTTATGTCCATGGTGTTCATCCTGCTTTTGGATTAGGAAGCACTCTTACACTGCATAGTTTAGGTTTTCCACATCATGAAGCTGCTCATTTGGATCCATCGCTAGTCTCCAGAGGCACGTTTCTGGAGCACGCCAGCCATTACTCCTGCTTCAGGAGAGGGCCTTGGGGTTTTGCTTTTAAGAAACTAAAAATGGTCTTCATGTTACTCAACACATACAAGCTATTTCCTTATACTGGAAATATTAACTGTGGAGGCCATAATCAAGTTAGCTTGTTGGATAGGACCTTACAGGGATTGTGTGCAGGAAAGCATGTCCTAGAAAGGTGGCGAATGCTTCTGCTTTGGGGCCCAGAGGAGGATACATCTGTATGCATCAGCACCTCGGGCTGGGTTGTAGGTCTTTAAATGGAATGATGATGGAAAACAGTGTTTTTCTGGGTGTCAGATTGCCTTAGGGCAAGGGAGAGTCTTCTCTGAGTATGTGTTTTGAATACTTTGATTGAAGAGGGGACACTTTGGAGAGGGCCTTAAAAATTGTTTTTTTAATGTTTATTTTTGAGAGAGAGAGAGAGACAGAGCACAAACTGGGGAGGGGGAGAGAGAGAGAGATGGAGACACAGAATCTGAAGCAGGCTTCAGGTTCTGAGCTGTCAGCACAGAGCCCGACGCAGGGCTCTAACTCACGAGCTATGAGATCGTGACCTGAATTGAAGTTGAATGTTTAACCCACTGAGCCCCCCAGGTGCCGCTGCAGAGTGCTTTTTAGAAGTGTGCATTGGATGTGCCCCTCAGAATCTGGGGAGGTGCCCTTCCCATAGAGGTGAGTGTGACAGGCAGCAGGTGGGAAAGTGGCGGTCATTTGTGCCCCACTTGTGCTCAGCACTGTTTCCCAGCCCTCCTTCTGAGATGGGCTCTGTGTCTTTTGAAGAAAGACTATTTCCAGATAGTTTCTGGATGTAATAAGCTTCTCTTATTACGATGAAATAACCAGAATTGGGGCTTTTGACTCAGTTGGTAGAAGGGCTAGGGTTTTTTTTTTGTTTTTTTTTTTTTAATGTTTTATTTATTTCTAGGAGAGAGAGAGAGAGACAGCATGAGCAGGAGAGGGTCAGAGAGAGAGGGAGTCACAGACTGAAACAGGCTCCAGGCTCTGAGCCGGCAGTCAGCACAGAGCCCGACGCGGGACTCGAACCCACGAACCGCGAGATCATGACCTAAGCGAAAGTTGGACGCTTAACCGACTAAGCCAGCCAGGCGCCCCGAAGGGCTAGTTTTTTAAAATATAAACTCATTTTTTACCTTAACAGTTGTTAGTGTCGCCCGGGGAAAAGACTAGCATACTGGTGAGACAGACTGACAGATAATGTTCCTTCATGAAAATGCAATTCTCTTCCAGGTTGTATTGGCAGGTGCTTTTTACCCAAATTACTTCACTTTCGGACAGCCTGACGAGGAGATGGCGGTGAGGGAACTGGCCGGCAAAGACCCGAAGACCACCGTCGTGGTAGGGGCTCTGTTTCCCTGTGGCTACCGTGGGGCTCTTTCTCTGGCCATTTCCCTTGTTGCGTGCGCCCGGGGATTTGTTGCCCTCCCGTGGGGAGTAATGGCTTGTTTGACCTTGTCACCTACGTCTACTTGCCGCTCGGTCTTGCTTCCTTTTGCAGACCTGGCTTGAAAGAAGCCTTAAGAAGTTACATATTTATGGCTAATGCTTACTGGTAATAGGCCGGAACGTTGCTGGTGCTCAGCCTGGGGGCAGGAGGCTGGGATGCCCTCCGAAACCAAGGAAAGGAATTTTAATGTACAAGGTAGTCATTAGCCTTTTGTCGCTGCTGGGGACTTGGCCCCTGTGGGTCTTCAGGCTGGATGAGGCTCTTTCGTGGGGCCTCCTTGACTCCAGTGTGGTTTTCTCCCCTGCCCTGCGCATGGTAAGATGGACCCCGAGCGGTCCTTATCAGGTGCGGTCCAGGGCCAGGCCCTAGCCTGCCGTGTGCGCTAGGAAACCAGAGGGTAGCTCGCATTGACTTGCCACCTACCTGGCAGGCCATTTGTTACGCATTGTGTATTGCGCTTCTCTGAGCCTCGCACTGACCCCTCAATGTGGGGACTTACGTCACCCCTACTTCCTGTGGTGGGTGAGTCCTAAGGTGGCTCCATGCCCTGCTTGGGACACTTGACCAGGCAGCTCAGAGCCCAGGCGTCCCCCCCCCTTGCCCCCTCCCACCCTCCTGGGGCCTGGGACAGACAGGGCCCGGCTGCAGGTACACGGGCTCCGGGTGCCCTGCCCAGCCAGGGCCTGGAGCGCGGGTCCCCCAGACGGAAGGGAGGAAGCCGGCAATCGGGGCTGGGGAGGTTCGTGGCTCAGTGTGCTTGACTTGTGGTCACACTGTGTGGGGCAGGGCTCCTGCCGGTGCTCACGTTGTGTACATGGGAGGGGTCTTGCCGAGAGACATGTTCATCAGCTTGCTGAAGGTAAAATAAAAAACAACTTGTTTTTTTTCTGTTGGACTTTTGGATTATTTTAACAGAATTAGCCTTGATATATTTAGTATGTATTTATTATTATTATTATTATTTTTTAATGTTTTATTTATTTCTAGGAGAGAGAGAGACAGCGTGAGCAGGGGAGGGTCAGAGAGAGAGGGAGTCACAAACCGAAAGAGGCTCCAGGCTCTGAGCTGGCAGTCAGCACAGAGCCTGACGCGGGGCTCGAACCCACGAACCGCGAGATCATGACCCAAGCGAGTCAGACGCTTAACCGACTAAGCCACCCAGGCGCCCCTATTATTATTATTTTTAATTTTTTAAAATGTTTTTATTTATTTCTGAGAGAGAGAGAGAGACAGCATGAGCAGGGGAGGGTCAGAGAGAGAGGGAGATACAGAATCTGAAACAGGCTCCAGGCTCTGAGCTGTCAGCACAGAGCCCGACGTGGGGCTCGAACCCACGAACAATGAGATCATGATCTGAGCCAAAGTCGGACGCTCAGCTGACAGAGCCACCCAGGTGCCCCTAGCATATATTTATTATACAAGCTTAGTCACAATGTAAAAGTCATTAGTCGTTAGATAAACTTGTCCTTAGAGTCTATGTCTTATGGTTTAAAGACAGTAAACTATGTTCTTGTGAACTGAAGTAACGTGTGGCAGCTCTAGCTTATGAACGTCGTGCCTGCTTCCTCAGCCCCTCCGTCTGCTCTAACGAATGCTGCCTCGTGTGTTACAGCTGAAGCACCTCCCTCCCTACGGATTTCTCTACTATAAACAACTACAGTCTCTCTTTAGACAGTGCGGTCAAGTCAAATCCATTGTATTTGATGGGACAAAGTAAGTATGTTTCTGTAATCACTGTGTATGAAAGAGCCATAAGGTGTTTAATGTTTGCAGGAACGACTTCTTAAGCCTGAGTGTATATGGAAGTGGGTCCCTGTTCGGCCGGTCCTCATGGCCTTGGAATGTAGCTTTGGTTTTCCTTGTTATCAGTCTTGATTTCTCTTCTGTTTCAACCGAGTGACCTTCTAAAGGGGCTAAGCTGTGAGCCCGGTGGTCTGCTACCAATGGCCCCGTGACGCCTCGCGGTGCCTGGGGTGGGTGATCAGGGTTGTCCGCCACTAGCTGGTCACGGTGTGTCCATTACTGTGTAGGCCATGGAGCCACCGCGGGTGGGCTTGCCTGCTTGTAGCACTCAGAACTCGTTACTGGAACTGTTTGTGGCAGACAAGTGCTGTGCGCACTGGATTACAATTCACCTTATTTGAATTGCAGATACGAGGACAGAAGGGATGTTTCAGAGTGTCACTTGGAGTGTCACTTTGAGTTTTTATTTCTAGGAGGGATTGTTTATGTGCAGAAGACACTATAGTTTTAAATTGAATTTTAGCTTTAAAATTGGAGATTTGTTTCTGGTGGTCTGTAAATTTTATTTAGTTTACTAAGCTGATGTCCAATAACTCAAGTTGAGCACATTTGATCCCTTTTCAGTTTGGATTAATCCCCTCAGACATTTTAAGTTCTGTTCCTGTGCTCAATGTATTGATTTTCTCTGCAAGCACGGAAATGCCTCGCATACTTTCTGCAGTTACAGTTTTAACTGCGCTGACACTGACAGTATCTCAGGTCTTCTTAAATATTCTAATGCAGATTACACTGAAATTGGCTTTTTGTTTTTTTGAGAGAGAGAGAGCACACACAAGTGAGCAAGGGGCAAAGAGAGAGAAAGAAGCGGGGCTCACCTAAAATGGGGCTCGAGCTCACCCAGTGTGGAGCTTGAACTTGCAAATCATGAGATATGACCTGAGCCCAAGTCAGATGGTTAACGACCGAGCCATCCAGGTGCCCTTCACATTGCACTGAGCCTTAATCATGTTTACGGAATCACGTCTTTAAAACTGGAGCCACACAGTGAGGCTGTCTGTCCTGAATTCCGGAGGTCCGTCTGCCTTGGCTGTGGCTCCGGTTGTGCGTGGGCGACCTGTGGCTGGCAGTCTGGGCTCTCCCTGATCTTGTCAGCGGGTAGGAGTCAGTTGTTTGTTTCATATTCTTCCTGTTGGAGCCTTTTTTAAATGGGTATTTTAATCCTATTTTTCACAGTTCCTTGTATTTCTGGCTTTTTAGCTGCAGTGGCGATGCCACATCAGTCTCTTGCAGAAGTGACTGCCCTTGTGGCTGTGCCAGGAGCAGTCCTCGTGCACCGAGCGTGGAAGGACAAAGGGCGACCTAAGTCCCTACTTGAGGGAGTGAAGGCCATGTTCCTTCTGGGGTCACGTGGGACCTGCCTGGGCGAGGCGGCGGTGGCGGGTGTGATGGGCCTCCGGGCGCAGGTGGCAGCCCCCCAGGCCCAGCGTCCCTCTCGCGAAGCTTCCAGACCAGTGGTGGGGTGTCCGCCTAACTGTGGGGTTCCGCAGACATTTGTCCATCTTAAGCTGTTCCCAGGGAGGCCCAGGTGGTCAGGAGACGTTCTTTCCGGGCTCAGGAGCAGTCGTGTTCACTGGGGACTTTGCAGGGAGGTGCTCGAGCTGGCGGTGGAGGTGGCTGCTGCGGCAGGCGGAGCCCACGTGAGCCTGGTGGGGACTTGGGAGAGTGTGGGGTGCGCGCGGAGCACGGACGGAAGCTGTTGGCCGCAGCTGGCGTCGTGTCAGGTCTGTGTGTGTCCGGCGGCCGGGTGCCCTGGGTGCCCTGGGTGCCCTGCGCTGGGCAGACACCCCCTCCTGCCGGGGCTGCGCTCAGCTGTCCTGAGTTTTGTGGGACGCGACCAGGGAATGAGGAAGAGCGGAGTCTCAGGAGTTGTGTAAAAAAGGAGACGTTGCCACCAGGGAGGCCACGGGTGAGACGCAAGATTTCTTGGGTTTGGGTGTTGGTTGCGTGTGCACGACAGAGGAAGGCGGGTCCTCCAGACTTCCAGACAGCGCAGGCGGGGGCGGCGGGCAGGGGTCCAGATCCTGCCGCAGGAGCGGCGTCCTGGGGGTGTGGGCTCAAGCAGGACAGAAACTGTTTCTGAGGAGACACTCCGGACCAGCCGGGGAAGGGTGGTGGGAGAGCGTGAGCGAGTTGGGCACGGCCAGTGCGCGTGCTCAGCAGTGAGTCCACTGGGAGGAGGGCGGAGGAGAGCCGGTGCTCCCGGGGCAGCCGCACAGTGAACGGGCCGGCGGAGGTAGGGGCGGACTCTCGTGCCTGCACTTGGACTTCCGCGTTCCCGTGACTGTCCTTGGAGGGGTCATGGGTCTGTTTGGTGAGGAGGACGTTTTGGCCCGGGCCGTTCTTGTACAGGCAGACGTGCACTTGAAGCTTTTTATCCCAGGAATGCCCAGCAGACGCCCTTAGCGCACGCTCGGTTCTCCTCTCCCAGAGATGGGGGTGGTGGCGGCGAGAGGGGTGTCCGTGAGCTTGCCCCGTGGGGGTAAGCCCCACGCAGCTTGTGGAGGGGAGTCCAGAGGTCCCTGACCTCTCCTTGATTTCCTGTCCTCTGTGTTTAGTTCACGGTAGAACAGAAACCCCCCGGGGCTCACAGAGCTGCCATTCTGTGTTCCTTGCGAGGGTCAAGATTTCTTAGGGGAAGGTCTCGTTCGCACTTGGTGTGTATCCTGCGTTATGGGGCGGGATTCATAAGGGGGTGCTCAGTTTTACTTAGATGACAGGTCCCTGTGATTTCTGTTTCTCCTAAGTGAATAGTTTCATTTAAGGAAACACTTCTTGATTAATTGTAGAATGAAGGGTTTCTGGTGTTCTGAGGAGAGGCGCATTAAACTCCATCTGATCTTGAGAGAAATTAATATTCACTCAGTTCTCTTGTTCAGGTTCCTGAGAAACTAACTTTTTCTTTACGTTTGTGGAGCAGAGCCTTTGTGGAGTTCTCACGTAACCCAACAGAGAGGTTTAAAACCCTCCCTGCGGTGTACATGGCGATCAAGATGTCTCAGCTGAAGGTCGCCCTGGAGCTGAGTGTCCACTCAGCGGAGGAGATTGAGGGCAAGGTGCAAGGAGGGCCCGTCTCCAAGCTCAGGAACACAAGGTATTTTCAGAAGGCAAGCGGCCAACCCCGTCTGCTTGCTGTCACAGTTTCAAATACTGTTGTGGTGGTTGTTTTTAAGGTGTATTTATTCCGAGACAGACAGGGCGTGTGGGTGGAGGAGGGGCAGAGCGAGAGAGGAAGAATCCCCATCAGTCCGCGTGCTGTCGGCACAGAGCCCCATACGGGGCTTGATCTCCCAAACTGTGAGATTGTGACCTGAGCCGAAGTCAAGAGTTGGACACTTACCTGACTGAGCCCCCACGGCGCCCCTCATTTTCTCTTTTTAAGCAAAGTGGAGAATTGTTTGTTCTCAGCAGAGTGGACGGCGGGACAGGGTGGAGATGGTTGGGAGCGCCCAGGTGCTGGCCGCACAAGCCCCCCTTCCTCGCTGCCGGGGCTCTCCCTCCAGCCTGGCCTGGTGCAGGAAGGCAGAGCTGCCTGCGTGGTGGCCCCAAGTGGTGGCACTCTCCACCTGGCAGCTGGGGTTGGGTGTGTGGATTTTATTCTCTTGGACCAAATTAAATCACCCTTCAGGATGTAGTAGGTTCCTTTGCTTTGGGTCACACTCTCCCAGTACTATGTGGAGAAATTCTCAGTCATCGTTTACAAAAAAATTTTTTTAATGTTTGTTTTTGAGCAAGAAAGAGACAGAGCATGAGTGGAAGAGGGGCAGAGAGAGGGAGACACAGAATCCGAAACAGGCTCCAGGCCCTGAGCTCTCAGCACAGAGCCTGATGCGGGGCTCGAACCCACGAACTGTGAGATCATGACCTGAGCCGAAGTCAGACACTTAACCGACTGAGCCCCCCAGGCGCCGTCAGTCATCATTTCTTATTTGTGATCTGTTTAATTCTGTGAGGACCTTGACAAGAATTTGGGGAATTGGTGAAGGACGTCCCACTGAGTCTTAACCTCATGTGGAGGCTTTGGTTCTGAGACTCTGGGGGTACAGGGCAGTCCGTCTGCAGCACTGTGGGGGACGTGCTCTGCGGGAGCTTTGCCTGAGCCTCTGAATAAACGGGTCTGAAAGTTGGGGAGAGGGTCTCATAATTCTTCCACTTCATTTTAGAATGGAAGTATTAGGAAAGGAAAATTGTATTTTTATCACATTTGTATTTCGTGTCCTCAGACTCAGCATTTGCTGTCTTACTGTTTTAAGAGGTGAACAATGTCTCCTTGGTTTATTAGAAAATCATGTATGTGTTTCTGACATTGAACTGGCCATGGATTCTGCTACATTAGGAAAAGTCAAAGTCACTCACTTCTGAAACCAGAAGTTAGGAAACATTGCTGGTCTTACATTTAGAATTTGTACCCTTCAGAGTAGATCTGTGAGAGTCTTGACTTTGAGAATCTTTCCCCAGGGCAGTGTCTAACTCCTGGGTGCATCTGCCCCCACGGCAGCTCAGGAAGCCATCATAGACTCAGATTTGTGATGAAATCAAATTTGTCATCTGCTGAGCTTAGGAGATGTTTTTCTCTTGCATGAAAATGTTTTTTCTTATATAAGTAATGGAATACTTTGGGCAGTGACTTCACATAGGTAAATACGTTTTCTTTGTAATACATGACCTTTATTGTCTTTTCTTTCTCTTCTTTTTAATCACGTTACATAGGGTGAATGTGGACTTCCAGAAGCAGACAGTCGATCCTATGCAAGTCTCATTTACGACATTAGACAGATCCCAGACGATTATGGATCTCCTCTTAACAATTGATGTCACAGAGGTGAGATGGCGTGGCTGAATCATTAGAGCTTTTCTGTCGTCTTAACCTAGGATTGTTGTGCTATAGACAGGAAATAGTGCATGCACATGTACACACACACGCACACACATGCACACACACACACACACACACAGCCTGTCACCTTAGTGGTCTAGTAAATGTGGGTGGGCTTGCATTTCAGTACTTGTTAAATGGAAATGGAGCTATAACAGAAAATGAAACACAAATATTCATTCTAGAATCAAAGTCTCTTTTAAAATGTTAGGTACATTTAAAATGCTACTCTCTGTCTCTTAGAAATGACTAAATGTTTAAAAAAATGTTAAAAAGACAGGGGGACACCTGGGTGGCTCAGTCGGTTGAGCGTCTGACTTCGGCTCAGGTCATGATCTCGCGGTTCGTGAGTTCAAGCCCTGCGTCGAGTTCTGTGCTGACAGCTCAGAACCTGGAGCTGCTTCAGATTCTATGTCTCCCACTCTCTCTGCCTCTCCCCTGCTCATGCTCTGTCTCTCAAAAATGAGTAAACATTTAAAAAAATGTTTAAAATGCTAAAACATTAATTTTGACAATGTGACACCTGGAAATGTTGACTGGCATAGTGATGTATGCCTGTGTGATTCACTTTATGTCCACAAAACTGGCATCAGCACCATTATTCTCTAAGGTGTGGTTTTTACTACTTTTTCAATTTAAAGTTTATATATTTTGAGAGAGAGAGAGAGAGAGAGAAAGAGAGAGAGTCAGTCTCAGGCAGCCTCTAATTAAAAGCCCGTAGAATCACTCAGGTCCCAGTATTGTGCGTCTGCCCTGCCGTGTGGGCTTGTGATCAGCTTCTTGTAGAAATCACTTCTGGATTTCACCTCCGCTTCGTTTCCTTCTGTTTTAGGTGGTTGAGGTGGGACACTTTTGGGGATACAGGATCGATGAAAAAAACTCCAAGATCCTGAAAAAGCTTACTGCTGAAATAAACCGACTGAAGTTGGTTCCCTTGCCCATCCACCCACACCCAGACCTGGTCTGCCTCGCTCCTTTCGCCGAGTTCGATAAAGAAAGCTACTTCAGAGCTCAAATCCTGTATGTTTCCGGGAATTCTGCTGAGGTAGGTTTTTCCATAACTAATCACTCAGAGGAAAATGAGACAAACTTGTAGCAGCTTATAGAAATCTTGTCTAATTGTAAGTGGAAATTAACTATAAAATCATTTCACTTAGAAAAGTAGCCTCGTAACAGAGTTACTCCCCTCAGTGCTGTGTGGATTGAAGCTCGGGTTACAGGACTCCTACAATTACAGAGCTTGGGGATATGGCTGCATGGCCGCTGGCCGGGTGGCACGTGGTGCGTGGCCCTATTGAAGTGTGTCCTGTCCCCTCCTGTCCCTTCCTCCAGGTATTCTTTGTAGACTACGGCAACAGGTCTCACGTGGATCTGGACCTTCTAATGGAGATTCCCCATCAGCTGCTGGAACTCCCATTTCAGGTAAGGCGGTGAAGGCCCTGCGGCCCACGTGCGGGAGCCGGGCCAGGCCTTCCCCCACGGCCGGCCGGGCCCCGGGGTGGGGGGGACTCGCTTCGTCACACTAGCCAAACTCGGTGTCTGCCGTTCTCCAGAAGCATAATGCCGCAGATCCCTGTGCCAGTGCCGTTTGTGGGGTGAGGTAAAGTGCAGGGGCTTCGTGCCTAGCAGGGAACGGGCCGGTTCGTTGAGTCGTGTCCGAATACTGTTTCTGAGGGGTCTGGTCATGTCACGAAGAGCCGGACCTTGCGGGGGCTGCAGACACGCCGCACACTTTCTGTCCGCACGGAGACCGTCCAAGAGGTGTTCCCAACTGGGAGCTTCTGTCCGGCTGAAAAGAGCCCCAGATATCTTTACCTGTGAAATTCCCACTTGCCCCCAAATTATTTTTTTTTTAAACATACAATTATTTACTTATTTTTGTTGAAGTGCAGTTGACACAAGATACGGCCTTTTCTCAGGAGCATGGCATAGAGGCTCCACGACTCTGTGGCTTGTGCCCCCCCCCCCCCGCACCCCCACAGGCATAGCTGCACCTGTCACCATGCTGCTGTGTCCCTTGTGCTTCACCTTGTATTCCCGTGACTTAACTGCGGCACCGGAAGCCTGCACTTCCTGCGCCACTTCCTGCCCTTTGCCCTCCCCTGTCCCCTGCCCTCTGAGGCCACCACTGTGGTGTTTGTATTTATGGGTCTGTCTCTGCTGCTTGTCTGTTTGTTCTGTTTCTGAGAACCCACACGTACGGGAATTCCTGGCACGCCTCTTTCCCTGACTGGCTTCACCTAGCGTGATGCCCCCTAGCTCCACCCCCGTTGTCGCCAGCAGCAAGATCCCCTTCGGTTTTTTAGGTCCGACTCGTATTCCATCCACACACACCACGTTATCCTTCTCCATCCGTCTGTCAGGGGACCGCAGTTGTGTCGAGTGGGGTTGTGATGACATTGGGGAGGATCCGTGTTCGGGGCGCTTTGCAGCAGTGTCGGGTGAGCGTTCCCCTCGTTTATGAAACCGCTCCAGCCGCGCTCTTCTGTCCCCAGGCGTTGGAATTTAAGATCTGCAAGATGCGCCCGTCCGCCACGTCCCTCGTGTGCGGCGAGCGCTGGAGCGCCGAGGCCGGCCGCCGCTTTGCCTCCCTGGTGAACGGCTGCGCCCTCCTCGTGAGGGTCTTCTCCGTGGTGCACGGGGTCCTGCACGTGGACGTGTACCGCTGCGCGGGGGCCCCGGCCGCCATCAGCGTGAGAGACATCCTCATCCAGGAGGGCCACGCCGAGCTCGCCGAGGAGCCCTATGAGTCCAGAGTATGTACCTCCGTCCTCGTTGGAGCACATGTGGCCGTGTGTGTGTGTGTGTGTGTGTGTGTGAGAGATAGAGGGAGGGAGGGGGGAGAGGTGGGGGCCCTATTTTCCTCTCCCAGGATGCCGAGGGATGGACAGTTAGACAGCGCGCTTGGTACTGTTCTAAATGCGTTCTAGGTTTCTTCGACTCTAACTTACGGTGGCTGGGTGTCATTTTTGTTGGTTTCCTATGAAGCTATTTTTTTCTTCTTGGAATGAAAATTAGGTGTAAAATGGTTCTCCGTTTGGGGGGTCATTTTTTCTGTTATGGATTTGAAAATTTAGCTCCCTAATGAAAGTTATTAATGGACTGTATATTTCAAGTACTTCAAATATATCAAAATGATTTTCACCTGTTTCTTTAAAACCTGTTTTGAAGCTGTTTTTCTTGGTCTGAAGGCTTCAGAGACGCCACATGAGAATCTAGCATCAAGGCGCCTGCTGAGGACATGGGTTGGGACCCGGGAGAGCGGGCCGTGGGAGGACGGCGGCCCAGGCCTGGCCGGGGACCCCTCGGGGGCTGCTGGCATGTCCCCTGTGTGCAGCGGACATTGTGTGTGTGTGGAAAGTTCTCTTAAGAACCGTTTCTCAATCTCTGATTTTCTCATGGCTGAAAGGTAGTGAAGGCTGGTGAAATTATTGAGCCTTAAACGATCCTGTCTTCTTTCTTTTGTTTGAATTTTAAAACGTATTTACTTGGGGAAATTTTCTCCTGACCTTAATGGCCTAGTAGTTGGCTGAGATTATAAGGTCCTGCCTAGGAAGTACTTTGATTAGTTTGGAATCAAGTGCTTTCAATACAGTTTACAGCGAAATGCACTTTCCTTCCTCTCGTCAGCAAAGCCACGAGGCTCTCAAGGGTCTCCTCTCCAAGCCCGTGGAAACCGTAGCTGACGCATCCGTGTCGTCACCTGTGAAAGATGAAGAGAAGTACCTGATACAGATTTTGTTGGAGAGCTTTTCTTCTAATAAACTGGGCACCCCCCACTGCAAGGTAATTTGTGGGAGTCGTTTTAAAACACAGCTTGAGGGGCGCCTGGGGGGCTCAGTTGGTCAAGCATCCGACTTCGGCTCAGGTCATGATCTCGCGGTTCGTGGGTTCGAGCCCCGCATTGGGCTCTGTGCTGACAGCTCAGAGCCTGGAGCTGCTTCAGATTCTGTTTCTCCCTCTCTCTCTGCCCCTCCCCTGCTCGTTCTCTGTCTCTGTCAAAATAAAATAAAGACAAAATTTTTTTAAAATAAAAAATAAAACACAGCTTGAAAACCGAGAATAACTTTACATTTATGTGCTGAGTCATAAGCCAGGAGTCATGATGGGTTTTCTGGCCTGGTTCTCCATGTGGGTCCGTTTTCTGCAGCGGAGCCTGTTAGCGAGGGAAGGGCCGGGGCCTAGTGCGAAGACGTGCCGGTCTGGTTCTTCTGTTTAAACCAGCCTTTCCTAAGGCATCTGGGCCTGTTTGACCAGGGGAGGAAGTGGCGTGTGGGCTGTGGAGAAGCAGGCCCCCCACGGGGGCACCTGCCTGGTGGGAGAAGCACCTGCTGCTCGTACCCCCTACCCCGCACCCGGGCCGTGTGCCCTCGGCGCCCCTACTCAGGGTGGCCTGGTGCAGTGAGAGAAGACTGTCACTTGGGTGTTCGGCAGCATTTCCTTATTTTGGCCAGTGTCTCTGTCAAGGAACGTCAAGGAGAGAGTCCTCGTGTCCCTGGAAGAGCCGTGACGCACCTGTCACCACTGAATCTTGAAGGTGTTATACCTGAGGTGCAGCGTATTTCTTTGTTAACACATGAGCAGACTTCTGGATTTTTAAAACGTGTATACATGTATTTTTAATTTTTTAAATGTTTATTTTGAGAGCGCGTCAGGCTCCGCACATCAGCACAGAGCCCGATGTGGGGCTCAGTCTCACAGTGAATCTCACGATCATGACCTGAGCCGAAATCTAGAATTGGATGGACACCCCGCTGAGCTGCCCGGGTGCCCCTAAAATGCGTGTTAAATGGTAACTTGCTTACTGGTCACGCTCTGCATGTTTTGTACACACAGGCAATGCTTCACGGGCCTTTTAACCCTTATGAACTGAAGTGTCATAGTTTGACCAGAATATCCAAGTTCAGGTATGATTGGCTTAGGTTCCCCACAGGTTTCTTTTCCTCTGCTCCCCTGTTCCCAGTGCTCTCTAGAAACTGATCTTTATGTCTAAACTGTTGGGACGTTCCCTTTTCCAGCTCCTTCTCCTTTCTCTCCTATCTCCGCAGCTGAGGTGCTCTTTGTCTCTTACATGAAAGCCGTGCTGTGTAAAACACGTTTGAGCACCTTCCAACAAAGTCTTCATTTCTTTCTGTCACTGTTACTCATTCAGCAACCCTATGAATGCCCACCGCGTTCTGGGAACTGTTTAAGGCTTGAGGGGAACAGTAGTGAACAAAATGCACTCGGTGTGGTCCCAGAATCGTGGGTCTGGGAGGCGCAGCGTTCAAGGGAAGACGGGTCCTCCTAGGATGGGCTCGTGAGGCTCTTCAACATCACGAAAGCGTCTCGGAGGGGCCCCTGGCCACACTCAGAAGGCCGCAGCGGTTTCCAGAGACACCTGTGCCAGGGGGAGCGCAGGGGGCGCTGAGGAGCAGCGAGGGGGCGGTGAGGGCCAGCTGGAGCCACGGGCGGGCTGCGCTTTGACTCTGCACTTCCCAACAAGCCTGGGAGGTTGGAGAGTGGGCCGAAGCAGGGGCGCTACAGAGCTGTGGTCAGCGAGGGCGAGCTCTAGAAGCAAGGTGTAGACGTCCGAAGCCAGTTGGAAAGCCTTATCGTGCTTTTTAAACAGTCACTTGGCTACGGGGTAAGCTGATGGCCAGATGCCCAGAATGGGCACCTCCTAGAGCCTGCGAGGGGTGCAGAGCTCAGGCCCCACCCGGCCCCCGGCCCAGAGCCTGCGTTTTTCTGAGATGGGCATGTGAGGTGTGCAGGGCATGGCATGAAGGCTGTCCTGGATTGAGGAGGAGGAGGCACCTCAGGCAGGAGCACACTTCTGAGGCTGCTCACTGCTGTCATCCCGGTGGGGACACCGTGGGCCACGCAAGTCCACGGCAGGAGGTGCGGAAACGGAGCGCTCTGTGAGAGCTGTGGGGGTAGAATAGACAGGCTGGTGTGCGAGTAGAGTCGGGGACGTGGGAAGGGGAAAAGGCTGTCCTTCCTGAACGGCCATGGGGCCTCTTCGGGAAGTGAAGGAGTAGGGGGGAGGGGGGTCAGCCGCTGCCCTGCAGGCTGGGAGCACAGACCCTGGACCCCGGGACAGAGGTAGCCATCTGGGCCTTGTCCGCGTGCGGGAGTTGCTTGAGGCTGAGGTCCCCGAGCCGGAGAGATGAGGGTGGAGAGGCCAAGGCCCCAGGAGAGATGAGGACGGGAGCCTGCGGACCCGGCAGAAAAGAGGAGGCACAAAGGAACGCTGGACGTTGAGCAGCGTGGCGCTTGCGTGCTTGACGTGACTGTTGTGCCGGTTGTGGGATGGACGAGGCACACGGCCTGGTGGAGGGATCAGCCTCATTTTCTGATGATGCCCCTTTCAGGTGTGTATGGATCGAGAAGGAAAGCATCAACTCTGTCATCATCAGCAACGCGCCCGAGGACCTTCATCAGAGGATGCTGGTTGCAGCCTCCCTCTCGGTCAACGCAACCGGTGAGTGAGGGTTGTGACCACCTGCCGCTCACTCTTCTCCCCTCCCCCGCCTCTGCTAATGGGAGCGGCTCATCCCCGGGATTAGCAAACTTCTGTGTCTGTGCGTGTGTTCAGGCTGTTTTCAGAGCGCGCCGCCCGGTGTGACTTAGGGCTTGGAGCATCCCCAGTCCCGTTATATGAGGGCGTGGCTGTTGGCTTCTTGATGGAGCATTCCTTCCGCCACGCTCGTCCCCAGAGTAGAATAGCTCAGGCCCTCGGCCCTGGGACAGCCGATAGCCCAGTGAGAAGGGAGAGGAGAGGAGAGCAAGCCAACAGGAGTCCCCGGCGGGACAGAGGTTGCAGCCTCCTGATGAGGCGTCCGCCCTGAGGTCTCATGGGACCAGCTCCGCAGAGGGGGCTACACGGGACGAGGAGTGTGCCGGGGGGGTGGGGGGGTTTGGCGCTGCAGCCTGCAGAGCGAGCCGCATGCCTGATGCCGCCTTTATTGCCCGTCCCCCAGGGTCCACCATGCTGCTGAGAGAGACGTCTCTGATGCCGCACATCCCCGGCCTCCCGGCCCTCCTCAGCGCGCTGTTCGCACCCGTGATGGAGCTCAGGTGCGGGGCTTCGTCCCTGCTGTCCAGGCTTTGTGGGGGGGGGGGGGGGACCGGGTGGGCGTAGCACGCGCGCCTGCGTCCCCTTGGCCCCCTGCACTCCTGCCCTGGAGAGGAAATGCAGGACCCCAGCCACACTGCATATGCCGCCTGTCGTCCCTGCGCTTCAGTGTGATAGAAACGGGTCACCGCAGGGACACGCCAGCGCTTGGGAGGTTTCAGAAAGAGGCTGAGAGAGCTGGGCGTCCTGCGGGGCCTTGAGTGGGTGAGTGGCGGGGAAGGGGGAGGAGGAGCTGGGATGGGCTTGGGACACATCACGGGGCTGGAGTGCGACTCCGCTGGACGCCTTGTCCCCCCCGCACCCCGCACTGGTGACCATGGGGGAGAAGGCACACTGCCCTGCTGAGTGTAGCTCTTTTTGGTGCCGAGATCAAACGGGGATTTCTCCTGGAGGCTCCGCAGAGAGGACCCCGTGGGCGGGCGGGGCCTCGGAGCAGCCTTGTGGGGACAGCCGCAGGCCGTTTTCATTTCACTGTAGGGCGTGCGGGGAGTGTGTTGCCCGGGAAGCCCTTGTGGGCTTCTGAGCGTGGCAGCAGCGGTGGGGAAACAGGGTCTGGTCTCGGGAAGGATGCCTGCCCGGCCCCGGGACCACCCTGCCTCCAACCAGCACTCTCCCCGCGCACCTGCTCAGGCTGCCAGCGCGGGTCAGCTGGTGCTTGTTTCAGTGTAGACAATGACTCAGTACGTTCTGTTTTCTCACTGGAAGAATACGTTACTTAGAAAAATCTGGAAAAAGCTGAATGGGCAGAAAGTAACACGATCATTTTTTAATGGTTAGTGTATTTATTTTTGGCGTTCTGTAAGTTTTTTGTTCTTAGGTTTTTGTTGTGCTGCGTCCTTATCCACAGATAAAGCATTTGCATATTATGCCGTCTTTGTAAATACCCATTTTAATAATTGCATCATGTACCAGAATGGGCATAAAATGACTTTTATAAACACTGCCCCACTTTATTCACATATACGTTTGTTCTCGATCTCCTCTTGTCCCCAAAGGATTTAATATGCCTTTAAATGTTGAAATTGAGCTTCTAATTTTGCAGTAATGAGGTGATAAATATTTTGATGAATAGGGCTGTCTTCTGAGCCCTCAAAGGGGAGACAGACCCTTACGAACTGCATTATGTATGGTTCCCTAACAAGGAAGGGCGCCACCGTTGGGGAGGGGAGCAGGGGCACGATTCTGAGCGTGTGGACACTGCACTGTCCTTGCCTCTTTCCCTAGACCATGCTCTTGCTTTGACTTTCCTTTTTTTTAAAAAAATTTTTTTCAACTTTTTAAAAAAAAAATTATTTTTGAGAGAGAGAGAGACAGCGTGAGCCGGGAAGGGTCAGAGAGAGAGGGAGACGCAGAATCAGAAGCAGGCTCGAGGCTCTGAGCTGTCAGCACAGAGCCCGACGTGGGGTTTGAACCCACGAGCCGTGAGATCATGACCTGAGCCCAAGTCAGACGCTCAACTGACTGAGCCGCCCAGGCACCCCTGACTTTCCTTCTAAATGTGATCTTTTGGAGGGTGTGTGTGACACCATGTATTGGTTTCAAATCTCTGAAGCACAAGTGATTATGTTATAGAGACAGTCAAGAAATCAGCAGTGTTTAAAATACCTTCTTTCGGGGCGCCTGGGTGGCTTAGTCGGTTAAGCGTCCGACTTTCGCTTAGGTCATGATCTCGCGGTTCGTGGGTTCGAGCCCCGCGTCGGGCTCTGTGCTGACTGCCAGCTCGGAGCCTGGAGCCTGTTTCAGTCTGTGACTCCCTCTCTCGCTGACCCTCCCCTGTTCACGTTGTCTCTCTCTCTCTCCTAGAAATAAATAAAACATTTAAAAAATAAATAAATAAAATAAAATAAAATACCTTCTTTCTAGGCCAAAAACATGCTTGGGGACCCTGGGTGGCTCAGTCAGTTAAGCGTCTGACTTCGCCTCAGGTCATGATCTCACGGTTTGTGGGTTCAAAGCCCACGGTTCGTGAGTTCGAGCCCCGCGTCGAGTTCTGTGCTGACAGCTCAGAGCCTGGAGCCTGCTTCCGATTCTGTATCTCCCTCTCTCTCTGACCCTCCCCTGCTTGCTCGCTCTCTCTTGCTCTCAAAAATAAATAAAACACTTAAAAAAATTTAAAAGAAAGAACAAAAACACGCTTCAAAGGGGGAGGGTAGGACTCTGCACGTAGCTGATACTTCATACTCATTTTGTTGAGTTTAGCTTAAAGAAGCCAGAATTGGGCACTCTCTGCGACCGCACAGGGAATGCCGGTGGTGCAAACGTGCAGGCTCCGCCGGGCGGGTCCAGGAGGGGCCGGTGGGGCCCGGGCCTTGTTACGGGAGGTCTGCCTTTGCCTAGGTGGGGAGCCTTTTTAAATTTGTTTGAGGAGCTTGGGGGGACGGGGTTCTGACGTGGCCGCACTCGGCCCTTCGCCCGGGCACCCGGCTCCAGCAGCCGTGGGTGCAGAGCGGCTGCTGTCTGTACACACAGCCCGCTGCTTCTGAGTCCGCGCCGTCCCATCGACACTGACAGCGACTGGGGGCCACAAGGAAGGTTTGCCACCTCCAGCGTACCGTCTGCAGTGGCGGGAGGTGAGGGAGGAAATGGTCCCTCACACAGGGCCAGGAGGGGAGAGAAGGGAGGGCGGTGGTCCCCTCCCCTGCTCCTGGCGGCCGCTGACCAGCTGCAGCGCAGGGCCCTTCTGTGAGCCCGGTGCCTGGGCCCTGGCGGCTCTGCCCACGTAGAGGGGCCCTGCTCTCCTGTCACCTTTGCCTCCGGCCGCCCTTCCACATATCGGCCCTTCGAGCCCCTGCCCGGGGCGGCTTCGCCTTGCCTGCCACCCTCCTCCAGGTGCTTCCTGGTGCGGAACCTGCTGGAGCGTTGTCTCCTGTGTGAGGGGCAGCAAAGGCCTAGGAGCGGGTTCCGCTGGCGTCGCCCTCGCCTCCCGCTGGGGCCTGTGGCAGCGGGGCAGGGGTGGTGGGGAGCGCTCCGCGGGTGCCTCGGGGCGGTGCTCCAGCCTTGGAAACAAGGAGGAGAAATCTCCCAAAGTGATGGACAGCCCCACCCGGCAAACCTGTTCCCGATTAATGGGAGTGGATTAAAAGGGAACTTTCACTTTGTTACTGTGTGTTCCATCGACTCTGGCCGTATGACACACGATCCTCATCTGCCCTTTGGTTGCAAGGGGGTGGTGTTCAGCCGGCCCGCCAGAGACCACTCCGCGACGCCTGGCTCTGCAGCCGGGCCCCCACGGCTGAGGGCGGAAATCCCGCCTCGGCCCTCCGCTCCCAGGGCTGGTGGCCCAAGGCCTCAGCTTCTGCTCACCCGGGCCTCTGCATGTGGTGTCCGCAAGGGCTCGTCCGAGGCCCCCTCAGGGCGTGGTGGCCGGGTGCTGCCGGCCAGCATCCTGACACAGAGCGGGCTGGAATCCCCTTTGATGACCAGCCTCCTGAGTGTTCCGTGGTGAGATTTGCCACGGCCGCCGTCCACTCGGACCCGAGGCATGGGATCACAGGCCCTGTTTCTTACCGGGAAGTGTCCACTTTCCACTGAGAAAATAGCACGTAGGATGAGCACTCCTGACCTCCCCGTGCATGCAGCGTGCCACCTTCTGTACACCGACCTGTCGTCTGAACTGTTCAGTGCCATTGTGGACCGTTTTTGTAACGTAGAACATCTTGATCTAACTCTGTTTTTAAAAAGCTGTAGAAAATTTGAGAATACAGTCAGGTGCCTTTGAGTATTGGAAGCATGAAGTGACGGGAATGTGTGGTGGGAGGGGGCCGCTGGCGGGGCTGGCGGGAAGGCCATGGCGCCAGCTGGACCTGGGCTCGCAGGCTGGCCGGCCACCTGCTGCCTGCCCCCAGGCGGGGCCTGGCGTGTCCCCAACTGTCAAGAGGGGCTGTGGTGAGCTCACAGGCACGGCACCTGGAGGCGGAGGCTGCCGTGAGGGGCGTCTGTCCTGCCCTGGGCGCTCCCAGCAGCATCGCGGGCAAGTGGAAGGGCCACAAGGCCCTTCCCCGGGGAGCAGCCTTAGCAGGATTTGGAAATGTCAGTAGACTTTGAACAAACACAGTTGTCTCTTGAACAACACGGCCTGCCATTGGCTGGAAGCTTTACTGATAACCTCGGGGGATGCACACGCTCGGTACGTCCTCTGTGTCGCATACGGTGTTCTGGCAAGCAAGTAAGCTAGAGAAGAGCCATGTTTTGTTCAACAAATCCCCCCAAAATTTCCAGTGTATTCATTGAAAAGAACCCACATATAATTGGAGCTGCTCAGTTGCAACCTATGGTGGCCAAGGGCAACTGTACTTTGCAGACAGACACAGTGCACACTGCCGAATATTTCACAGCTCTTTTACATGGCAGTGTCAGATGGACATTTGACTTCCGAGGAACTGTGTTTCCCTCTTTGGCTCACGAAGAGTGTTGTGAAGTGTGAGCTTGTGGAACAGGTTCCTCTTCTGTTGTGTTTATTTCAAACATCCTTGTCCGGAGAAGCTGGCTCTTCCAAGCCCAGCAGGTGTCAGCTTCCAGAAGCGCCAGCTCCTGAGCCTGCGCTGTCTCCCAGCGGGCTGGCTGTGTGGTGCACCCTTGCCGTGTCCATGGGGGGCGCGCTTGCTCGGTTCTGGTCGTGACTTCTGCGATTCTCGGTCTGAGTTTAAATGTGGGTTTTAAAGGAAGTAAAAATCTTCCTGTGGTCCTCATTACTGGGTCTTAGGTTCCTGTAAGTTTTTAGGATCCGAAGAGAATGGAAGCCAGTGCTTTGGTGACCTTTATTGATTTAAGGTGCAGAGAAGATGAGCAGATGCGGTCGGTTCAAGGCAGAATATTTGGGAACTGTCCATGGTGATAAGCATGTGGTACCACGTGTGAGGGACCCACTGGAATGTCACAGCAGTCTTCAGGGAGGTGGGGCTGATGTGGCCTTTACTTAACAGTGGTGAGCAGTCATTAGTCTTACTGTTGGTGACCCAGGGCTATTCTATTTGTTCCCGAAAGGTTTTGTAGAAGTTGAAATAATAGTAAATTATGTTCTATTAAAAATGTGGGGAGCATACTGTTTTTAAAAGAACACCTCAGTGATCGTTTTGTATAGTAAATGCTCAGCACCTGATTTATCGTTCTGAATTCTGGGTCTCTCTTCTTTGATTTCACTTAAAGTGGTATTCTCTTTCATTTTCATTAAAGTGAAAAAGAAGTCTGTGTGTGTGTATGTATATCTTTAGGACCAAGAAGAAAGCTCTTGTTTTTGCTTGGATTATTTTCATCAAAACAAAACCTTATTGATATAAATTAATGGGAAAAGGTATATGTTTGTATCTGTTCATTTTATTTACTTATTTATTTTTATTTTTAAATATTTTTATTTGTTTTCGAGAGAGACACACAAAGCATGAGTGGGGGAGGGGCAGAGAGGGAGGGAGACACAGAATCTGAAGCAGCTCCAGGCTCTGAGCTGTCAGCACAGAGCCCATTGTGGGGCTCAAACCCACGACCTGTGAGATAATGACCTGAGCCGAAGTTGGACGCTTAACCAACTGAGCCCCCAGGCGCCCCAGTATGTGTTCATTTTATATTGTTGAACCTGTTCTGGGCTGTGGTGCTGGCATTTAATCTGATGCCTGGGGTGAACAAAGGAGCCTGCGGGCAGAGGAAAGGTGCTCCCACGAGGAGTCTGACAGGCCGTGGGGAAGCTGGAGCAGCTGGAGCCTGGTACAGGGGTGGAGGGAGAATGTGGTTTGAGATCCCCTGGGGGAGCGAAGCGGAGACTGGGGGCTGCATGGCTCGGAGTAGGCTCTGGTTTCCTCGGATGCCACAGGAGCCCACCCTTCAGCCTGGGTTTGTTTTTGTTACCATGCTGGGAGGAACAAAATAGACTGGCTTTGTTTTGAGCAGCTGCCGCTGTCTGCTGCGTGGGAGCCAGACTGGAAGAAGCAGGGCTGGGTGTGGGGAAGACGGGTCGGAAAGTGATGGCCTGAGTCCAGGTGTGAAGTGACGATGGCTCGGATCAGGCCGGGAGTAGCTGAGATGGAGGGGTCACCAGGTTTAGGGAGATGTTGGACATGGAAGGGACTGGGTGCGGTGCTGGCAGGAGGGGACAGGTTCTGGTTGAGAATGTAACACTGTATCGTGTGTGCGGCTGTTTCAGGAGAGGGAGGTGGGACATACTTGTAGGCTTCTAACTAAGTGCTAGACTTCTTTCACAAGCCATAAATATTCTGTGGAAACCTCACTAATAAGAATTTAACCCAAGGGAAGAATTCGAAGGTAGGGAAGAGCCTGAATGTGATAAAATATTCTTTATGTTCCCTGCCGCAGTGAGAAATAGAAACCCAAATAATGGACTGATAAACAAATTTATTGTCTTATAACTGCATAGCCTCTATCATTTCTTTTTTTTTTTTTTTAAATATTTTTATTTATTTAGAGGAGAGAGAGAGAGAGAGACAGCGTGAGCAGGGGAGGGTCAGAGAGAGAGAGGGAGTCACAGACTGAAACAGGCTCCAGGTTCTGAGCTGGCAGTCAGCACAGAGCCCGACGCGGGGCTTGAACCCACAAACCGTGAGATCATGACCTAAGCGAAAGTCGGACGCTTAACCGACTAAGCCACCCAGGCGCCCCATAGCCTCTATCATTTCTAATATAAATACTGGAAGAGAAAATGCAGAAATATAACTAGCAGAGCGATGATTTTATTGGCCAGTTCCTTTAACATCGAAACAATGGTTTATAATTTCAAAGTATTAACTCTTCTAAAAACTTTTCATTCAGGGTTGATCGGGATGGAAAAAGCTATACTGGAATCCTTTGTGGTCTGGGGTGGAATCCAACCACGGGAGCCCCTATCCTACCAGAGCATGACATTGAGCTAGCATTTGACGTCCAGTTCAACGTGGAGGACATCATAGAGGTGAGACGGATGCGTCAGCACCGCGGGAGGTGTCTGTCTGTCTGTGTCTGTCTCTCAGCTGGTTTGTACCCATTTAACAGTGCGGTGTCTGACACGGACCTGTCAGTACAGACCCGTCTCTGGCCCCAGAGGTGCTCGCTGTCCTAAGCTTAACCTGCCTGTGTTGCTTCCCCGTTCCGTAGCAGGTGGCTTTCCAGTAGAGCCCGCGCTCTCTGAATTTCTCCTGTGGCATCTCTGGGCACAGCAGGCTTTTCTGGACAGTGGGAGCAAACACCAGGCCGGTAGGACTGCTGGCATCTTGGCCACGCCCCCCTCCAAGTCCAGGCTCGCCGCGCGTCCTTGCTGGTCCGCGGTGGGAGGCGAGGGCGTGGAGTCCTGCTCGGCCTCCCCCTCCTGACGAGCGTGAAGGGCCCGCCGAGCGCGTAGCTGTGCAGCCGCCCGTGTGCGCCGGGCCGGGACATGATACATTTGGGGGGGGGGTTAGGAGAGTGAAGCACTTAGAAGCTTAGGGAGCAGCTGACAAAGTAATTTTATGCCTTCTGAATCTGATAATGAAAAATTTGGGCTTATGTTTTACATGCTTGTGTTTTTATAGTTCATTGTTTTAGTGATTCCGTGTTGTTGCATTTTGCAAAGTGAGAAACAGAGCTGGTCATTCACCACAGATAGTTTGAACAGTGCTACTATAACTGACCCCTTTTCCTTCTCAGAAGTTGGACGAACTAGGTGAGGTTGGCGTTAACTGCGGAGAAGGGGGCAGGGAAAGAAGGTGCTAAGATGAGCCGCACCAGGCCGGCCCTCAGCCCAGAGGGCCCTGTGGTTACTGTGGTCAGCATTGCATTGCATTGACTTAACTTTCACCCTAAGCTGTTTTGGGGCTTAAAAATACTCCGTAATAGGCCTAATTGTAAAATGTACAACAATAAAACTTCAAGAAGTAAAAAGAGGAGAAAATCTTGAGGCCTTGGCTTTGATGGGGAGTTTCCGGTGCAGCACCAAAAGTGCAGTCTGTGAGAGAGGAAACGGAGAAGCTGGACTTCGTCAGAATTAAAACTGCTCTGCCAGGGACCTGGCTAAGAGCACAAGGGGACAGGCCGCCGCGAGGAGAAAATGCTTGCGGATGAGCTACGTGACCAAGGACTTTTATCCATGATATGTGAGGAGCTCTGAGACCCAGTAAGTAAAACAGTAAATGAAAACACGGACAACAATAAACAGAACTGCTCAGCGTCCTCTTCACGAGGAAGTGCAAGTAAGACCACAGCAGCTGTTAGAATGGCTGATGACAGTGCTGGCGACCGCGTGCAGCAGCTGGAGCTCTTCACTGCCGGTGCGGATGCAGAGTGGGACTACTGTTTTGGAAGCCAGGATTATTTAAAAGTTTCTTTTTCCATTTATTTATTTATTATTATTTTTTTTAATATATTTTTTTTTATTTCTAGGAGAGAGAGAGAGAGACAGCGTGAGCAGGGGAGGGTCAGAGAGAGAGGGAGTCACAGACTGAAACAGGCTCCAGGCTCTGAGCTGGCAGTCAGCACAGAGCCTGACGCGGTGTTCGAACCCACGAACCGCGAGATCATGACCTAAGCGAACCCACGAACCGCGAGATCATGACCTAAGCTAAAGTCGGACGCTTAACTGACTAAGCCACCCAGGCGCCCCACCATTTATTTATTTTTGAGAGACAGAGGCAGATTACAAGTCGGGGAGGGGCAGGAGACACAGAATCTGAAGCAGACTCCGGGCTCTGAACTGTCAACACAGAGCCCGATGCGGGGCTTGAACTCATGAGCAGTGAGATCATGACCTGAGCCAAAGTCAGACGCTTAAAAGACTGAGCCATCCAGGCGCCCCACTGGTGTCTTAAATGCCTGTTTCCAAGTAGGAGAAGGCAGGACTCAGGCTACTGTTATAAGATCCCATTGATGTGCATTGTAGGGAAGGATAAACCAAAGGGCAGAGCCGATGGTTACCCCAGAGCAGAGGGCTGCCGTCTGGGGTGCTGGGCTGGTGGACGCACGACCCCGTGTGCTTGTCGACCCACTGGCCGCCCCTCATGAAGGAGGGGAGCTAAGGTACACAGTTGAAAAACACACACACACACACACACACACACACACACAGATTTTGGGTAATTGTGTTGAGAAAAAGGAGCTTTGGAAGCCGTTGTTTTGACTGAAAACAGTAAGGCTGCAGCCAGAAAGCTGCTAATAAACACTGTTCTCTCTGTCCGACTGCTTTACTCTGAAGGTGTTTTACACGGTTCAGCTGGGGCTGAACGGCAAGTATGTGGGTGTGTGAGCTAGGTTTCTCCTGGTCAGGAATTCCAGGTGAGCAGGACAGGAAGCCTGGAACAGACCCTGGGGTATGGGATGGGCCAGAAGTTCATCAGTACAAGCATGTGTAACCTTTACATGCGCAGTTGCATGTGTGTGCGGCTCCGTACACATACCTGTACCGCCCAGCCCTGTGACGGCCTAGAGGCTATGACACTCTCAAAGCCATCAGCACCCTGGATGCCCAGACTGGTTTCTGATAGGATTTTCCAGGAAAAGGAAATGAGTCCCTTGGAGAAACGGCTTTCCTGGGCTGGAGCAGGGGAAGTAGAGGGTGAGGCTCGGGCCTTCTTGTAGCGCCGGGAAGTCAAAGTGTGCTGGGAAAACTAGAGGATGGGGCACGTCCAGGGGACGCGGGGCCACTGAAGGAGCTCCCACTGGCCCAAGCTGGCACATCTGAGCAGCAGAATAAATGACGTGGTATTGGATTATAACCCAAGAAGGCAAAATGACTATTTGTGTGTCCATAAGGTTACAAATAAATGATGGAGGAAGCAAATGAGGAAGAAGAGACAGGTCCTCATACAGGAGGATTCCCAGCAGTGTCTGTAGATACCTGCTTCCAGGAAGTGGCACGTCATTGGCCCCAGACCCCATTGTGAGGGCGGACTCGACGCGGTGACGTGCATCCAAGCAAAGAGGAGGGTGTGGGAGGGTGACTAGACGGAAACATGGGGACCCTTCCTACTGATCTTTAGTGTTTTCTTTTGTTACTATTTCTTACGCTACAGTAGTGGTGGTTGATGTTATTTGTGTTGTTTTAATTGTTTGTTCCAGAAACCATATTACAGTAGTCATCAGAGTATGAACTCTGAACACTGATGAAGTATGTAAATGTGGAATGGAATTCAGTTACAGAGCCATGTGAATGTTGCTGTTGCCTTTTATTTACAGATTAATATTCTCAGGGCTGCTATTAATAAGCTGGTGTGTGATGGACCAAATGGATCGGAGTTTCTTGGGCCAGAAAGAGTTGCACAGTTACAGGATAGCGCTCGTCAGAAACTTCTAGGGTAAGTTGTGCACCTTTGAAAAGGTGTTAAATATACAAAGCCGTCCCAGCCATTGGGAGAAAGGCTAACTTTACTTTGCACTCTTTGCTTTTTTAAATCACCGTATTTTCTGTGAACTTTGTACTGAGGCTGAACACACGTAAGGCGCACGGGCCGCCTCAGGGTACTTGCCCAGGAGACCGGCACCCAATCAGAAACAATGCTAGAAAATGTGAAAGGTGCTTCTGAAACCAAAAGACCCCCCCCCCCCAATGTACGTGGGAAGGTGCGAATGTCACCAGGATGCCAGATGCTACTCGCCCTCCACAGGACGCTGCCTCAGGCAAGGAAGGTCCGGTGACTGGTGTCCGTGTCACCTCCTCACAGCCACTGTCAGCAAGAGTGAGCATGTCCTGACCATCAGTCCAGTGATTGTAGCGCATTCGTACAATTGTGCCAGCCTCACCACAGCTCAGTGTCACAGCATGTCTGCTTTCCCTGAAAGTTCACTTGTAAATAGTTTAAAACTGGATTGGGGTGGGGGCAGGGCGCCTGGGCGGCTCAGTCGGTTAAGCGTCCGACTTCAGCTCAGGTCATGATCTCATGGTTTGTGGGTTCATGGTTCATGAGCCTACGTCGGGCTCTGTTCTTACAGCTCCTAGAGCCTGGAGCCTGTTTCAGATTCTGTCTCTTCCTTTCTTTGCCCCTCCCCACTCACGCTCTGTCTCTCTCTCAAAAATAAGTAAACATTAAAATAATTTTTAAAACTGAATTAGGGTAGTGGTTATGCAGCTCTGTAAATTTACTAAAACTGTGGAACTATAGACTTAAAATTGATAAATTCTGTAACATATAAATTATATCTCAGCAAAGCTGTTTTAAAAAATGTAAGTTCTTGCCCATCTGTAAGCACGTCTGTTCTCACCCCCAGCCACCACTGATCTGCGCTTGGTCTCTGAATACCTCATGTACGTGGAATCATGGTTGTTTTCTTTTTAATCTGGCTTCACTTAGCGTAACAGGTTTGCGGTTCACCCGTCATCACATGTTTGTCCCTGTGTGTTGCTGGGTAGTGCTCCGCTGTTGTGCGTGCCACGCTCTGTGGATTCAGCAGTGGGCCAGGAATGTGGATTGTTTCTGGTGCTGGGCTGTGCTGGACTGTGCCACAGCGAAGACTCGTGTGAAGTCTCCGGGTGAGGGTCTCCCAGCTCCCACGCAGCTGTCGAGGAGTGCCGTCGGTGCGTCGTGGGGGGGAGCCATGTTAATTCTTCAAGGCCTGGCCAAACGGTGCTCCACAGTGACACTGTGTCACCTTCCTGCCAGCAGCGCGTGACAGTCCAGTCTCCCCATGTCCTTGCCAGCTCTCGACACTGTCCGGAAACTTTATTGTTGACGTTTGGTGGGAGCTCAATTTCACTTTTTTCCCCCCCTCCTAGTATTTATCTTTTGTTCTGTTTTGTTGGTGTTCACTCTTACGATGATTATTCCTTTACTTTTGGTTACTTTGGATTTAATTTGCTCTTTTTCTAGTTTTACAACCTAGAACCTTTGGTTATTGTTTTGAGACCTTCCTTTTCTGTCACAAGCAATTAATATGTTCCCTCCGTCACTGTTATAGCTGCATCCCGTAGTTTCTGATCTGTTTTCATTTTCATTCTTTTGAAAATACTGTCTCATTTTCTTTGACTAAATGGGTAATTATTTATGAGTGTATTAATTTTCTTTAAGAAAGTTTTTTTTAATGTTTTATTAATTTCTGAGAGCGAGAGAGAGAGAGAGAGCGAGAGAGAGAGGCAGCATGAGCAGGGGAGAGTCAGAGAGAGGGAAACACAGAATCCAAAGCAGGCTCCAGCCTCTGAGCTGTCAGCACAGAGCCCGATGTGGGACACAAAACCACTAACCGGGAGATCATGACCTGAGCCAAAGTTGGATGCTTAACCGACTGAGCCACCCAGGCGCCCCTAAGTATATTAATTTTCAAATATTTGGGGATATTTTCCAACTTTCCTCATGTTGTTATATAATTTATTTCTGTGTGCACAGTATACATTGTTTTTTTTTTTAATATTTTTATTTATTTCTAGGAGAGAGAGAGAGGGACAGCATGAGCAGGGGAGGGTCAGAGAGAGAGGGAGACACAGACTCAGAAACAGGCTCCAGGCTCTGAGCTGGCAGTCAGCACAGAGCTCGACGCAGGGCTTGAACCCACGAACCGCGAGATCATGACCTAAGCAAAAGTCGGTCTCTTAACCGACTAAGCCACCCAGGCGCCCCACAACAGTATACATACTTTGAATGATTTCTGTATTTTAAAATTTATTGAGACTTATTTTATGGCATAGCATAGATATAGTCTTTCTGGTAAGTGTTCCATGCTCACTTGAAAATTTGAGTGTGTACCTGCTCTTGTGGAGTAGAGGCCTTGGTCGGTGTTGGTTAGATCAAACTGGCAGGTCGTGGCAGCCTTCAAGGCTCTATCCTTGCTGATTTTCTTGGTAGTTCTATGAATATTCAAAGTGGGTTATTGAAATTTCTATAATTACTGAATTGTTTCTTCTTTCAAGTCCATCAGCTTTTCTTTTACGTCTTTGGGGCTGTGTTGTTAGATATTGTATACGTGATTGTTGTCTCTTCAGCATGTGCCAGTCCTTTGTCATTCTGAAATCTCTGTCTTTATCTCTAGGAAGAGTTGTTGTCTTAATCTTTTTCTTTTTAAAAACATTTCTTAGAAAACCAAAACGGGAGGTATCACCATCCCAGACTTGAGCCTCTGCTACAAAGCTGTTATCATCAAGACAATATGGTGTTGCCACAAAAACAGGCACATAGACCAATGGAATAGAATTGAGAACTCAGAGCTGGACCCAAAAGTATACAGCCAACTAATCTTTGACAAAGCCGGAAAGAGTATCCAATGGAAAAAACACAGCCTCTTTAACAGATGGTGCTGGGAGAACTGGACAGCAACATGCAGAAGAATGAAACTAGATCATTTTTTCACACCATACACAAAAATAAACTCAAAATGGATAAAGGACCTGAACATGAGACAGGAAACCATCAAAACCCTAGAGGAGAAAGCAGGAAGCAACCTCCTTGACCTCCACCGCAGCAATTTCTTCCTTGACACATCCCCAAAAACAAAAGAATCAAGAGCAAAAACAAACTATTGGGACCTCTTCAAGATTAAAAGCTTCTGCACAGCCAAGGAAACAATCCATAAAAGTAA